TTACACACCCCTTTGTAGGCGGAAGCCAACCTGTTGCCCTCTACACAGCACCACTTTTATGCTCTTACACACCCCTTTGTAGGCGGAAGCCAACCCGTTGCCCTCTACAATTATGTTGATGGACGCACTGGCTTTCACATGCCAACGCAATACGTTGCGAGTGCGCCTCGACCCATACCTACTTATCCCCTATCACAATATCATGAGCGTCTGCATGTCACAGCAGGACCGCCCCCGCTGCCTGGAGCTCGCAAGGATGGACAGCTCCACCGAGTGGTAAGTCTTGGCGCTGTCCCGTTTGACTCGATGCAGACTCACACGAATGCTCGTACTTCGCACCGTAGGACTTCCTCTTCCACACACTCCTTTGGTCGAGTCCGTAGCGGCACCTTATGGTGAGTGGCGCTGCCTGACGTGACCTTTGTGTCTCATTGCCAAGGCCAGACCGTGCAACATCTTTTCGCATTGTAGGATATGTCCCAGGGAACAGTCTTGTGCCGTCTGCCTCTGCCTTGTCAGCGACTGCGCCTGCGTGTGAGTAGCCGTTGCCGCGACTTGATCTCAGCTCCATCTTACCTCATCTCCTCCGTCTCTCTCGTGGCCGCATCTTGCAGTGGGTACCGGCTACGACGCGACACCGCATTCTGCCATCTGGCCTGCGGCTATACCTTGTTGTAAGTGCCGGTCAGCTTCAAAGCGTTCCATCCCACGGGAGCCCTGGGGCAGAGACTGATGCGGGCTAGCCTGCTCCTTGTCGTATCACACAGGCACCGTGGCGCCCACCACCAACTCCTCCCTACTTGCTGCGTGGCCGCCAGCTGCACCTGTGCGCGCTTCTGGGCTTGTACAGAGCTACGGTGATACTCGTGAGTGATCATGAATGTGCTGGTCTGGCCAATCTCATGACTCGGTGTGACGCTGACGTGATTCACGCCTCTTTGTTGCACCAACCCAGCTCTTCCCGACGGTGATGATGCCGTCACAAGTTCGGCGACGGATCAAGAAGGAACCGAGGATTTAATCGTGGAAGTCTCTTCGGACGAGGAAGATGGCTCCGCGGTTGGAGACGGCGAGCATGTCGACGTCCTCCCAGCAGGTGAGAACATCATTCGGTGAGCATAGTGTATTGATCAAGCGCGGAACTGAAACGTCTCTCGGTATCTTCGTGTCGTCGTCACAGTTGTAGATGGCCCAAGTGACCACGACGGAGGGTCTCGACCGCCACAAGCTACGTCTTGCTTACTCTGCGACGCAAATGCCAGCTATTCCAGGGCTTACCTAACTTCTTTGCCTTGCAGTTGGTACCACAGAGCCTCCGTCGACGTGTGGACCAACATTGGAGCCGGTGCACCTTTGGTGCCATCTCAAAGACCACCCAGTGGTGTGCACTCTTTGGAGCACTACGTCCTTGGAGGACATCAATGCAACGGGCACGCAGCCGAGCTCTTTCCTGGATGCGCAGTGCAAGCTACAGAGTTGTCACGGGCAGATCTGCGCACCTTGCCCCAGCTTGCTGCTCACTGCGCATCTGGGTGACTTTGGCAGAGCCCTGCGCAAACTTCTGGCCCAGGAGGAAGCTTCTCAAGGTGTGCTGAAGGTGCTGAAGCTTGCAATCATGCACTTTAACAACCTCAAGCAGAGACTAACCTCAAGGAGCCAGTCAGGCCAATCTGCCAATCTTGCCTCAGCTTGTCGCTCACTGCACGTCCTTGGAGGACATCAACGCAAAGGGCACGCAGCCGAGCTCTTTCCTGGATGCGCAGTGCAAGCTACAGAGAGTTCACAGGCAGATCTGCCAATCTTGCCTCAGCCTGTTGCTCACTGCACATCTGGGGGACTTTGGCAGAGTCCTGCGCAAACTTCTGGCCCAGGAGGAAGCGTCTTAAGGTATGCTGAAGGTGTTGAAGCTCGCGATCATGCACTTCAACGACCTCAAGCGCGAGACCGACTTCAAGGAGCCCGAGGTGATGAGGGCATGTGAAGATGGTACTTTTGTGTCCCCGCCAGTGGGACTATCGGACTACCTTTGCGAGCCTGGCTACGCTTCGTCACCGTCGTCTGCTGATTCGGAGGAGGACGACACCGCCAAGGATCACGACACCGCCGAGGAGGACGGTGAAGTTGAGGGCGATGAGGACTACATCGAGGGCTCTGACCAATTCACGGGTATCCCAGCACCCAAGGATAGGAGCGCTCTCAAGCGCCAATGTGCCGCGCCAGTCGTGGAGCAAGAAGACGAAGCTGGCTCTGTTTTCAACCTTTTGGACGTACCGCCGGCTTCATCACCGGTCCATTGCGCCGTCAAGCGTTTGCGTTTCGCCTTGCCCCTCGAGAGCGAAACAAGAGCCAGCTTCGATCCGGCGGCGTCGTCTTCGTCCTCCTTTGCTTCCCAAAGCGGTCACTTGCTCACTGGAGTGGCTGCGTTCTCACCCGTGCCAACCCGTCGTCCTTCTCCGACGTCAGCACCAGGCGCGCTGTCCTCTCGCTCGTCTGCTACGGTCCCAGGATCGGCGTCACGCCCATCTGGTGCGCCAGTCGGACCGGCGTATTGGGCGCAGGTGGAAATCCGTGGCGCCAAGACCATCGCCAAAGGTGCTAAAGTCGCGCTTGCTCCGCAGCAGCCCAAGACTTTCATCAGTCCCTCGTTCGTTGAGAGTGCCAACATGAGGCGTCTCTTAGGCTCGCAGATGGCGAAGCCATTCGTCAAGCTCCCCATCAGCTTCAGCAGCTGGCGCCCCTCGTCCACCGGGAACGTGCAACGCACCAGTAAGCTTGCCCGCGCTGCGCAATACGACTCCAACACCTTCGAGGCGAGCCCCCCTCTCGTTGCATCGGAGGCATGCGCAACGGCGCACGGGTTTGCGTTCGTCCTCGGCGCCGACTTTGTTCAATACAACAAGCTTGCCGTTGCCGTCGACAGCTCTGGTGCGCTGCGCGTGACCAACCTTCAAGGCGACATGGTCCTTTTCAAGGCTCTCCACGGCTAGGCCAAGTTGCGCGATCGGCAATTGCAAGGTGGTCGTGCCCTAGGCGCCTTGCTGCCAGCAGTATGACGCTTCTCACTTATCACCGTTAAGCCTCTCCTTTATCCTTTTATCACCATTAATCTGCGTGCCAGCGGAACACCACCATTACCACCTGACGACGTATGTCGCGCGCGCCGCGCATCTCTCTGTCCGCACGCAACCCGGTACACGCACGAGCGAATGCGATCGTCTCCACTGGTAGTTGAGGCAAACCGCTCTCTTGTTGCATTGGAGGCACACGCAATGGCGCACAGGTTTGCTTTTGTCCTTGGCCTCAGCTTCCTTTGCTCCAACAAGCTTGTCATTGCATTGATAATAGCTCTGGTATGCTGCGCATGACCAACCCTCAAGGAGATGGGGTGCTTTTCCAGGCCCTTGACGGCTAGGCAAGGTTGTCACACAACTGCCTGTCAGCAACATTGCTCATTGCAAAACTGCCAGCTCTGCCCATCAGATTATGTATGCCACCTAGTGATGACGGCCTATCATACAATGTATGTTGCTGTCCTGGCAAGTTGACGCATCTGTCTTGCGCCCTTCTCTTGATGCCAATGCATTGGAAAAGATCACAATACATTGTAGCTGCAATTCCCCCTCGAGTCTGCCTTTGGCTCCACAGGCTTGAGTGAGTCTTGCTTTGGATTGAAGTGGACCATCAACAATGCTGTCAGCTCAAGAATGTTGCACTCTAGAAAGACCAAATGTCAGACCCTACAGCTGCTGACGCCAGGGAGAGTCCACTAAGGAAATGGCGTGCTTCCTGGCCTTTCTCAGAGACGCCTCTGCGGTCTCCTTGAATGAGGACCTGATTCACAATTGTGCACACATCCCAACTCACAATGTGAGTCAAGCCCAAACAGTGGCAAAAAGCCACTCAAAGGACTTCTCTTGGTTGAAGGTCAAGAAAGAGAGCGACGCTTTGAGATGGCCTTGACATCGTGTGGGTGGTTTTCCTCAATTAGCGCTTTACCAGAAACTCACAAAGCAAGTAGGGGTACTTGATGTATTGACAGCAGATTAGCCAGGCATTTGTGAGCACCAACAAGCAGTCTGATCAGTACAGCTCTCCATTCTTTGCTTGAAGATGAAGCAAGGCGTGGCTGCGCTGCCTCCGACAGCTTCTGGGGAGTTGCAGAGGAGGTCTGTGCTGGCTCTACTTGTTGTCCCTTTCCAAATGGGTTCAGAGGGTGTGCAATACTGTAGACAAGACTTCTGTTTGCTCTGTGCAGAATAGAGGCAGGAAGGTCTAGTATCAAGATTGCGTGATAAGATGGGTACTAGGTACTTGACATAGACTGACGGTTTGATGGGGTGGTTGGGACCCAGCCCAGAGGTGGGGTGGAGAAGGTGAGAGTGGAGCAATGACTGACTGGCCAGAGAGGGACAAGAGATCACAATGGGCTTTGACATGAATTGACATACTGTCTGAGAGGTTTTGGAAGGCAACACCTCTGTAGAGATAGCTGAAGGCAAAGCCTGAGAGTTGGGTGCACCGCAATAGAGTATCTTCATCTGGGTCATGTGCAGTTTTCCATGAGAGGCATGCAGACACCAGAATTTGCCAACATCTGAGCTGCATCATTCATGCAGAGGTACCTGAGTGGAAACCCACAGGTTGTGGTGGTGTCTTTGAGTGATTCTGGCTTAATTCAGGTATCTCTAGAGCTGTTTGTGAGGCACTGTATGATGTCCTGGTATCACTCTCATGGTGAGCGCTTTTTGCTGGAAGGATATTGTCTTTCAGGGCTGCCACTCACGACAATACAACCAGCAGCACTGAGGCGCTTCAAGACGCAAGTCTCAGGTCCTGGTTCAGATACTTGCGTCGGCATTAGAACGAAGTCGTCTTAAGTGTACATCCCTATTGTGTTCATCTTTGAGGCTCGAGACATTTGGCAATTGCAGACCGCTACATAGCAGCAAAGCTGCACTGATGCTGCCACAATTGCTGACGGAGAGATGCACATTACAGCATTGGTCTGGTGGTCCGATAGGAGTCGAGCGTCAGCCTGAGTCCACCGTTTTACCCAGGCAAATGACCTACCTGCACCTTCGCTACACCACTGGTCTTCCCCTGACAATTCAGTGATATCTAAGATTCACACCGCGAACATGCTCTCGCAGCCAAGTGATCTTCACGACCGGCAGGCCAACCTGCGGACGAAGGGCCTTGAAATCGCTCAGGTCACAGCTGGTCGCAAGACGTTCTGCACGGAAGCCGCCGACATCGAAAGCGAAAGCACTATTTGAACGAGCGAAAACCTGTGCGCCAGTGTACTCGGCAGGCGAACACGTCTCTTGAAGTACGAGGTCGTCGGCAAGAGCACAAGGTGGGCCCTAGGCGACTCGTTGCCAGCACTCTGACGAGGATCTCGAGTATGCCGTGTCGGCGCAGGCAGCGTCAACGCAGCCAAGAGGTGACGTATAGCTCGCGCTCACCCAGCCTGGCATGTGCAGCCAACCAAGAACCCGTTACTAGCTCCTGACTTCCAACTCTCAAGCCTCAGACTTCTCTTCATCGCCGTTGACCCGCGTGCCGCGCAGGCCCATCATGACCTGCTGGGTGAATTGTGCTATATTTCTCGAGACGTGTCGAGTCATGGTGCATAGTTTTGAAGACAGTACAGGAGCACGAAGCGAGAGTGAATGATTGACCAGGACGAGAACGCAGCGTGGTGAAGAGGGCCGGAAGTGGGCGAGAATTTCGCGGCGAGCTCCTGTATGCTTATGCGTCCTTGTTGTGGGCAGCACCAGTGATGAGACCAGTGCGACGAGCAGCGATGAGACCAGCCTTCTGACCGGGAACGCTGGAGCGAGGGACGGTGGAGGCGTGACCAATGTGCTGATGGTTACCACCACCATGAGGGTGATCGACGGCTGCGAGCGCAAGACCACGACACAAAGTTCAGCAATCTTCCAACAGCGTGCGAAATACCGGATGCTTTTCTCCTTGCCAACGCGTGCTTTCCTTGCCCACCACTCACGGTTCATAGCCACACCACGAGTCTTGGGCCAGCTGTTGCGCTTGACCTTGAACTTGTGGTGAGCGCGACCAGCCTTGAGCAAAGGCTTATCGACACGTCCACCACCGGCGACGATCCCAACAGTAGCGCGACTGCCAGAGGGAACAGACTTCTTTGCACCCGATGGAAGACGAATACGGGTAGTGCCATCGTTGTCGTGTCCGATGAGGGTGGCGTAGTTGCCGGAAGTGCGAGCAAGGGTTCCTCGGTCGCCAGCCTTCTCCTCGACGTTGCAGACAATGGTACCCTCTGGCAGAGCGGACAGAGGCAGGACGTTGCCGACGTTGATGGCAGCCTTCTTGCCGCAGTAGACGAATTGGCCAGTGCTCAAGCCCTCGGTAGCAATGAAGGTCTCGACTCTTTGCTTGAAGCGGTAAGGGTCGCGGAAAGCGACGCGAGCAAGGGGAGCACCACTGTAGGGAGGGGACATGTTGCCGTTTGCGTAAGCATCGGAAGGGCTCGGCACGGTAACCGAGAAGCAGCTCGCCACAAGTAGGTCGGTGCGAAAGCAATCCTGGCGAGGGCCCAAGATACCACTAACATGCCCGACACCCCACAATTCGCAGCCTCTTGTCATCTGCACCCGATCAACACCTCGTCCATCAAAAGTCCGTGCCTCTGTCCCTCTTCCACCTCAGCTGCCCACATCGTGCCAAGTCGGTTTGCCTCTCGCCAAGCTGCTTGTGTATCGTGGTGCAGACGGCAAGGCGATCGCCCCTCTCACACATCCTCTCGCGCTCATTCCTCACGCCCTCTCCCTCTTCCCTCTCCCTTTCCACAGTGCTGCATCCCATCGCGATGATACTCACCGGCCAGCATCGTGGATGATCTCCTTGACAACACCGCGAAGGTAACCTTGCCTCTCGGAAAAGTCCAAGGGTCTAAGCTTAGCAGGTGCCTTGTTGTGGTGGGTGTGCGACCTGAAGATGGTCGACGCCTTACGTTGCGAGCGAATAACACGACCCATCTTGACTGTATATCGTGATCTGGTGGAGATGAAACGAGTTCGGTCCGAGGTCAGCGAGGAGCTGTGGAAGCGCTATCGAAGGGATTGCAGAAGCTGTCCTTTCCCACTCCAACTTCGATCCGCTGCAGGCTTTCGCACTTGATAGTGCTTCGTGCTACGAGTATCCTTCCCACAACGAAGAACAGACGATCCTACTACAGCACTTACCTTGAAGGGGTTTGGGTGGTGATGGGAATGAGAAGGTATACGCCCGGCGCTGGATCGCTGGATCTGATGCACGTTCAATCCTGACCGCAGCGCGCACTGCAAAATTTTCGGCCGAGGCTCGCATGCCGCGCGCACGCCGCGCGCACGCACGGCTGCTGGCGACGGAACTCAATATAAGCCGCATACTCAAATTGAGCAGCTTATGCGCCACGCTCACGCTCAGACAACCCTCCCCCGCCGCGAAGCGCTGTCTGGCAGGCTTCGGTTACCCCGCAGAGCAGCAAGACCGTCAACGTCCAAGCTGACTCCTGTCGTGAAGTGCTCCTCGCTCAGGTCAGCTCAAAGATTCACTTGAGCCTGCATCACAGTCATGATTGTTCCAAAGCCGATGGCAGCAGCAGCTTATCTGCTGACCCGCTGAGCAAAAGAACGTCGAAGCAGGCGTGGCTGCGAAAGGTCACGTGTCGTCTTGTTCACAATTTGGTTCGCGCCTCAGGAAATCAACATTCGTGATTCAAATTCAAGATTCGCCCTGCAAGAGCCTTCGTAGTCGAGGCGCAGCGCTCTTCGCCGCTCGACGAGTCATGAGAGCTCGCACGCTGTGAGATTAAAGTAATGACACCGAATTGCAAATCACGACAAAAAACGATGAGATGTGTCTCCCGGTCGAGAATCAAGCATGACCGGCATGCGGAGGGCCAAACAGTGACTTACCACTGTGGAAGTCTTTAGTGGTGGTTGCGCTGCCACGCACGCAGAAGAGTTCCGCATCGGCTTGAGCCACGTGTCTCGGGTCCGACTGACTAACTAAATGCCGACCAGCGCGCACCCTTCCACGTCACGGGGTGCGCGTGCCAGCGGTGCGCGTGCACGGGCGCTGCACGCGCGATGGTGAGATTTGGTTGACGCCTTGCGAAGCTTGACGGGCGTGCATGGCGCGCGACGGCCAAAGAAACCTGCAGCAGCTTGTCGACGTGTCCATGCAGTTCGAGCCCCGTTGGCGTGCGGGGGGGGGGGGGGGGGGAGCCTTGGTGAGCTGGCAGCAAGTAGCAGCAGAAGCAGAAGCAGCAGCTCTAATTTGTGGCCAAGATGCGAAAGGCTAAAGAAGTCGCAGCTCGCTCGAACCTGCTCCAGCTTCATACCCAAACCTTCACCATCCCAGAAGAAGGCATCTGCCAGCGACGTCAGATCCAATTTGCCTGCCTAGCGAACATCTCAAGACAGGCCCTCGACTTTCTCAGACATCAAAGCAGGACACAAACCTCGAGCGCCATCTACGCATATCTTCCAGGTCGGCACCATGTTCGCCGCTCTCGGCCGCAACAGTGCGGCTGGCACACGGCGCCAGGGCGGCTTCTCGCTGCCTTCCATGGCCACCGTCTGCCTCGCATTTGTCGCTCTTTTGGCTCTCATCTCGTCTGTGAGCGCCGACGAGAATGAAGACAAGCGCAAGAATTACGGGACTGTCATTGGTATCGATTTGGGAACAACGTGAGTCCAGTGACACGATGAGCATACTCAACAGACGCCTTACGTATTCTTCACAATGCTTCACAGATACTCTTGCGTTGGTGTGCAGCGCGAGGGCCGCGTGGAGATCATCACAAACGACCAAGGAAACCGTATCACTCCCTCTTACGTCGCTTTCGAGGCGAATGGCGAGCGTCTCATTGGTGACGCAGCTAAGAACCAGGCTGCTTCCAACCCGGAGAACACCATGTGAGCCACAGAATGCTGCGCTAGGTCACGTCACACGTCTCGAGACTGACGCCCTGTATCTTTGACAGCTTCGACGCCAAGCGTCTCATTGGTCGCAAGTGGGGAGAGTCTGATGTCAAGAAGGACTTGAAGCACTTCCCTTTCAAGGTGAGCTCCACGCAGCTTTGAGTCTGGGCTCGCATCACGAAGCTAATCAGTGAGGTTCCTCTTGACGTCTCCAGCTCGTTGAAAAGACCGGAAAGCCCGCCATCTCTGTTCAGGTCAAGGACTCCCAGCGCGTGTTTACGCCAGAGGAAGTGAGCGCCATGATTCTCCAGAAGATGAAGGAGACTGCCGAGGCCTACCTCGGTCATAAGGTCACCCACGCAGTTGTGACAGTGCCAGCTTACTTGTGAGCATTGGAGGCGCTACTGATCGCTCAATGTTGCATTCCTGACTTGCCTGCATCTACACTTTGCCAGCAACGACGCTCAGCGTTCTGCCACCAAGGATGCCGGTACTATCGCCGGTCTCACAGTTTTGCGTATTGTCAACGAGCCCACAGCCGCAGCCATTGCGTACGGCCTGGACAAGAAGGGCGACTCTCAGATTATCGTCTACGATCTTGGAGGTGGTACATTCGATGTCAGCTTGCTGTCTATCGAAGACGGAGTCTTCGAGGTACTGGCCACCGCAGGTGACACCCACCTGGGAGGTGAAGACTTCGACAACCGAGTCATGGAGTACATGCTCAAGCAATTCAAGAAGAAGGAGAATGTCGATGCCGCCGGAAACAAGCGCAGCGTCGGCAAGTTGAAGCGCGAGGTGGAGCGCGCCAAGCGAACTCTTTCCAGCCAAATGTCCACCAAGATCGAAATTGAGAGCTTCTTCGAGGGCAAGGATCTCAGCGAGACCCTGACCCGCGCCAAATTCGAGGAGCTCAACGCAGACCTGTTCCGCAAGACGATGAAGCCTGTCGAGCAAGTGCTCAAGGACGCCGGCGTTAAGAAGGAAGACATCGATGACGTTGTGCTTGTCGGCGGTTCTACTCGTATCCCCAAGGTCCAGTCCCTCCTAAAGGTGCGTGGCTCGCCTCCACTTTGTCGCCTGCGCGCGCGCTGACCTCCTGATTCTTACCACAGGACTTCTTTAACGGCAAAGAACCTTCAAAGGGAATCAACCCTGATGAGGCTGTTGCATGGGGTGCCGCAGTCCAGGGTGGTGTCCTCGGTGGCCAGGAAGGTCTTGGCGAAGTCCTCCTCATCGATGTCAACCCTCTTACACTCGGCATCGAGACTACTGGAGGCGTCATGACCAAGCTGATCCCCCGTAACACCGTCGTGCCTACCAAGAAGTCTCAGATCTTCTCCACAGCCGCGGACAACCAGAACGTTGTGCTCATCCAAGTGTACGAAGGCGAGCGTTCTATGACCAAGGACAACAACCTGCTCGGCAAATTCGAGCTCACTGGTATCCCACCAGCACCGCGAGGAGTTCCTCAGATTGAGGTCACTTTCGAAGTGGACGCGAACGGTATCATGAAGGTCAGCGCCTCGGACAAGGGCACTGGTAAGGCCGAGTCTATCACGATCACCAATGACAAGGGTCGCTTGTCTCCCGAGGACATTGAACGCATGGTCAAGGAAGCTGAGCAGTTCGCAGAAGAGGACGAGGCTTCGCGCAAGAGAATTGAAGCTCTTAACCAACTGCAGGCTCTTATCGCTTCCACTCGCTCGCAGGTCAGCGATAAAGATGGTTTGGGTGCTAAGCTCGACAAGTCCGACAAGGAGTCGATCAACACTGCGCTCAAGGACACCGAGAAGTGGCTGGAAGAGAACTCCGAGAGTGCCAGCGCTGAGGACGTGGAGGAGCAGCTCTCTGAGCTCCAGGCCACTTTGGCACCCATCACCTCCAAGGTCTACGCCGATGCCGCTGGTGGCAAGGCGACTGACCCTGAGGATGAGCCCATCACTCACGATGAGCTCTAGATGGAGACCGAGTAGAAGGATCTTGACACAAGGGGAATGTCAGTCCTGGATTGTCAAGCGATCCAAACTTTGCTTCTTTTCGCGAAGTCAAAAAGCCACAATCGAGTTGCAGACAGTAATGAAATTTGCAGTTGAAAACGTGAAGTAACACCACTCAGCCTATGGCCCGTGCGTTGTGATCAGCTTGAGAACGCGACACTCTTGACTCACGACTGAGCTTGACTTGTAATCATATGAGAACTCGGCCGAGTGCCACGGCGGCTTGCGAGAGACAAGCACAGCTCTCACCATCATGGCTTGTCTGCATGGCGCTCCCTAATGATGCCCGCTCACCAGCGCGATACCTTGCATGAGCTAGAGCCTCATCGGTGAGATGAGGAGCGGCGGCTACGGCCCTCTACCTCGGCTTGTCAACAATCGGTAGCATGTTGCCCGTGACTCCCTTGCGCCCGGCGAGCTCGATCTGTGATCAGTCACTCTTGAACCCAATAACGCGGGCCTCTACGCCCTCTCGCCAGAGTCGTGGCGCCGTGAGAGATGAGGTATCGTATGAGGCGATGTCAGTCGCGAGTGCGCTTCATCTCAATAAGGCTGCCATCAAGCGCGCGAGACAGAGCAGGACAGGGACCTCATAGATTGGGTCTCACGCGCGAGCACGTCGGTAATGTTTGACTCGTGCCGCCATTGCCGGTCCCGGATGAAGGGTCCCGATCGAGCAAACTAATTTACACGGTATCATATAATAGCAACCTCGGGACGCACGTCGCGCAATCAATGTGAAACAGGGTCTGCATTCAAGGATTCGTAATTCAAGATTGAGGTTTGGGCTGAATCGTCACACAACGTGCAAGATCACCTGACTCGCGCCATCATGGCTACGACACACTCACGACTGGAGCGATCCGGCTGTCCGTGAGAACTTCAAAGGTTCAAAGAGTAGTCAGTTGCGGTCCTCTCGTCATGCTCCTCACCTCACGTCTCCAGATTTCTTCCACGCATGGTAATCCTCATCGCCACAGCTAACTTTTGACCAGCCAGCATCATCATGGATGAATTTGTAGTAGTGTCGATAGGCATGCTCGTCCTGGTGCTCTTCTTCTCGGTGGCCTACTTGCTGGAGGCAGCCGAGGAGCGCCGACAGCTCAAGCTACCTCCAGGCCCTCCAGCATCGCTGCTTTTCGGAAGCAGACTGCCCGCTTTCGACAAGCACCCATGGCTCGTCTTTGACGAGATGAAGAAACAGTACGGACCAGTGATCACGTTTGCAGATGGTCCATCCAAGCTCATCTTTGTCGTGACTTCTCTCAAAGCTGCTCAGCATATACTGGCCGAAAAGGCTGCCATTTCCGGAGATCGACCTCGCAGCATCTTGGTGAACGAGTGGATGTCGGGTGGGAATCGCGTGCTTTTGATGCCTCGCAACGATCGTTTCCGCAAGTACAGGCGGATCTACAGCTCTGCCTTGAGCGACAAAGCTTCTGCTCACTACGAGAGCATCCAATCGCAAGAGGCGAAGGATGCCATGCTTCAGCTTGCGCAATGCACCGACGACAAGCAATGGCAACACGTCTTGACCCGCTTGACGGCCAGCATCATCATGTCTGTCATCTACGACATTCGCGTCGAGGGCCTGCACGATCCTCGAGTGCAAACGATGATCAAACACCTCTTCACCTTCACCGGCTACGTTCTGCCAGGCGCATCGGTACCCGATGCCTGGCCCATCCTCCAATACGTCCCCAAAATCATCAATCCTTGGTGAGTAAAGGAAAAGCCGGGAGCACTCCAGTCCCACGTGAGGATGGTTCTGAACGACCTAGTCTTGCCGTCGACGTACGACAGGAAGAAGATGGCGGCCGAATTCCTCAAGAGCGAGAGCGGTATCGTGACGAAGCTGTTCAGCGAGGTGAAGGTCAGGGTTCAGCAGGGTCGAGCTCGCAGGTGTTTCGTCAGTGATCTGCAAGAGGAGCAAAAGGCGTTGGGACTCAGCGATGTCGAGGTGTGTCTTGAGGAGATAGAGGCGATCTACAAGCAAAGAATGCTCAAGTGTCGCTGCCCTTTCGCAGGCTTCCTACTGCTCTGGTGCGCTTTTCGGTGGTGAGTTGCGAGGCTGAATGGGAAACGAAGGGGCGGGCCAGTGGCTCGGTCCTGATTTGGGGGCCCTCATCTGCAACGACAGCTGGCACGCATACTACTGCTTCTGCTGTGAGTGCCATCGTGCTCTTTCGAGATCCGAAGCGACAGTCGGCTCATCAAGGTGCGTCTCGGCGCTTTGCAGCTGTCCGTCCTTGTGCTTGCGATGCTCAAGTATCCAGCAGAATACAAGAAGCTGCAAGCGGAGATGGACCGCGTAGTCGGCTCAGATCGGATGCCCTCGTTCGAAGACGAGTTACCCTTCCTTCAGGCTTGTCTGTACGAATCTTTTAGATGGCGGCCCATCACACCTTGCGGTGCTCCGCACCGTCTCGAGGATGACATCGTCTGGGAAGGGAGGGTCCTGCCAAAAGGGTCCGTCGTGTACGCGTGCCAGTAGTGAGTAATTTTGGCCGCTCATGAGGAATGTTGGAGCAGTGCAAGCTGAAGCCGACTCTGCTCCAATCATGCTAGCTCCATCAATCGAGATCCAGAGGTGTACAGCGACGTAGACACTTTCAAACCAGACGTGAGTCGTATGGCTCCTTGCATAGTGCACAAGGTCCTTACCCGATCTTCATTACCGTCGCAGCGCTTTTTAGACAGCACCGGAAAGCTCACGGCAACGCGAGATGCCATGCAACTCCTATTTGGTTGGGGTCGTCGTGCCTGGTGAGGTTCTTGGTCGGAGACATGGAGACGAAGAGACCCCATAGCACCAGTGCTGATGCTCCACAGCTTGCCTTTGATCAATCAGCCCGGGTGATCACGTCGCTATGCGCAGCTTGCGAATCACCTTGGCTATGCTCGCTTGGTCTTTCGATATCACGTCGCCCTTGAAGCCGCAAGACCAGCCAACTGTGAGCCGATGCGACAGGGGCGTAATGTACCCGATTTTGGCTGCTGATTTCTGCGTCCGTAGTCGTACAAGCGCTTCACCAGCTCTTCGGCGAGCATGCCTTTCCCTTTCCCAGCGTGAGTATCCTTGTCCCTCGATCGATCTGGTTTGGCTGAGCTGATTCAATTTCGGTCCGCAGGAAGTTTACCTGGCGCTCCGAGGAGCGCCGACAGGTCTGTCTGGCAGAGGTGGCAGCTACCAGCGTGCGTATACCAGCGGCATCGCTGGGGCGTCATCAGCAGAGCAGCGAGGCACGTTTCTGATTCTTCTGTTTGCTTCATCGCAGCAGGATGCTCCCAAGTGAAATGGAACTGTCTCGTGCCAAGCATGTGTGCATGTCCACCGCAAAGAACCGAAAAGCTGATCGATGCAGATGCTTCAGCTTGTAATATGACAAGTCTTCTCGCTTGCCATGATGCACCGAACAAAAATGCGGGTGCGGATCGAGGTGTGACGGAGAGCATCACCTCCTCGAAGGTGCTGAAGCCCCATTTCTACCGGTACTTTGTCCAAACGGAACGCCGAGAGTGATTGGAGCCCCTGCAGCATCTCGCGTCCGCGTGTCTCATGCTCGCCGGATGATATGTCAGCAAAAGCCCGGACTCCGGATTCTCCAAGTACTGCATCTATATAAAACGCGCGGGGCTTTGTTCCCTCTGCCTTCCCCGCGGGTCCTACTGATCCACTTGAGGATCATGTGGCGTTCCACAATGTCGGCGCCCTTGATCGTTTCGCAGTCGTCTTGTTGGTCGATCAGGATAAGTGCTACGAAGCTTGCTGCTGGCTGGCTATTGCTTGGCAAAGTCTGGCCTGCTGCCCAGCTTGCTTTGAGCGCGTTGTGCAGATCTTCAGCGAATCAAAGGCCGAGCGGGCAAAGCCAAAGTCTGATGAGTCGGCATCGCGCACGGCGGGAACGCTTCCTTACGTTTCAGCTAGCCATGCTCACACCTTCGACTCGCCGGACAAGCGGTGATACATGTTCCATTAGAGAAGATGTCTTCTCGAGCTCGAATGTCGTCGCCGCTGATTTTGCTTCTATCAAACGGGGCCTCCTACCTGCGCGGTCGCGACGGGATTGGAAGCAGCCGTCGCGGAGTCTTCGGAGCGCATCATCGACCTCTTCTTGCGAGTGTGGATGAGGGCGGGGCACTGTGACTGTGACTGCAGCTAGCGGAGTGCGAACGCGGGCATGTCTTCTTGAAGCGCTACAACAGTCGCGTCAGAGCGGCACACTCAATTCATCACACGGGCATCCATGATCCAGTCGACTCCCATGTTCCAAGCGGCCCAGGGATCTGCTCTGCGTATTCGAAGGGGTGGAGCAGGTGAGTCGATCCTTGTGAGAGAGTCAGCACGGGCTGGAGTGATGGATGCGGCGAGCGACGCATCCCCGCTCAAGTCGAGACTTGCATTCGAACTTGGACGCAGGTCAAACGGAGGGTAAATTTCGATCGGGACCATCAGGGGCGGGGGGGAAAGATGAATCGAAGCAAAAATGTGAATATCCTCAATGATGCCGATCGAAGTCTGAATTTGAGACTGTGTGTGTCGTTGAATGATATCCGTTGTAAATATCGGACTTCGACTCAAAGCCTCGTGCGCGTGCGTCCTCTGGATACACGATGTCATTCGTGATTGTAGCCGAGGATCGCACAGCGGGAAGAACCAAAGCCTACTGTAATGTGAATCAAGTCTGACCGAGATTTGAAACTCAGATCAGAGCTGAGACACAACATGTACCGGTATAGACGAGATGAGAGGCGGGGAACGGACAGCCAACGCGCGACGCTGCATGCTGCTGCTGATGCGGTGCGCGCGCTGCAGCGACCATCACGCGCTCGCGCCTGATGCATATATGTATAGTCACAGTTCCACATCGGGCTTTCCACGCCTCCGGAGTGTGAGTGTGCATTCGATCGTGACTGCGGTGTATTAAGCACGAACACATGCAGCAGATATGCATGTAAAGAGAAGAACGGGCTGCTGCCTCGCATGATCTCGCACGTTCTTGCGCAGCGAGTACACTGACACGGTGCTCCGGCCTTGATCCACAGATTCTCGACCATACCTGCACAACTTCGGTGTCATCTGCAGTCACGCAAAAAGTGAGCGTCTGCATCAGCTAGTCTTGCCTAAACTCAAGACTCACTGTTCGAAAAGGCCCCGGAGCTTCGCCTGACTCCGCTGCAGGGCATTCGCAAGAGCTGCTGCACGGCACATCAGCAGCAGACGTTCGTCCATCCAGCATCGGTTCAATTCGATTTGCTCCCCTCTCTGATGACTCAACTAGCTTTTCATGCCGGTGTAGCGCCTCAGCATCCGCACACGTGCATCCATGCTGCCACTCGGACACCCTCGACACACCACCCCCAGCCTTGCGACCGATCTCGTCTACGAGCGCTTGTTTTGCGAACGCATCTTGGGCCTTCTGCAGCTCATTTGCGATTCAGATTGCGGAAACGCTGGTTGATTGCGCGTCATCATCCCCCTTTTCCGCTCACAGCTAGCATCAAGGGTCGTACACTTCCGATCGAGGTTGGGCAAACCCGCTTCCCCCACCTCCCACACCTCGTACCCAAGCCTCCATTCAGGCGACTGCAGCGTACCTGCCAACACCGTCGGACGCAGCACAGGGCAACCTCTCCATCGAGCCTACGACTGCTCACCGACTCGAGCTTACTTGCCTCGCCCAGGCTCTGATCTGCTGGCAAGCCGATTGCGATTGCTGCCATTGGAAGCAAATTGGCATCCTGAACGTTTGTTCCCAACAAACAAGTCTTGCCTGCTCATCAGCGGATCGCACGCGCCATTCGCGTTCTCGTCGCCGTCAATCATCTCATTCTTCAGGTCGCATTTCACACTCGGCCATCCTCTTGAGTTGCGCTTCAGCCATCGCACACAGGCCTCTACTCCCGCGCACAGCAGTCGAGGACCAATCTGCACCGCCACGTTCAATACCTCATTGATCACACACAGCGTTTCGCGAAGCGAAGATCTGGGTGGCAATCAATTTGGCAAAATAGAGTGCAGAGTAGAACGACAGCGACGCGCGCTCAATTTAGAAGCGCGTTGATTCATACTTGCTGGTGGAACTCGCAACAATTCCTGCTGAGCATAGCTGGAGCATTCCGCCAACTCAGTCTAGCTGCTGGTGAGTTCGGCTTGGAGCAATAGCCGGAGGGGTGGGTGCCAAGAGATCGTCAGGCTGGCTTCGCATGGATGTCAGGCCCACATCATAGCAGTATGTGTCAGTCTCATCAAGTCTGCGTGGACTGGATAGGATGGGGGCAGCCGTCATGGCTGCGCAAGTTGGGAAGTGTCTGGCACTGGCTATAGGAGGCTCGCTGATGCAAGAGGTCTTGCAAGCTTGAGCAAGCCTCGACGATGGCGATGCGCTGCACATGCCGCTGCAAAGGAAGCATCGGTCAGCTTGGAGTGGAGCACGAGGTTGCGTCCCAAATCAGCGCAGATTATCGAGCCTCCTCGCTGGGCAAGCTATTTTGGGCATGAGTTGGGCGCCAGATCGACGAAGCAAGCAGGCAGCCTTCCGCAACAGTGCGCGCGCAACTCTATTCAAAAGTCGCTGTTTAGGCGCTGGACGCCGACGCAGGAGGAGCACGTGTGCGCTCCAGCTCAGATCCCCGAGACCCTCACGCTGTTGCAGGCTACGCAAAGTGCAGCTTGATTGGGATAGGTTCCTTTTGGGCAGACGAGATGGGATTCGAGCTTCAGAGACTCGCACTGCGCACGCTCAAAGAGATCTGAGACTGAGAGGTCGATGTGCATTCGTGCAACGTCGCGCTTGGCCGACTACGAAAGCGTCGCGTTGCGGCGCGCAGGTTCATCGAGCAGCAATGTGCTAAAGGCTTGTTGTCGTCCTCGGGATCGCGCCTCTTGCAGTAGGCTGCAGAGGCGAGACATGCTGGACTTTCACTGATGGAGGGTCACCGAAGAGTACCGGCAGAGCCAGAGCTTGCGGTGCTTCCAAATACATCGGTCCTCTGAAGTCTTCTGCTGCTGGTGCGCTCGGAATGTCGAGCAAGGAGCATCGGGTCTCCGCGTTGCGTCTACACGGCCAGGCACTAGACTCAGAGTCGAGCCTCGAGGGAGGATCATCGTCGGGATCGTCCAGACAAGCTAAACCGACCCATTTCCTGATTTGCTTGCAGAGCCGAATCCACTTCGTGTATCCAGACCTGGAGTCTTCGGAGGTGCACGGTTGATCGGTCCCTCTCATCGCAAGTTGTGGACCCCCGCGGATCCCGCGCACATCCACCCTCGCCGCTGCAAGTCACTCGCCGAACACCCGCAAAGAAGGCATTCGTTATCGAGCAGCTTGCACGCACATCGGCGCAACGCCTCGTTGGTGGCCAACTGATTACTTGCAGCATCAAACCCGACATTCAGTTTCAGAGTCATCAGAGTTGGCCTTGTCTGCCCCATCCAGTGAAACCTGATTGCTAGCCAATCTATTCGGACGGAACCGACCGTGCTGATTGGTTCATCGCTACGAGCGACGAATCACAACGAATTGGTGGTCAGGTCGCTGCTTACAAGCGACTGGGTATCAGCGATTGTACGCTGAACCCGGATGCGCCTGCAGTGTCGCGCCAAGATCAGCCTGGCTCCGAGACAGCTATCAGTTTGGAGGACGCGATCGACTTTTCTGCTTCAGGCAACAGGCAAGCGCTTAGTCTCAGCCCAGTCAGAAGGCTACCGAGGACCAGCGCTTTGCAGCTCCGGCTTTGTTAGTTGGGTTCAGTTATAGATCCGGATTCTTCAGCCGCTGTAGTGGGATGGGAACCTCTTCCACTGGGCCATCAAAGGTCTTTTAAAGCGTCGAGACTTCGTGTCGTGGAGAATTTTGCGAAGCTACTACTACCATCAATCACGGACGCAGCGTTCATCACGTCACCCGGACACGGCGGTGTATCTGAGGTACTCGGTCACCGGACCCGACGTTCAGCCCAGAACTGCGCGATACCGTCCGCGGTTTGAGACGCTGAGCAAGTGTCACACCACGGCTCTCAGTACAACCACAGCATGTCACACGTCACATCTTCACCGATTTGGCACGAAGGTGCATTCTCAGCCGAGCAGTACCGCCAGTCAGCTCCAGCGGTTCCTTTACAAATGGTGCCCCCAAACGCCCAGTTACGTGGTATGCCACCTTCACTCGGACACGCAAGGCACTTCACGACGCCAATCGCAGCGCCCGCTCAGGGACTTACAACAGCCCACGATGAGGGACGGCCTTCCGATTCAAACGGTCTCACTCCGTAAGTGACGTTGGCGCCCGCTTACGGTCCACACGAGCTCATCTGAGGTCGTGCCCTCCCCTTTCTGGGTGATGTGCACTCTCAGGTCGTGCTCTCGGTGCAGACAAAAGAAGTTGAGATGTGATTTTCAGACACCGTGCTCAAATTGCATTGGCAAAGGTTTAGAAAGCGAGTGTCACAAGGATGTGCGAATTCCTAGGGGGCGCAAGCGACCCAAGTGAGTGTGATGAGGCGATGAAAAGTCCAGCGCTGTCGTACGCTAATCTTGACTCTCGACTATGACAGAGCCGAATCGCAGCTCACAGACGAAGAGGAGATTGTCAAGCTGCGCAAACGGCTTGCCGAGCTAGAGGAGCGTGCCGTTGGTGGTCGATTGACACCGTCAAACTCATCAGCAAACAGTTTGGGTGGCCGGGTGTCCACGCGGAGCGATAAGTCACTGAGACACCGGCACCATGCAACTGGTCCTGCCGATGATCGCTCGGGCGGTAACAGCAGTCCTGGCAGCCGAAGCCACCTGTCTAGCAGTTTCGTCACTGCCACTAGAGACATCATTGGCTCGCAGGAAGGTTTGAGCATCCATTTGCCACTTTCTGGCAGTGCGTCTTCAGACTCATTCCGATCCGTTCCTCACGGCAGCACAGTCCCATCGCCCCATTCAGCATCCGCCAACGGGAGTGTGCTGATAAAACCCCAAACTCACACTCGCTCCTCGAAGCCCTTGATCTTGTCACCGCTGCTGCCTGCCGAGCGCGCGTTGCGATCCCTCGAGACCGTCGCCAATCCCTCTGCCGCCCGCACGATCGGCGGTACCTCTGAACGTGACGGTCTGCTCAAAAGACTGACAGGTCTTTCCGACGATGCGCCGAACGCCTATTGGTCGAATCCGTCCAGTGCCGAGGAACGCATCGCATTGTTTGTAGAAGCACGTGCTGCTATTCCGGACCCCATCGTCGTCGAAGAATTGGCTAGAACGTTTCTGTGAGTAGCGGCAATCGCGTCGATATTAACCTCAAACGCGCTTGCTGACCTCGCTGAGTTGCTCTCGCACATCGTCTTAAGCTACCGGGCCAATCACTGCGGTGGCCATGTCGTCTACACGCCCTGGCACAAGGCCGCGACCGAGCTACTCAGTATCGCCAGCCCCGAACAGGCGCTTTCGGCCCCCATATTCCAGGACGTCTCGAATCTTGGACTCTGGTTCTTGATCCTCAGCGTCGGGTACCATTTTCATCCCAACAATGGGCCGACTTCGCACACTCGCGGATTCGCCGCGGTGCACGCTCTTCGCAAGTCTGGCATCGATCCCTCAGTACGCTGGTACGGCATCGCTAAGCGTGCTCTTGCCATCGAGAAGGACTACGTCTTGAGAAGCTTGCCTGCCCTCCAGTGCGCCTCCCTTTTCCTCCTGCTCGGTCGTGATGACCCGGCCTGGCTGCGAATGCTGCGGGCGATGGCTATCGCTGGTGCCCGTGATATGGGCCTGCCAAGATTGGGAAGCGCCAGCTATACGCACGAGATGACCACGAACGACTTTGTTCGTCTAGAGACTGCCGTGCGCGTCTGGAACTTCCTTTGCGTCAGAGACTGGTGCTGGTCGCAGCGCGATGGCAGCTACTCGCTCCATCCGAGTCAGATGACGACACGCCTTCCTTTGAACCTCAACGACGCCGATCTCGAAGCTGGCACGACCGAATCCAAGTCATCATCGAACTGGACCGAGATGTCCTTCGTCATCGCCCAGGTTGGCCTTGCGCACTGTGTACGCGACGCTGCAGATCTTCGCAACGCGAATCTGGGTGACACGCCGCGAGCGGTCGTCGAGTGCATCGACGAGTCCTTCCGACGTTTCTTGAGCGCTGGTTTACCGCACTTCTACAGCGTCAACAGTAGGGAGGCTACTCCGCCAATCATGGCACCTCAACGATGGATGCTACACCAGCAAGTGTTCCATCAGCTTTTGCTGGTCCACAGGAATCACATCGCTTCGCCTGTTGGACGGTCAACGTGCTTATCGCTCGCCCTAGGCACCCTGGAGCTGTTCAAGCAGCTCCGCATGATTTGCCCGATAATCGAGGGCATGTATGTCAATTCTCAGCACCTCTTCGCAGCCGGCACTCTCCTCTTGCTCGACTTGTTCAATGACAACGTCGATGATGAGCATCGTGCCAACGTTCGCGACAAGGTCTCGGCCGCTGTGCAGTACATGTCTCCAGCACCTCGTGCCAAGCAGCTGCTCAGTACGCTATTAGATGAAGAAGCGCAATATTATGAGGCCACCAGAGATCGGAAAGCGTACATGCAACGCGACAGGACTTTAGATCTGGCCACACTCTGCGACCGGGTGGCGGAAGTCATCGAGCAAACACCTGGTCTTCCTCGCGACGATGTCAATGCCATCGACGACGTAAGGATGCCGGACCATCACTTGATGCCAGCTCTCATTGGACTACAATCGCCGACGAGCGATTTCAACCAGACCAAGCCAAACCTCGAGCATCATCTATCCCACGACAAGGTCGGGCCGAGCTCTGCGTTCGAAGATCCGAGGTTTTTTGGCTCTGATCAACGACAAGGAAACACGTCGGCATCTTCATCCTCGCGCCCGAATACCGGTCTGATGCCCCGCAGAGGCACCGTGCTATCGCCAGCTCTGCCGTCGCCCGCCGAGCTTGCCAGAAGAGCGCCAAGGATCCTTGCAGAAGGAGCCATCACGCTGCCCAGCATCGGCATGGATCACAGCTTGTCTTCAAATCAGCATAACTCCTTCAACATCCACCCTAGCTTCCGATCGGCCGTGTACGACCAGCCCAGCAGCAGCAGCAGCCACAACGACGACAACGCTATGGGACCCATTCCTACCGGCGGCTTTGACGTGTTCGCACCGAACAATGTCCACTCCGTCTCGGAGAATGATCAAGCGATTTGGAATTGGCTGCTATCTGCCGGTCTTCCAGACATGCAAACTGCCTTCTGAGCCCGTTTGCCTTTCCCGCGCCTCAGTCAACGCCTCTACCATCATTCTCATTAGGCTCATCTCAAGAATGTCTAGACGCGCATCGTGCCGTCGTTCGCTCGCTTCCTCATTGTGCCAGGAATTCTCAACACGTACCCGTGCCTTGCGACTCATCTTCTATACTCTGCATCGGCCTTTCGCTCCGCGCTCGACTCTTTCGCTCCATTCACGTGAACTTTTTTTGCTCTGCGATCCCCTCGCGCGCGAGAGAAGTGTCGATGTACAGTCGTCATCCGTCCGCCGCTCACCTAATGTCATTGGCTGCTCGACAAAGCGTCTCGCCCGCTTGCTGATCAGTCGTGAGTGCGGGCGTCTGCGTGTGGCAAGCGACGGAGATGGGAGAATGTGCGTGACGAGGTGTGTAGGTAGAAGAGGTTTCGTGAATGGATACAGGGTCTGGAAGGTAGAAGAACAGAGGGTGGACGCGCTCGATGCGGCGCACAAAGTAGCGGTATGAAGGGCTTGGACGGGAGAAGGAAAAGGTGATACATGGACGAGACGAGGCTCGCTGAAGCATACATACAGAGCGACAGGGAGGTAGGTCAGCGTGCAGACTACTGCTTGACGACACCTTGCGAGCTGCCTAGCTTGTCCGCGTTCTGACGCTGCTTGTCTATGATGCCCTTGAAGGCCTCAAAGAAGTAGAAGAGCAAGGTGGTTTGCGGTTGCAATCTGAGCCAAGCGGGTGTCCAGCCCCTAAAGAAGACCGTCGGTCCATCCTTCTTGACGGCGCCCCGAATGATGCTGACCAGCGTAGCTGATGGATCCTTATTGTTCTGCACGCGCGACTTGATGAAATCTACTGGTTGCGCCAGCGTCGTTGCGGCTGTTCCTGCGCAAAAGGTTGCTGCTGTCACCACCATGCCGTCGGGCACCGCCTTGGTACTTTCGAGCAGATTCTTGAAAAAGTCGTACCTGAATGCGAGCTGTGTGTGAGCTCAACTTGCGATTCCATTGCTTTGACGCATGGCACATCCGCCTTCCACTCACCCGGCCAGCTGGCCGACATTCAGGGTCGCGCCCTTCACCACATTGGCCTCCATGCCGCGCACCAAAATCTTGACTCCATCATCCCGAACTACACGCACAAGTCCATTGACAGCATTTCCGTACGCAAAGCGCTCAGCTGGAGCTCTGTTCAGATCGGAGCAAGTGCGCACGAGAACAATCTCTGCAGGGTTGCCCACAATCTGTAACCAGTGGCACTAGGTCTCAGCATACAATCATGCAGCTTCCTGTCAGACGCGACGAGAAATTGACCCACCGAGGCTACACCACCTCCAAGACCTGCGGCAAAGGCCAGCTCCAAGCTGGTCGGCTTTGTCTTTCCTTCGCTTAAGAAGGAAGCCTTTGTCTTTTCGTACACAGCAAATCGGGTCAAACTTGGGAATAAAGGTGGGGCGTGCAAAGCGAAGCGCATGCAGTCTTGTGAGCGAGAATGGTAGGAAGCCATGCGGAGAGTGAGCTACTTACGAGTAGCTGAACTGTCGTAGCCAGGTGGCGGTGAGACCATGCCAAAGGCTGGTGATGCCTTCTGATTTGGCAGTGGAGATGATGGTAGCGAACATGCCTCTTTTGACAGTTGCGGTCTCTATTGTAGACAGTACCAAGCGTCGTCGTCACAGGACGCGGGTCAGATGGGTGGAAGGAGTGGAGGACTTTGCAGCGCAGACATGAGTGACTACGCACGGAGTCTGTACTTTGTCAGATCTAGCGGATGTCTGGACAATCAGGGCGAGGAGCATGGTCAGCGTTGCAGCAAGGACAGAATGCCGCGCTCGACGTCAACGTCGATACTTACGTTATCGTGGCTGCACAGCATGCGCTGGCTCCTCCCAGCCAAAATGGATAAGGCTTTTTCTGAATCGGCGCGCCTCCTGGACCAGCCTCGCGCAGAGGTTGTTGACGTGATGCGGACATTGTGAAAAGCCGAGGAGCAGCAGATGCAGAAATTACGAAACAGTGCTGGGGCCGTAGCTGGATCTTGGAGAAAGGTTTGTGCTGGAATGTGAGAAGCCAAGGTGACGAATAATGACAGCGTCGCCTCAAGTGCGAGGAGCACTCTTTTGGCTTGCGAGATGGCGAAGCCAGCACAGGATGGGCAGACTGGCCAAGAAGGTGATGGATGTTCCCCTCGTCTAGAGGAGGAAGCTCGCGTCGCAGCTTACACTCCAATTGAAGCTCCGTTGCGTGTCGATCGTTGAGCTGACAAACTCGGTGAACTCGTTGTTTGTTACGAAACTTGTCTGTGCGGGGCGACGAGCGATTGAGAAGACGTTGGAATGGCCCGTCCAGGGAGCGGGCGCAGTTCACAGCTGCTGGGCGGTCAAGCGAAGCGACGACCACGGCAAAGGCAAAGGCAAAGGCAAAGGCAGGGCAAGGCAAGGCAAGGCAGGCAGCTTTGAGATGGCCCCTGGCGAGTCAGAGTGTGAGAAGGCAGACGACGGGTGGATGAACCCGCTGATGGGTTGGACAGCTCAGCTCAGCTCATATGCCTTGCACCTCGCCCATCGTGGATGGGACGGGCTCTGCTCTTCGTAGACTCACAGTACTCGTGACTACTCGTTCATGCTGACTGTAACTGTGACCCGCGAGAGCGCGTATCAGTATTGGTGGGCCGAAAAGCATGCAGCAGCGTGTGAGCACAGCATCACGATAAACCCCACATTTGGCTCCAAAGCTCCGCGCACACACGGGATGGCTTGGACTGCCCAAGTGCCTGCGCATCAGTCTCTCGCGCCGCGTGCATTTACCGCGGACTCGTCTGACTGACACCAAACCTTGCTGCATGGCCGCGCCGTAATTCAAGATTCACGATTTGGACGTACGGGGCATCATCATCATGCACGCACGGACCACATCAGCTCGCACACTTGCAATCGTGAATAATCTTGGGAATTGCGAATGATTCGTGACGATTCACGATGATCCACGCTGGTGCTGAGATGCTGCATGATCACACATCCTCCATCCTCCATCCTTCACGATCCGCCATTGCATCTCGAGACTCACCACCGAATTTGCAAGCACCGCCAACAGACCACGAGAATCACTGGTCAGTCAAATCTTTCCTTCCCACGCACGCACGCACGCATGACCGACACGGCATCTTCCTCGAGGCCCAAAGTGGTCCTCACACGTCCTCTACCCACTTGCATCCTGGACGAAGCCAAAGCCGCAGGCGCGATCGACCTGAAGATTTGGAAAGATGCGGAACGACCTGCGGATAGAGACTGGCTTTTGCGCAGTGTGGAAGGAGCGGATGCCGTGCTGGTCATGATGAGCGACAAGGTGCGTGCGCGTGCGCAGGGAGTTTTGTGCGTGTGCGATGGGGGGTCGTCGATGTCATAGAGTGCAACGTGGTGGTGCTGCCCGCCATCAGAATCACGTCGCAATGTCTGACATCCAAGCCGCCATCCTGATTCGAGCTCAGGTGGACGCGGAGCTGCTGGATCGCGCTGGACCTTCTTTGAAGATCGTTTCTTGCATGAGCGTAGGCTACGATCACGTCGATACAGCCGAGCTGAAACGTCGAGGTATCCGGCTAGGTCACAGTGAGTCATCGATGTGCGCCTGTCATGCATGCTGTCAGAGAAGATCAAATTGACCATTTGTCGCTGTGCTACATCGCAGCTCCTGATGTGCTCAATGCAGCAGTGGCAGATCTGGTCTTGCTGCTCATCCTCAGCACCACCAGGTTGTTGCCCAACGCCAAGCGGACGGTGGATGAGGGACGTTGGCCACAAACACCTTGGGCTCCGCTCAGCTTCGCAGGTCCGAGCTTGCAAGGCAAGACCATTGGCTTTGTGGGATTTGGCGCGAGTGAGTCGAGTTGCGCATCGAGGGTGAAGGCAAAGGCGCTTTGATGCGCGACCAGAGCGTACGACTCGTACGGTTGACAATAACCGCTTCCACCTGCGCTGCACGTTGCACGTTGCCCGACCCCTCATCTTCCTCGCAGTTGCCCAATCCACTCTTCTCCGCTTGCTGCCGCTCGGTCCTACTCGCTACATCTACCTCAATTCTTCTCCCCAGCCTTTCGACCTTGACAATCCTAAATTTGCAGCCCTAAAAGCAGGCGGCTTGGAGAGGCTCTTGCCTGCGTACGAAGCGGTGCAGGGAAGCAGGATCAGCATAGAGAATGCCAGGGACTTGGAGGATCTGTCCAGGCAGTCGGATGTGATTGTGTGAGTGTGCTGGCCAGCTGAACCAGGAGCGCTCGCTGCGCCATCATCAACCGACACCTCATTCCACTCTCGCATGGCAAATCTCCTCACAGCGTGCTAGCGAGCTTGAACGCAAAGACGAAGCATTTGATAGATGGGCGATGCTTTGATCACATGAAGTGAGTCTGGCGTGTTCTGCCTCTTCCAAAGGCCACACTCGACTGAACTCGTCGCTCCGGATTTTCGCAGACCCACAGCGCACCTCGTCAATGCCGCTCGAGGGCCTTTGGTGGATACCTCCGCTCTAGTCTCTGCGCTTCAACAAGGCAAAATGGCCGGCGCAGGACTAGACGTCTTGGAGGGTGAACCGGTTATTGGAGCATCGCACCCATTGTTATCGGATGAGAGCATCAGGGATAAAGTCTGCTTGTTGCCGCACATGGGCAGCGCTACGTTGGAAGCTAGAAGAGGCATGAGCGAGCTGGCGGCAGCGAATGTGCTGCATCAGTTGGGCTTTGCACACCTCGTAGAGGGCAGAGGGAGCAGACTTGTTCAATTGTAATGTGTAATGTTATTCCAGCCGCCGCGTGAGAGAGGCTCATGATGTCTCTGTGTATGGCGAGGATGCGGTCGGCACCTATTCGATTGGCCCAGGCTGAACAGGCGCTCGGAGACCGCGCAAAGAAGCGACTTGCTGACTATGGGCATGGCAGTGGGTCTGGTAACCTACAGTCGTGGGTCATTGAGTGCGGACACAGACACGAGCGTTTAGCACCTTGGTCATGTCGCCATCGCCTGCAGTCCATGCAGCAGGGTGTAGCAACGAGCAACGAGCAACGAAGGTGGAGCGCGTCCCACCATGCAGCACCTCGACGCAAAACTACTTGAACGCGTGTCACTGTTTGCAAGGTGCGTGAAAGTCGTGCGTCACCCAAGATGCGGGGCAGCAGCAGCAGCACGCAGCGCAGCAGGTTCGGCATGACCGGCCGCGGCATTTCGTCAGCCCGATACTCCGGCGCGCCGCTATATATACAAGCATAGTCCAAACTATAGCCTTCGCGCAGAGCAACACGCTTCCATCACAGACGTACCACGAAACAGCGAAGAAAGCCCATCTTGGATTGCCTTGCGGTGCTTGCTGTGTTGATTTCCACATCATCAAACCAGTCCTTCCCCCGTTCTACGTCGTCGCTGCAAAATCATCGACGAGACTTGTGCTGACGATACAAGCAGCAACCTTCTTCTGAGCTTTTCTCGGATCGTGATTGCGGTACCCGTGCTCCTTCTCCACTTCCACCTCCAAACCGACCTCGTTCTCGTTGCGCAACGTTGATTGCTGCCAGCATGGCTGCTCCTCCACCCACCACGACATTCGAAACGAAGGATGGTGCAAAGATTGCCTATCATGTCTATGGCAAGGATCTGCTGGGAAAGGTGACGCCTATAGCATTGGTGAGCGTGCAGAGCAGGCTCATGGCTACGCGAACGGCTCAGAACGAACCTCTTGACTGAATGCGCGGTGGCTTTGGCGTGCTGCTTGTCGCAGATCATGGGCATGTCGGGAGTGATGGAGGATTGGTCGCCGCTATCCGAGACGCTAGGAATCACTCGACCCGTGCTGGTGTGGGATCATCGAGGCATCGGTCATTCCAGCGTACCAGCCGATTGGGATTACGATCTCTCTCTTCAACTCATGGCTTCCGACTTGCTGGAACTGTTGAACGGGCTGGGAAAAGACTGGCAAAACACCCACTTGCTGGGTTGGAGCATGGGCGGACACATCTTGCAGACCCTCTTGACCTTGCCTGATGCGAAAGAGGATGGCAAGGGCGGACTGAATATCAGAGGGATCAGAGTCCCTTCGGCTATTTTGGCAGCTACCATGACGAAGATGCCTCGAGGAGATTTCAAGCCCGATGAGCTGGAAGCCGCGTGAGTATCGACGTGTTGTGGTGGTCCTTCAGGCTGACAATCGAATCGCGCTCAATACTCCCTCTCCTCTTGCCGCTCATCAGCGCTGCCAATGCCAAATCAAAAGAGGAGCGCAACAAGCTCATGTCGGAAGCCATCATGGCCCTGCAATACTTTCCCGAATGGATCACCTCCTCCCAAGACCACGCTTCCCTGCTAGCCCATCGCGTCAAAGTTTCCCTCGATACGCGTCGTCCTCAAGAGATCATCGGCCTTCAAATCGGAGCTATAGGAGCGGTGGATACTAGACCCGACCTTTATCGCATTCCCCAAACCTTACCTACGCTCGTCATTCATGGAAAGAGGGATCGCATGGTGGCTTATTCGGAGAGCGAACATATCCTAAAGGGCATCAAGCACGCCACTAGACTCGACACTCCCAATGATCAGATTGGTCACTTTTGGTGCGTCGCAAATAGAGCATCCTGCGTACGCTAACAATACTGCTTGTTGCTCACTCAGCTTCCCGCGCCCCCCTCCCCCCACCCTGTCGTCATGTGACCTGATCCGACTATGCAGGTTCGACTTCCTCACCACCAACTTTTGGGTCGACTCTATCAACGCCCACCTCGACTCTGCCAAACATGTCCAAGCAGCAACCGCAAATTCCAAAACGTCCGCGCAGCAATCCAAGTTGTAGTCCCCCCCACACAAATGCTCTCTCTCCCCGCGAATAGTCGCTTCTACACCTCGAACTGCTCGTCAGGCTCCAGCTGTACGTGCTCCCGCTCGTGTAGGTCTTGCGTTGGGATTTGCAGGCACGCGCCATACTTTTGGCCCAAGCGGCCCAGACCTCCTTCGCGCCTCTTCTTCTTCTGCTCACGAGCAGCGCGGTCAGCACAATCGAGACTCTATGCAGCATTGATGTTACATATCGAGGCGCGCGTGCAGTAAATAAGAAATGGGAGATGGTAGAGCAGATGGATGTAGCTATCAAACGAAGCAGCAGCAGAAAAGCCATACACTTTGGTTTGGCGTGGTCCCTACGATGCAGACAGACGACTGCGCCGTGCCCAGCCGGATTCCTGTCAGCTAATCACACGAAGCGTCTTCATCTCAACGTCCATTGTTCTGCACTTGAGGCTGAGGCGAGCCGTGCTGACCACCAGAGCGCTGGTTCGAAGAAGTCTGCGAAAGACTTTGTTGATGCTGCTGCTGCTGCTGCTGCTGCTGCTGCTGTTGCTGCATTTGAGCAAGCTGAAACGCGTGTTGCTGAAAGTGCGCAGCAGCCTGGGAGTGCATCGGAGAAGGGAAGAAGGCTTGGCTGCTGGCAGACGATGCACCCGATGACCTCGCCTGCGGGGGCGGCGCATGTGGTTGGAAGCGAGGCTGAGTCGGACTGATGTCCCTTCCATTCGGTGGACCATACGCGCCATGATGCCTCAAAGGCGCAGTCCCGGCGTTGGTGGGATAGAAAGCGGGCTGTCCATTCGACAAGCTGCCAACAGGTGAGCGCGCGCCTTGGCTGGCATTCGACAGCGCCCGCTGTCGAGAAGCAGAGGACGAGCTTGAGTAGGCCGAGTGTGCGCTTTGAGACACAGGCGTCGCTGCCAAAGGTGAGGGTGAACGTGCATCCGCTGCGTGCGCCGGTACTGGGAAGAACGGCTTATTCGCTACGGGCCTGTGCGCGGACTGGTCTGGTGTCGGCGCGTGATGCGGTGAGTAAGCGCCCGTGTTGGCTCGCAATGGCTGAGAGATCGAAGATTGACGGCTCCGCTCTTGAGCTTGGACCTGTGGATGAGGCGATGCGTGCGCCACCTGTTGCCCAGGCGATCTTGAGGAAAGCGGCGACGTAGCTCCAGGCGTATGCTGAGGAACGGAAAGACTTTGGCCCAGCTGATGCGATTGGCCGTGTTGCGCTTGCGTCACAGGCACGGGCGTGGTCGTAAGCGGTGGCACCGGTCTGGTCGGGGCGCGCGCGTTGTTCGGCGCTCGCGATGATTGACCGTGATGTCTGTGAGGCCGATCGTGTGGATCGTGTCGAGTGGCATCATAGCTCCTGGATGCAGCTATCCTATCGAGTAGATGGGGGCCGCGCTTCTTCTTCTCGCCGGTAGAAGTGGCTGCCTTGCCCTGCTGTAAGTCGTTGGGTGATGCTGGCGAAGAAATGGGGGGGCGCGCATTGAGTCGTTCGAGCGCCCGACCTTCCAAGCCCTCGGGCAATTTGACAGTCTCGTTGTCCGCAATGACAGGAGGTCCAACGAGACCCAACGGGTGAGCGAGCGGTTTCAACGAAAGCACAGGTGACGTGGCAACGGCAGCTCTTCTTCTTCGCGCTTCGGGACCATAGGACGCCTCGTCCAGGGTTCCCCAATATCCATCTCCAGGCTCACCACCTGCATCTATCAGAGCGGGATCAACAGCAGCTGATTTTGCGGCGGCTCGCAATTTTGAGGCCACAGGGATCAAATCGCTGCGCCCGCTCTCCAATTCCAAGCGTGGTCGGAGCTTGACCAGCTCGGTCAAATTACCCAAAGCTTGACTCGCTGCATAAATTGAGAGGGTGTGTGATGTCAGTCCCGCTGGACTAGCAGGTGCTAGTCAACTGATACAGCTCACCTGTATGTTGCTCTTCAGCAGAAGGAGCCACCTCGCGTCCACTTTTGTAGCCTCGCCTTAACCTCGCATCCTGAAGCTCTTGCAATCGCTCCAGCAAAGCGCGGCTCTGAGCCAAGCGATGCTCTATGCTCTCTTCGTCTCCGAGCTGTTCGTAGGCGGCCGCCAAAGTATCGGGGTGCAAGTCAGGATGCAAGTCCGCAAAGTCCGCCTCATGCAAGTACGAGTCGGCTCCTTTCGCGTCCTGCGTGGAGGCGAAAGCTACTGGTGCCACCATGGGCGCTGCAAGCAGATCGGCTCGGGATTTCCCTTCAGCTTTAAGGTCCGCCCAGCCTTTCGCTCGAAGCTCGTCTCTGCGTCTTCGGCCCTGAGACCACATCAGTCTAGAACCGGCAAGCCCAAGTGTCGAGTCGCTGCTGTCGTACGTCGGTGTGAAGGACGACCATGCGTCGTAGTACAGATGCGTAGCTGCTCGTAGCGCGCACACAAGACCTCATGGGTAAGCGAAGAAAGTGTGCGAGGCACACTTCAACATTTCAATGTTGCTCACCCGGCACAATCCGCTCTCCAAGAGCATCATCATCAGGACCGATGGGAGGAGTGGGTGTGTTCCTCATATTGTCCGCCACGCTCTTTAGTGACTTCTTGTTCTTGACCGCCGATAGGGCTCTGGAGCCAAGCGTGGGCACCGGCATCTTTGACCGTGCCTTCGGGGCAATCGAGATGACGTTTGCGCAACCTGTTGTGCGAAGCGAGCCGAAGTCAGTTTGTGAACTGCTCTGGAACATTGGTTGGGTCAATGCCTCTTACCTGGGTCGATTCTTCCTGCATCGCCTTCTACAGCACTCGTGAAATAGTGACCAGTCGGTAAGAGCATGTGCAATGCGATCTTTCGTGCAGCGCTTTCAGACCCCACAGTGCGTGTGTGATCAGAGTGTTCCTGCTTGAATCTGGCTTCAGCCTGCTCATCCTCGCCTACCCCATCTCCGCCGCCCATGTTGGTACGCCTCTTGGCCGCGAGGCCGTCTACCAATGACAGCAAGAGGGCGACGCATCCTTGCTCGTGATTCGGAATCGCTCTTCTTGCCGTGTGCGCTGTATGCAAAGCGGCTACACTATCCTGATCCTGCTCATGCGACCTCAACGCCTCCCTCCCATCGTATGCTTCTTGCGAAACGTCTGCGCGAGCATCCTTGAGCTTCAGTAAGAAAGACTGAGTGCAGGAAGGATCATGTGAGCCCCAACCAGTGGACCGCACGAAAGCGTGTGCATTGGAAACTTACTCTCAAGGCTCGGATGCCGATCTTTCGATGTGCCAGTGTCTCTTCTAGGGTGGCTGGCTCGACTTCACAGGCAGCAGTGCTTGCATCAGCTTCAACCTTTGTGGTCTGGACTTGCCGCTGCAACAGTCCGGGCGCGTAACTGATTGAACGCAAGTGAGTGAGTTTTGGCGCCCAATCGTCAGCTTTGCAGTGCTGTCAAGGAGTAGTGCAGGAGCAGTCGCAACCTACCTTTCAAGAATGAGTCTGAAATGCTGCCGTTCCTCCTCTTCTAGCATGAGCTCATTATCTCGACCATCTATGTGCTGAGCATCGTCGATGCCCGAGGTTTTTGTCGATCTAGCTTTCTTCGTAGAACCATTGCTGGAAGACTTGAGGCCACCATTCGAGAGATTCACCTTGCGCGTGCGAGCCTCCTCGACACCCGATGCTGCTGTATCAGTGGCCACTGGTGATTCCGATCTCCCATTGGCTTGCCGAGGGCGCGCAACTCTGCCAGTTCCTCGCTGTGCGGAAGACTCGTCGGGGCTCAGCGTCCCATTTGCGGCTCGGCCATCCATTGATGGGCTGACCTCCCCAGCCTTGCCCCTTTTGCGCTTCAAGGTGGAAGGCAGAGCCGATGATGGTGCCGGGCTGCTCGTCGATGCTTCCAAAGACCCCTGCGCCCCCACATCAGCAGCTGCGCGAGACCGCTCTGACCTTCGCGTTGACATATTGAGCTGGAAGCTGAATTGCCAAGGAGCGATGGCGCACGCTCAGCTATCGCTCGATGCTCGATGCAGCACGTTTCGGAGTGGCGCACGTCGGCCACTTCCAGTCTCGGAAGAGGGAGGTAGTTGAAGTCCGAGCTCTCGCACGTGTGCGTCTATGGGCCTATGAGCGCGCGCTCTTCGAACAGTACTGAAAGGCTGAAAGTGCTTAGAGGAGCGCGAAGAAGGCCGGCAAGGAGTGCCAGATGCAGCAAGCGATACGTTGGGCAAGCAGCAGATGAAATCGCCGTGCAGACTCGGATACGCCGACCAGCAGTCACGAGTGTGAGCTCTGCTTTCACGTCCGATCGAATGTGCAGGTGAGATCAGCGCGCGGCTTTGTGGGAAGGAGGCCTTTGGCGCCTTCCGTGCGTCCGACGTCGCGGCGCAAAGGCTCTGCCCCGACTCGGAGCTAGGGAAGAAGCGTGGTTGATGTGCTCGTGTCGGTGTGCCGTACGGTGTGTACGTAGATCAAGTTTTTTGAAAGGCGCGCATATATGCGTCGTGAGAAACGAGTTCGTGCGCGTTGAGCTGCTGCGTGCGCGAGGCGAGGCGTTTACTTTGCGTTTGGCGACGACGCGACGCAGTAGCGGCAGCAGACAGACAGCAGCAGCAAGCAGGGTTCGGATGAAAGAGGCGCGTAGAGGATGCTGCTTGGCACGCGTGACTTGGCACACGTGAACGCTCGAGCCTTTCAAGGCGTTTCGATGTGAGGGTGGATGACAAAAAGGTTCACAACCATGCAAGATCGATTGGTGGAAGGATTTGAGATGGAATGGTATGCTGATACGATCGACTGAAGCGCAACGATGCCGTGGGAGCGAGCGATCGAGCCACGCGAGAAAATGAACTCAAGGCAGCAAATCGGCGCGTGGCCGCACGCGCCTCGCGGGAGCAGCCCTGTACGCGCGATGGGTCCACACGGCTGCCCATGCGCAGGCTACACAAGGCAGCAACGCGCCCAGCCGGCAGCAGTCAAAAGTCATGCATGGCACCTGCAGCTGTGCTCGCGCAGCTGGCAAAGGTGAGTCACGTGAGCCTACCTGGGGCCGAGCTCGCGCCTAAACTCCGGGCATTCTCCTCTCCGCCATACAAGTCGTAAGTTGAAATCTTTGGCCAAGTTGTGAACCAGAGGGCATTCAAACTTGTTGTTTGTCGCATCGGGAAACGTGAACCAGCACTTATCTGGTCGACATTACGACGACCCAACACCGCAGCGCGGTCGGCGCCGCACATCAACGTGCAGGCATCGCGCAGGCCAGGAAGGGCGGAGCGTGAAAAGTACGTTGTTGGGTTCGATCATAAATTCAACGACGCTTTTACCCGTGTTCGTTGAATTGCGCAATGGATGCAAAGTTGGCGCCTTTCCAATCAAGAATGCAAATCAGTCTGCCGTCTCCTCCTCGAAGAGGACAAGCTCGACGCCTTCTCCTATCATCTGACCAGCTTGAGCTGCCAATGTCGCGACGACGCCTGCACGAGGTGCGCGCACGACATGCTCGGTCTGCGCATGGCGGGGGGGAAACAAAGCAAAAGGAGAGGGCGGAAAGTCCGAAGTCAACCGGAAAAGCCGAAGATGTCAAGATCGGGCGCGTGTGGGATCTTCGCACCGTCGCACGCCGAGCACGCACCTTCATCGCTTCGAGCACGACTAGCACATCGCCAGCTTCTACCTTCGAGCCCACCTGAACGCGCACATCGACAACCTTTCGAGCGAACAAGGCCAAGTCGCGCAGCAGGCTTGTCAGCACGATCACTGCGTTGACTCGCGCAACGATATGCCGACACTCACCTTGCAAGGCATGGGGCTCCTCACGCTTGCCTTTGACTCCGTGAGCGCTCCTTTGAGCTCCGCAACCCATGCCGGGGCAACTACGTCTATTTCAATCTGCCTGTCCTCCAAGAACAGGTCCAGTCGTTCCACAGTATCCAGGGCATTGCTAGAAGGAGGTCTCGGCACGATCGTCGCTTGTATCCTGGGCGACGGAAACGCAGCATCGGCCGCGTCCGTCGGTGCCAGATCGGCGCTCAGCACTTCTCCTTCGCTGCCCGCGATGCTGCTCGAAATACATCGAATCGACGAGATTGCACCATCGTCCTCCTGCAGCTGCACAGTGAATACGCCGCCTTGCTCTTGGAGGACACGAACACTGACATGCGGCTGTTTCTCCGAGCCAGATGATGCCCGACCACGCAGAAGATACGTTCTGCTTGCAGGCTGCGCCGCCGACAACCGCAAAGCTTGGAAGGCGCTCAGAGCCGGACCTGCGTTGGCGGCGCTTGTCGCAGAGTCTCGCAGGGCAAGGTACAGCGCTGCACAGGTGAGCACCGACTTGCTTGGCCTGGGGACAGCTGGCAGAAGGTCGGCTTTGTATCTCTGTCCTCGGAGCTTAGCAATGATAAGCCGATAACAGATGCGATTTTCGAGCGGAAGCTCAGCGCACTCACAGCAATGAACCCCGTGTCAAGCTCGTCCGCGCTGATAAATGCCGGATGATCACACAGACGTTTGAGAAAGTCGACATTCGTCTTGGGACCCACGATACGGGTCTGCTCCAGTGCTAACCGCAGTCGCCGCAAAGCTGTACCCCTATCCTTGGCGTGTACGATCAACTTGGCAATCATTGGATCGTAGAAGACTCTGCGACGACAGCAGAGCAGAATCAGTACGGACTCTAGACGCAGGCTTTCGATTCAAACTCACGATACATCATCTCCACTTCGCACGCCCGTGTCGATTCTGACAACAGAGTCGGAGCCGATAGAGCTCTCCGCTGGAAAGTGTAAGTGCTGCAAGTGTCCCACATCCGGCAAAAAGTTGGACGCTGGGTCTTCAGCGTAGAGTCTAGCCTCAAAAGCATGCCCTTTGACGTGCACATCTTCTTGAGATAGCGGAAGCGGGGCGCCGCTCGCCACGAGCAATTGAAGGGCGACAAGATCGACTGCATGCGGAGCAAGGTACGTCGGCTGCCTGGCTCGAGCTGTCAAGCACTTGATGACCGTCTGCTCACCTCCCGTCACGAGCTCCGATACTGGATGCTCTACCTGCAGTCTTGTATTCATCTCCATAAAGTAGCTGCAGACGGGCAGGTGTTGAGAAACGCATTCAATGCAACGTCGCTGCACCAATGCAATCGTTGGAAGCGACTCCTTCCCACTCACAATTCGCCGGTCGTGGCGTCCATGATGAACTCGACAGTTCTGTCCGCAGCGTCATAATGCGCAATGTTGCTCAATTATGAAAGAGGGGCTCGCCGACATCAGGAGCCAGTCCACTCACCCTGCGCCAACATAGTCTACGGCTCTTGCCGCTTCAACAGCCTTCGACTCCAGATCTCTTCTGAGCTCTTCGGACAGGTCAGGGGCGGGTGCCTCCTCAATGATCTTTTGATGTCTTCGCTGCACGCTGCAGTCCCGACTGGAAAGCGCAATGTGTTGCGAGTGGGGTGGCGCAGAGGAGATGATCTAGGCAGCACGAGTGAAGCCGATTGATGAGTGTCTGCATTCGTCAGACGGCATTGCGTCATGCTTGACGAACCTGAACCTCTACGTGCCTCGGCTTGAGCAGATACTTTTCGATGAGTACTGTGCCATCTCCAAAGGACTTGGCAATGGAAAGCGAGGCTGAGCTTCAGCGAGGTAGCAGCGAATCAAATGATAGGCAAGCGTACCGACGCACCTTCTCAGCCTCCCTTCTTGCGCTCAACAGTTGCTCTTCAAATTCATTCTCATGCCACACGATCTTCATGCCTTTTCCTCCGCCGCCTTTGACTGCCTTGATCAGGACCGGAAAGCCCATCTTCTTGGCCTCTTGAGAAAGTCGTTCATAGGACTGATCATCACCATGATAGCCTGGAACGCACGGTACGCCTGCTGCTAGCATGATGGCCTTTGAAGCTGATTTAGATCCCATGCTGATGATCGCGCTCGTTGGAGGGCCGATGAACGTGATGCCGGCTTCTGACAGCGCAAGACTGAAGTCGCTGTTCTCGGACAAGAAGCCATAGCCGGGATGAACCATCTTGAAGCAATGCGTGCGGCAGGTGAGAACGAGCTCCAAATTTGGACCTTCAACCTGGCTCGTCGTGATACTCACCTCGGCCTCGGTCAGCTTGGCTACATTAATGATTCGATCCGCTCGTAGATAGGAGTCGCTCGATGCAGCGGGCCCGATGCAGTACGCCTCATCAGCCTGTATGGACCCAGGCGTATGGTGTGGAAATGTGACGGAAAAGTGAGGCGCAGACGTGGGCTCGCTCGCTGCTTTCTACACTCACTAGCTGCACGTGCAAGCTCTTGGCATCAGCCTCGGAATACACAGCGACTGTCCTGACGCCCAACGCTTTGCAAGTCTTGATGATTCTGCACGCTATTTCTCCCCGATTTGCGATCAAGATTTTGCTTGGCAGGCGTGCTGAATTGGTAGACGCGGTGTCCGAAGCGCCTGGAACGAAAACCTCCGCTCCTGCTTGGCTATGAGAGGTAGCGACGGAGCTCAGGCCCCTCCTGTCGGCAAGCGTAAGGCTCCCCTCTCTCTGGCGGAACGCAAGCGTCTTCGATGCGACGTCTGCTCCATCTGAGCAGCAATGAGTTGGAGTGGGAGCGAGCTCAAATGCGTACGTGCCGTCGCGCTGAGGTGCATTGAACATGCGCTCAAGCACACTCGCCGAGGCTGTGTGGAGTTGCGAGCGCAGAGCTGGCGCATTGATAGAGGTGTACGGTCTCGCAGTCGCTGCCCTTTTGGTGAGATGAAGCATGACTGCGGGTCAGCTGGCGACCAGATGCGATGCAACTTGTGAAAGTCTTCTGCAGGGCTTCTGGAGATGCTCTGACAGCGTCCTCAGGATGTCCACCAATGTCTCGTCCCCGTCGCGTCCCCTGAGCCTTCGAAGTGATCCTCGCCTATTCTTATCAGAGACTGGCACAAGCTGCTGTGGTCGCGGGCTTCAACGCGCAGCGCATATGAAGACCGCAAGGCGAATGCTTGGAACTTGGATGAGTGTGAATGATGGTGTTCATGGTCGCAACCCAAAAGCAGCAGTCAAGTCTCGCTTGTCACACTCACAGTGACTGCTCTACAGTACATGCATCTTTTGATGCGCTTCCCCACACTCAGCTCACGCATATCTTGCAAGCATCACGCGCGCGTATACCCACCGCCCCCTTCGGAGAAACGAAGGCGCGCGCGGGCCCGGACGCCGCGGGCAAGTCTCCGACAACGCGGGAGCCACTCTTCTGGATGCTGCTTGTGCGCAGGTATGCGTGCAACCTGCGCACAAGCAGCTACGCACGTATGCTCCCCATCCCATCATAGCTGCACATTCCTCACCCCACCACAACCAGTGTGAGTTGTGCGAAGCAACAGAGGGTCAAAGTCTGATGAGTCCTCGACGACGCAGAGCGTCTTGGGACACGACCCATCACACATTCTCTGCGAGATAGCCGTCTCTCCGCGTCTTGACGACAAATACATGGCAGAATGGCATGACTCAAACCAAGATACAGGCCGGCGTGTACTTGCGCTGGGGATCTTTCATCAGATCACAGAAGACATCAAATCAAGGTGGTGGTGGCCGACGGACTGGATCGATGCACGTGACTTCGTGCATGTGGAAGGCGCGACAATCACGAACGTGTGGCAGAGGTCACGTTCGCGATTGCTCAGGGCGGGTCCATGAGCAGAACAAGTCAAATCAGTCGAGTGGGGCTGCAGCCGAGACGATCATCACGCCTCTAATCCTCATCACGACGATCAGCCATTCACAGACCCTCTTCCTGATCACAGCACGCACGACTAGGATACTGACTTGCCGATGCTAACAGCCATCTCGCCCGCTTCGCTGTGCAAAAAAAAAATGAGCGGCCTAATCGTGATGCCGAGCATGTATTTGGACCAAAGCACGCTATTCGTCCTCCTCATCTTTTTCCCCATCGAGGTCGTAGGTGGCTCAGCTTTCGATCAGTCCTTCAAGAACCCGTCCATGCTGCTATACTTTGCCTTCTATCTCCTGTGCATCACTCTCGCATCGCGTTGCCTCTTACCGCTCGACAACGACGCTTCCACCGGCACACTGGTGCAAGCCATACAATACTCCTTTTCACAAGGAAGAGCAGCCCAACCACACGCTTTGCTGCTGAGCATCTCTCTGATCGGAGGACTAGCAGCCCTAGCATTATACCTTTACGCCTTGAGGCACATGTTGAAAGCGCACAGACTCAGCTTGATAGGTTCCAAGGATGCGCCGACCAAGCTGCTGAAGAGCGGTCCATGGCACCACATCAGACACCCATTCTACACTTCTTACATGATCAACATCATCTGCATCGCTTTAGCTTCTGCTCCAACGACCCGCAATCGTCTCATAGCGGCAGCATCGGCCATGGGTGTTTGTGTGGTCTGGGCTTTTGCTGCCACGAGAGAAGAAGCTAAATTCGAGCAGAGCAAGCTCAAAGGAGAGTACGAGGCTTACAAACGACAGACTGGCATGTTGATTCCCAGACTCACAATTACAGTATGCCAGAAAAGACGGCTCGAGTAGGAAGCAAGCAGATTCGGCTCGGTTTCCTGCACGCAAGCAACCTTGGATGCGAGAGGCGCCTCCAAGGTCGCACCGCTCACGTTTAGTAGAAGATCGTATTATACATTTCATGAAAGGCCTCGGTAATCTACGTTGCGCAAGAATGACGCGTCGCATCTATCGACTTCTAGCGATTCGCTTCCTCAAGCCTCGAAACTTCAACCACGCCCATGCCGACAACTTGTCCTCTCTCCAAGACGTGGCCTTGAACGCAACGACGGTGATGAGCACCTGGCCAAAGGTTATGAGGACTGCCCAGCCCGTGTACAGTGCGCCATCACCGACCGCATCTTGTAGTGGGCCAGCCACTTCGGAAGCTACAAAGGCCGTCAAGCCTCTGAAGAAACTGTTGCAAGACACCGCGCCCGACGCTCCTCCGACGTTGGAATCGACCTGTCGTGCGCGGCAAAAGAACAAACAAGTTCAGCGTGTGATCGAGGCTGCCCGTCGAAGCGCAGATGCAGTCGCACTCACGATGTAGCTCAGACTGGTAGAGTAAGGCCAAAAGGTTGAAAAACCTATCAAAACCAAGCTGACGACCGGCGCCGCAATCTCGACGTGTTGGTGCACGGTCCAAGCATACATGATGAAGGCGAGCGGACAGAGCATCATGGCCAGGAAGCTGCTCTTGATCCTTTCTTCCGCAGGGGCCTTGTGGCCCAGCTCGATACCTTTGCGCCTCAGTCGCAGATCGGACAGCTTGCCGCCCAAGACCGAACCGAATATCCCACCCACGCCTAGCGCTAGCAGCACCACACCCACCAGCAATGGACCGTATGAGTAGGGAGCAGCGGCAAACGTGCGAGCTGCTGTGTACGATAGGGAGTACTGGCTCCCAAAAGCAAGCTGCAGAGGTGCGATGAGGCGGTCAGCAGCGAGCAGAGCAATCAGCCTGACCAACATTGTAAAAGAAGTGAGCTCACCCCATTGTATATGAGACTCAAGACATTGTGAGGTTGGTTCAAGACGTGCTTGAAGTTGGACCAAGGGTTCACATCGGCCAGTGTGGGTTTGAACTGAGGAGCCGGGATGCCGTGGCTTAGATCAGCTTCGATCCCCACCAGCGAGATGGGACGGGACTTGCGACGATGCCGACTCACCTTGATCTCCTGTCCGTCGCGCGTCAAGACCCGTCTCGCGCTTCCAGCGCTCTTGGCTCGCGCGATGGCCGCCGGCTTTGCGCTGCGAGCAGTCGCGCTGGTGGTGACGCGAGCCATTCTCGCAGCTCGCTGTTCTTGTCTTGCCGCGTCGTCCACTGCCTGAGCTGCTGCCGATGGTGCCATTGGAGCTACAGGCGGAGCAAGCTCCACATCCGCAGGTTCTCGATACTCTGGCGGGGTATGTGGACGGATGGATGATGCAGGGGAGGCGGTAGTGCCTGCACCGCTAGACAGCTTTTCTCTTGGCGTCGACGCGGCATGGGGTTTGGACCACCGCATCCAACTTTTCCAGAACGGTCTGCGCGTGGAGTCGTGATCGGCCTCACATGAACCGATGTAGGTAACGTCTCGATTTGCCTGTGCCTGTCGCGACCCTTCTGCTTTGGCTAGCGCTCTCTGCTTGGCGGTCTGCCAAGCCAGACTCCTTTCCACTCTGAATGTCTCTCGGAAGAAGAAAAAGGATAAGCAGGAAGCGCCACCGAGTCCCGCCATGGCGTAGAAGGTGGCTTGCCAGCCTCCAGCTTCGGTGAGAGCACCGCCGATGACAGGAGCCAGAGCAGGTCCTAGCAGAGGAGCAGAGTAGTATATGCCGACCTTGACGCCGCGCTCGTGCGGTTCGTACATGTCTGCTATGCTGCCTGCAGATATGGACAACATGGCCGCTGAGCCTGCCGCACCCAAGACCCGCAATGCTATGACGGCCTTGATGCTTCGTACCGCACCAGCGACGCCCACGCAGACGCTGAAGATGAGCATGGCAAGCAGAAAGCACGGCTTGCGACCGATGATCTCTGATGTAGGCGCCCACACGAGTGGAAAGGAGCCCTGAGATCCGAGCGTGGTGATGCGAAGGGAGAGCAGGGTAAACGAAGAGGGTGCAAGGTGAAAAGTGAGCCTCCTAACTACGCGGGCTCGTGAGGATGGAAACGTACCTGAGCAAGAATGTACAACGAGATGCTGAGAGATATCTGCGCATCGCTAGCGTTCAGATCCGACTTGATCTGGTCGATGGCGGGGAAGAAAACGTTGGCAGCCATGGTGGGTATCAGAGCCCCAAAGCTCAGCATGGCGAGCTGAGTCCACTTGCGCGCCGATGACCAGCTTCTCGGGTCATCTGCCACTACCGTATGCTCAATGTCTGGCTTCTCGTTTGCGGTCGATGCGGTCGGCTTGCTCGCAGGCTGGCCGCCTTTGGCTGCCGAAGCCTCGATGTCCTCATCGTCGATGCCAGTGCTTTGCCGCAATGAGTTGCCGGGTGGACTGCTTATTCGCGGTGCAGATGTGTGCGCAGGCGTGGAAGTGGCTGTGTGCTCGTCTGTCTCGGAGGGTACTCGACCCGCCATCTTCGCACGAAGCTGAGATCTGACTGGTGGGGAAATGGTATTTGTGAAAGGCGCTCGTGGCTGTCTAAACGTGATCGCACCGTGTATGTACAGCAGGGGTTGGGAGGTTATATGTGCATGCGGGCGCACCAAAAGTTGAGCGATCCAGCGAGCGAGCGGCAGAAGCGGGAAAACCGTCTGAGTCACGATCGAGTGAGTCAAAAGTTATTGTGGGCGGCGCGGCCGAGCTGCAGCGATGAGCGCGGTGAGGTGAGTTCGGCACGCGATAGATGCTGCGAGCCTGCTGCAGCTATAGCTGCTGCTGCTCTCCCTCTACACGTATAAACATAGGCGCCAGGGCGGCGATGGCGGCCATGGCGGTTTAGGAACAATCAAGCAAAGGGCAGAGAGAGCGAGCTCGGTAGGCTTGCATGGGCGTGACTCGTTGTAGTAACTCCGCTCCGCCTCATCCTTTGCTGACCATTCGGGCATTATGCCGATCCATCAAATGCTTGGACTGGAGCCGAGCCGATTGTTCCCACGCTCGCATGTCCATGTCGTCCACTTCCTTCATGAGAATGGCGTTGAGCACAGCGCTGCGGCTTGGAGCGGGAATGGGAGGAATGGCTTCAGGCGTGGCTGAATACAGCTCGACGCTGCCTTGAGGCTGGAGTGTAGTAGAGCCAAGCCTTCTGGGAATAAGTCTTGCGAACGTAGCACAGTATCATACAAGTCGACATGCTCGCACTCACGTGGACATCCGCTGGCTCCAGCTCGCCGATCAGCATGAGTAGGGACTTGAGACGGGGCCTGTCTGCTTCGTTCAAGCACAAGCTGAAGTTGACCAGCAGACTGGTCCCACCATACGCGACGACTCCGATCGAGACGGCCGTGTCAAAGGCAATGAGACTAGCAGTCCAGTGAAGGAAATTCAAGTGCGTCAGGAGGGCTGATGCCCCATGTCCCGCAATGCGAGCGATCCAACCGCGCTCGATTGTATGGGCGCCGAAACTCACAAGCCTACGATCCTAAGCTTCTGGCCGACGTCGTCTGGCAGCAGCAAATCATCCAGTGGCATCAACACTGCCGCTTTCGGATCTGTCATTCTGCACCTGCCACTCGAGACGCCAGACGCATGGAAGGCCGGAGCAGAGGCCAGGTTCGAGACAAGATTGGAATGTATTCGTCAAGCTCACTGCGCATACAGTCGAAGGGGCGCAGGCGCCATCGATTGTCTGATCAGCTGCCAGCGTCCATGTATCCGCTCTCGAGCGGAGGGTCGTCTCACCTCGCTCAACACCGCAATGTGTCTATGGCGAGGTTCAGTGTTGGCAGTTCGCAGGGTACGCAGGGCACCACAACGTGCGAGATCGGCCAAGCTTCAAGAGCCGCTTTTTGCGCACAGGATTCACGTGATTGTGCAAGTGAGTCACAACAGTCGCGAGTGTCGAATGCATGGGTGTGCCGGAGATGATGGGATTTTGGGAGAGCGTGTGTGTGATTGATTGTGCACGCACGCGCAAGACGAGGAAGGTACGGTGCTGTTGTGTGTCGCGCAGGCGATCGCCTACTACTCACGACTGTGACTATGCTAGCTCTGACTGCCTGCGAAGATCTCAGCAGATCCGCGGTCTCCGCGGGCAAAACCTTTTCGCCGCCAAGCCCGGCTCGCACGCTTCGGATGGAGGATGGTCGGACGTAGTCGGCCGAAACGCGCTCGACACTTTTGTAATTTTGGTGCGAGCACGTCGTGAGCAGCAGCTGTGTGAGTGGAGGGATCGAGTCGTGAGTGGTGTAGAATCACGCGAAGGGTGAATGAATTGACAAAAGGGAGGTCGGCATGTCGATCCTCTCATATCCCCGCACACCCCGCGACCAGCAATCCCGCCTTTGAGGATCACGAATCACTGGTTTGCAGGCCCAATTGCCTCGTCACGCATGGCAGGCCATCAAGTCTTGAAAGTACGCTCTGCTCTACCTGTGCGCCGCAGAAATCGCTATGGAGGATTCTCACTCAAAGCACGCCATCATCTCTTTGTTCCTGGGTCCTCTCCCTAATCACTTGGCAGTTCAGACCTACTCTCAGCTATCTTCGCACTTCACGTTCGACTCCTCCTCGACGCACGACCCACTGCTGCTGCACGATGTGGATTGGTACGAGGGGGAGAGCAGAGGCAAGGCGACCTACGTGCCAAGAGCTGTCTGCTTGGATACCAAGTGGGGCTGCAGCGCTGGGGCAGGTGGCAGCTACGGATGGGACGCTTTCGACGAGGAAGAAGTGGATGGAGTTTACGCAAATAATTACGATGGAAATGATGAAGAAGGCGAGAAGGAGGAGGAACGAGCGGAAGCGCGGATGAGGCGGCAGGGCCTGCTCGCTTGGTGAGTCGCCCTCAGCTGGAAGGGAGCGAGGTGTGAGGCGCAGACATACTCTATGTGAGGTCTTCCAAGGACCGGAAAGCTCCTATGACATCTTGATCGTCTTGCGCAGCCCTTATTCACTGAGTGACGCTTCTCGCAGGGGTTCCGAAGCTCAGTTGCATCGTTTGAACCGAGGCAGCGAATCTCAGAACGCGAAGACGTCCATTGAGCACTGGCAAGTAAGCGACGAGGGTGAGGCAGAATCGGAAAACGAAGCCGAAGCTCAGTGGGATTCTCGCGATGCAGAGCAAGACCATGCGGCTCCTCTTGAGCTGCGCAAGCTTGCCGTCGACTCGGATGCCACACTTCACAATTCTCGTAGAGCTGGTCAGCCAGTTGCGCGTCCCAAGCCTTGGTCTCATTACGCTACGTTCGATTATCATCCACGCTCCATCGTGCCCCTGTCAGCTCCATCTGGGATTGGCGTAGTCACTGCACCAAGCGATCTTTATCACGCAGCGGATGATGTAGCCGCGTCCTCCCTGTTTCTGGACAGTTGGGAGCTGGGACGCGAAGTGGGCAAGAATCTGGACAGGGTGAGTCTGACTTGGGTGGCCGGGTCGCTATTGGGCCATTTGCGCTTAAGTTCGTGCTGGATATCGCTGCTCCATCACCGTGTTCCAGAACACGCCATTTCTGGACGATATTCTGAGACCTTGGCTGGAGTCGTGCGACAGGGTCCAGGCAATTCAGACCACCACGACGCTCAACGACTCGTTTGCAGGCATATCGCAGTGGGCCATGGAGGAGATTCGAGACGAGCTCAGCAAGTGCGAGCTGCTTTGTTCGGCTGTTTGGCATGACACAAGCAATGCCTTCGAGAATGAGGATCGAAGCGCTGTGAGTGCATGGTCCGTTTACTGGGCAATGCGTCGAAAGGATTTTGGTCTAATCGAACATCCGCTCCTTGGCTCGTACGGCAGCAAGCACAGAGGGTGTCGAATCTGACCAGCGCTTTGTCCTTCGCGAGCTTGTCAGACTCAAGTACACTCTTCCTTCCCATCTACTCACCCTGTCCGGCCAACAGTGCAGAGACAGCATTTCGGAGAAGGGCGAGCTGGAATGATGCCAGAACACTCGCAGCTCGCGTACATCCGTACTGGGATTCAGCATTCGTGGCACTTCGGTGAGGAGTGAGGTCAGGGGCTCTTCGAGGTTGCGCAATCTCACGCAATTTGGACTTCCTTTCTGCTTGTACAGGTTGCGGAGCTCAGATCAGACTGCGAGCACGCTCACTTCTCGCCTGAATTGGAGAAGTGACACGCCCATCTCTCTGCTCGAAGGAATCATGCCTCTTGCATCTTTGGCCTCGACTTTGTCCCCCTCGTCGCAAGCGATCGATCCTATCGATGCTTTGCTCGCATCTCGGGGCTACGGCCCTGGTCGAGGCAATGCTCCTCAGCTGACAGCGGAACAAAAGACATCACGCAAGCTAGCTGAGCTGAGGCAGGCTCGAGTGGACCTCTCAGGATCGATCGAAAGTCTTGCTGGTGTCTCTGCCAAGAAGTCGAACCCTGCCACCGAGACGCGCAGCGATAAGGCCTTCGCTAGCGCTACCACTGCTCGAGGTCTTGCTACGTCTTGTTCGGAAGAAGAAGCGAGCACCTTTTCGGATGCCGTCAATAAGCTTGTTGGGTGCGAAGAACCGTGGAGTCATCTGTGAGTGTCGGCTTGAAATGCTCTGATCTGTATAGCCGGCTTTCCGCATCCGAAGAATGGTCGCTCACAAAACAAATCGTCCCCTGACATCAGAACGACGAGCACATTAGCATACAACGAAGTGCGAAGGTCCTATCCTGCGCTGCGCCGTTTAGCCGAGCCGAGATCTGCATCCCAACCAAAGCAGATGCAAGACGTTCGCACATCCCACAGCGTCCTCTCCACTCTGCGCACGTCGCCTCGCGCAGCCACGCATCTTCGTCGTTCCCTCTCCACCGTTCAAGAGGCTCTCACGGGTCACTTGCCGCTGGAGAGCTGGGGTCTGGATTCGGGCAGACTGGGAAGCGGAAGAGAAACGGGATGCGTGGGGGGAAAAGAGGGGTTGGGAGAGGTCAAGGAGAGGTTGTATGAGCTCTTGGGAGCTTACGAGGAGGAAGAATTTGAGAATGACGATCTTGTCGGAACGGATGAGGAACGGGCTGACGAAAAGGATGAGCTGGACTGGGACTAAGACCCCTTGTATGCGCCAGCATGCAGAGGACGAGCCCACCGACTTCGTATAGGCACAACCCATGTATACCATTACAGTCTCAGCTCGAGCTTGATCGCAAACAGAGCGTTACAGAAGCCGGCTTGCGCTTGCGGTGAGGCTACGCGCAGCGCATCTGACTAGGACAGAGTACCTGCAGGCAGCTGGAAGTTGGCCAGCCTCAACCTTCTTGAATCGTTGGGATGTTCCAAAGCGATGTTGGCTCTGACTAGGAAAGCGACGAGTGGCGGAGCAAACCGCCTGTTCACGTCCACATAAGGATCTGCTGGTGTGTCCCACGCCTTGTTCATCAGCGTCTGCGCGGGCGAACGTAATGGGGATGAGCGACGCAGACCGCTTGAGGCTTGAGCATTCAAGCTCTGAAGTTTGTGTTCCGATGTGTGGCAGTCATGACCGAAAACTCACGTCCAGCAAAGCGCGCAGCTGAGCGCCCATGCGGGCATTTGCTTCAGTGAAGAGTCCATTAGAAGTGGAAATGAGCGTATTGAGGAGGAGTGACAAGTCGGCCTCAACTCGAGATATCTTGTTCCGAAGGTTGCTGATCGTGACGCAGATGATGAGTCAATTGGAGCCAGTTGGTCTGGTTTCAGTCCATCAAACTTACTCTGAGATCTCTTCGGGGGTCAGAAGACTGGCTTTCTCCTTCTCTGTGGCGATTCGTCTTTCCAACCCTTGAGACACGGCTTGCAGATCAGACAGCAGCTTGCGGTCACTGTTGTCATCAGTCAGCCCGGCACAAGAGATCTTTGACGGTCAAGCACGCCTTGACAGAAGAGCGCTCTTCTCGACTCACGAATCGCAGCTTTGCCTCTCTCTCTCCACTCTTGCATGCAGCTCCATCAAGGCATCATCGAATTGATTGATGCTTGCATACAGGTCCTTCCTCAGGTCTATGGTCTGCGCCAGCGTCGTTGTGGATGTCGGCAGCACAGACATTTCTGTGGGCGCAGAGGGCGGTGCCTAGACCTTTAAGCTTCTTGTCTGATGTTGCCTCATTGCTGTGCCAGACTCACCCGCCTCAAGCGCTTTGATCTCGGCGTCCAGCATATCGACTTGAAGCTGCATGATAGCGGCGAGAAAGAAATTGGGCGGGATCAGCGAGAAGGCGCGCTACCAGCGCTTGCGCAAGTCTTGTACACCTGCTCTCACCTCTTTGTCTCTGAGACTCTTCTCTTGCCGCCTCTCAGCTGCCGAGTCATCCATGCTAGCACCCCACACATCCTCCTCATCGTCCATGCCCACTTCTGATGGATCCACCTTGCCTAGACGAATGAGACCCTAGCCGCCCGGCGCCGATAACGTGGGCGGGTAGACGTCAGCGCTGGCAGATACGCTGTAACATGCAAGTGCCGCTCACCTCACGTATCCTCTCCCACTCTACATCATTCCTACTCTTCTCCTCCTGCAGAGCCTGCAAGACTTCTCGTGTGTAAGGATCCTTCTCCGCGTCCTCTTCTTTCCAAGACCCCGCACGCCCGACTTCCTCGTTCGAATTTCGGTTAGCTACCTGCCGCCTGACAGCTTCTTGAAGAGCAGCGACTTGAAGACGCTCCACGAGGCGCACGTCGATCGACAAACTCGGATCTGCCAGCAGAGCGGTCAGACTGGCAAAAGTCGAGTCGGTACCTTTGTCCGACGAGGAAAAGGCTGCTTGTAGATGCTGGTCCAGCATTTTCAAACGCTTTGAAGGCTTGCTGTATGTTCAGGAGTACGATCTACGAGCGCACGACGCAGTTTTCGAGTGGTTCCACGGATCTGAAGGAGGGTGGTGGATTCGTACAGGTGATGGTGTTGGTCTGCGCGCGCCGTTCCAGGCGCGTGTTACGTGCAGCTCGTCTGTTTGAAGCGCGAGCAAGGTAGAGTCACGTGATGCGCCTACTATCAAGTCTATGACACGCGATACATATCTTAATCTTGAAATGAATTTCTTGAATTGAATTCGAGTCAAGATTTGCCTTTGGTGGCTTAATTGGTGCACACGCGACGCGTAAGGTAAGCGCGAGCCTCCGCGGGAAAGTGGAGGGGGATTGAGTCGAGCTCGCGGTCGCGAGGGCGCGCATACACACACCTACCACACGAATCCAGGTACATGTATAACGTGCAGCAGACAGCTGGATGATCGTGTACCATGCAGCAGCACAAAAGCTTCACCACCATCCGCTCCTCCCATCACAGATTGACCCAGCAACCCCGGAGCGTTATACGATTAATCCGCGCCGAGCGCACAGGCAAGCCCTGAGGTAGTTATTGGGCCGCACTCTGGTCTTACAGAAGAGTCGTTCGGCTCTACTGGATCAATAAGCACAGCAATCGGACAAGCGCTCTAGCGTGGGAAGGAGGACAAACAAGCGTCAGCATGGGTATCAAAGGCGAGTGGACTTCAGAGCAACCTCGGGCGCTTCCCATTCGGCGCCCTGTGATCCTTCCATCAGCCTTCGCTCTTCCCGACCTGCACCACACTCATGCCTCACTCCTCTCACCGCAGGTTTGACCAGTCTGATATCGGACGAAGCACCGAGTGCGATCAAGGAGCGTGACTTCAAATCCTACTTCGGTCGCAAAGTCGCCATTGATGCCAGTATGAGCCTGTACCAGTTTCTCATTGCTGTGAGGCAGAGCGATGGGCAACAATTGATGAGCGACACTGGAGAGACGACCAGGTAAGGTGTCACAGTGGCCATCGCACGATGCAGTCCGCACACAGCGATAGAAGTGCAGGGGTCTAATTATATTCTACACACCGCATACAGTCATCTCATGGGTTTCTTCTACCGAACGCTTCGAATGATAGACGGAGGCATCAAACCTATGTACGTGTTTGATGGTAAGCCTCCAGACCTCAAATCTAAAGTTGTGAGTGCACAAACGCGGCGCTCGCGAGTGCGCCCTCCTCGCGTGTGGGTCTAAAGCCGATCGTGCGTACCTCTCCACACAGCTCGAAGCTCGTTTTGGCAAGCGGAACGAAGCAGCAGACCAAGCAGAGGAGGAAAAGGACATCGGTATGTCAAAATGGCGCCTCATTCCTTCCTTCTGTCATCTTGCTCACACCGACATATGCATCGCTTGATGCTCACAGCGACGGAGGAGCGCGCAGACCAGCTTGCACGGAGACAAGTCAGACCTACGAGACAACACAACGAAGAAGTCAGGGAATTGCTGAAGCTCATGGGCATCCCTTGCATCACTGTGAGACTTGTTTGGGCACGTAAAGTTGCGTCGAAAATGCAGTTGACTCATGCCCTGGGCCAAACGCTGCTCAGTCACCTTCCGAAGCTGAGGCTCAGTGCGCCGAATTGGTCAAAGCCGGCAAGGTGCGTCCTCGAGCAACATCAAAGATGACTGTTCATCCGCTAAGCTCGCGAGTGGACCCGTCCGCAGGTGTTTGCGGCCGGATCAGAAGACATGGACACCTTGACTTTTGGGACGCCCATCTTGCTCAAACACTTGACCTACTCCGAAGCGAAGAAGATGCCAATCCACGAAGTGCATCTGGAAGAGGCGAGAGAAGGCCTTGGCTTGACCATGGATCAGGTACGTTAACTGCCAAGTAGTGCAATTCTTGCATCCACGGTCCAGCTCACGTAGCCTCTCCCTTCCGGCTGCTGGCGCTGCAGTTCATCGACCTGTGCATCTTGTGCGGCTGCGACTACATGGAGCAAATGAAGGGCATTGGACCCAAGACGGCTCTGAAACTCATCAAAGAGCACGAGAACCTGGAAGGAGTCATGTCGCACATCGAAGACGAGACCGCGGAGAAGCAAAAGGATGGCAAAAAGTCAAAATATGGTGTGCCTGAGATCTGGCCTTACAAGGAAGCGCGGGAAATTTTCAAACATCCAGACGTACACAAGGGTGCCGAGCTGGACTTGAATTGGGAGAAGCCTGATGTAGAGGGTCTGGTCAAGTTCCTGTGCACCGACCGAGGCTTTAGGTGGGTGCTAGTTTGCAGCGCTACGACGTTCCTGCACCTTTGCTTACCCATGCACTTGCTGCTCGCTAGTGAGGATCGAGTGAGAAAAGGGGCGGAACGGTTGACCAAGGCCATTGGCCAAAAGCAGCAAGGACGACTAGAAAGCTTCTTCGGGTGAGTGGGCCCCTGCACTTTCATGAGCGAGCCGGCCGCAACGTCGCAAAAGCGTGCAAGCTCATCTGCTCCACGCGACTTTTTCTTTAATTTGATCGAGCAGAGCTGTACCGAAACGTAAAGCAGAGGATTCGCAGGAGGACAAGAAGGGCGCAAAGAAATCCAAGGCCACTCCTGCCAAGGGTAAGAAAAAATGATCTGACCAAGTTACGCAGGGCGAGCGACGTTCATTTGTTGTACACGTAGTCATCAACTCTTTGCAAAATCAGAGTCGCCCCTCATGCGTTTTGAGCAGATCGCGACGACGTGTGTCTCTATACGGGACCTGCAGAGAGTGCCTGTGCTGCGCTTCAGCTCAATCGTGAAGCTGCACACAAATTGGCTTTAGTTCAAGGTTGATCCTTGTCTGACAGAGTTGGTCACAAAGAGTGAAGCGTCGCAGCTGTAGGACAGCATTCGACTTTGTAAACCCAGCCTGACCCTGTCTTCATCAAGGCACGTCAAGACACGGCCTGCGACCGTAACTCATGACCGGTCGGTTGCAAGTGGCGGTGGTTGATTCAAAAGATGTCCAAAGCTTGGTCAGTCCAAGCACCAGATGCGGATCCTCGCTCCGCCTGGGATCTCCAACCAGGTCACGATCAAGTCATAGCATTTTCTATCCGAATATACAGCGTCAAGCGAGATTCACAATGTACTCTACACTGTTGTTGCACAGATTGTAAGCATCAAGGACATGAGTGGCTTTTGAGACAGGGCGTTCATCTCACCTTGAGCACTTTTGTCGCGACCGAGAGCCGCACTGCGGGGTGCGCGGCGTTCGCAGGCTTCAGCTCATTAGGAAAGAAGAGGGCGGGCCAGGCGTGGTGGGAGAGTCAGGTCGTGTCGATTGTTTTGCAGATCGGCAGGGCACCTCCAAGAGCTCCATCTTGTTGTGACGGAGACTGGGCATCGTCACCGTAACGCCTCCTCTCAAGAATGCAGATGGAGATGTGGTTCTGCCGGTGACCTTCGGTCGAGCGGATGTTCGTCTGCCTACGCTCCTGCGATGCATCTGTCTCGTCCTTGCGCGACTCGAAGAGGTGCGAGATGCCGTCTCCCGCGTGCTTGAGACTGATGCACAGGCACTGGAATGCCCACCGTGAGATGCGGACAGTCTATGTTGCTCCGCATCGATAGGTTTCAGGGCTTCTAAGTACCTGCGCCAATCGCGTTCTCCATCGTCTACGCCACTCGAAGCGCTCGGATCGTCACTCCACTCCTCTGCACGTAGTCGCGCAGAGCTTGACTGAGCGGCAAGACGGGCAGAAGCAGGCTTGCTAGGTCCTGGATCACACCGGTCTTGGATGGCACCGGACAAAGGTGGCGGGGGCAAAGCCTTCGACTTGTACTTTGAGATCGCCTCTGCTGGCGGAGGACTGACATTTCGGCCTTTGACTTCGCATGGTCGGAGCAGCTCTGACGTTCCTTCACCCCAGCCAGTAGCTCTTCTCTTGCCTTTTGAGACCCTTTTCATGTCGGGTCCAAGAACCTTGGCTGAGGAGCCGCTCTTCTGGATGTGCAGACGCTGCAGCCAATCTTTCGCTTTGTGCGCAGCATCGACTTGACCTTCCAGCTTGCTGAGAGCATCTTGTCGCTCGAGCTTCACGGTGCGCTTTGTACTTTCGTAGCGCACCTTTTCCCGTCGCGACAAGCCTCGTGGGCCAGACACGCTATGTGTGATCGCAAGTCGGCCAATTTTGGGCGATACACCAAGAATTAAAGCGACGGCATATGCTTTCGCGACACCCATGCGAACGGGCTCTTTGCGAGACATGTCGGAGCACGTTTGCGCCACTTCATGCGTCTTCTGGGTCAGGTGATGTCGAGCTGCAGGGACTTCCTGCGAACTTGACGAAGCAATGTCCCGACCGCGCGCGGCTGAGCGGGGGCTTCCTTCAGCAGGCGAACACGTACTATTCTGGCTTTGCAACGAAATGGACTGATTTGTAGGCTTGTCGTTCGGCAGACTCTTCCCTGATTTTGACTCGCGACGCTCCTTGTTTTCGGTGTCGCTTTCCCAGCCCTGTCCTTGTCCCCCGTCTTGCCCTTCGCCATCCTCAGAGCTCGAGTCATCGATAGTGGCAGCACCGAGCGTTTGTTGATGTTTGGACTCGACCAACAGCAGCGGCCGAGGCTTGAAGTTTCCTGTCCGCTTGCGTTTTGCGCTCAATTGAACTCGCGTTGGTGTAGGTGGCTGAGGCAAGAAGGAGCGCCGAATGGTCATCGACTTGCTTTTGACACGAAGTAACAATGCCCGAGATTGTCTTGTCTTCGACATTGACGATTCCTGAGGCGTAGCGGGAGGGTGCTGCGACGTTTTTGCAATCCGCGCTGACCGCTGCGAGATGCCAGATCGCACGCTCGACCGCGATTGTGGGCGATAGCTCTTTGACCGTCTTTGGACTTGCAATTGTGCAGCTAAGTGCGTAGGGTAAAATTCGTCATCAGGTGAGTATTCCGAGACCGACTCCGGCATGGCGCCGTACGCGAGCTCTGGCGTTGGTGCAGTTGCCACAAAGGTGAGCGACGAGTCCAATGGATCGTCTTCCACAGAGTAAGCCCGGAGGGAGAACGCCCTGCACGAAGACTCTGCTTCCGATCGTCGCGAGGAGGGGCGCAGTGTCAATCGCCGCGGCATTCGATCAGCACCTTCGGGCCTACCCTGCACGTAGTCCGCCTCTCCCTCATACTGCTGCGTTGCTTGCACTGATGTTGCAGGCTTCCACAAAGCCGTGTCGATCCGGAGCGAGGCGACATTGCGTCCAGACGATCGCCTTGAGGTGCCGAAGCCGACGCTCTTGTTTGATGAAGCAGTCGTTGGCCTAGAACCAGCGTGCCGGTCCGAGGACGCCGTTGGAGGTCTCGAAGACCGTGAGGGTGGGGGTCGTCTGAGCGAGTCCGAGTGTGAGTGCGAACGTTCTCGCAAAGAGGTCGTAACGCTCGCCTCAGTGATCTGTGGGTGGGCGTTCGGATCGGATGACGTCACCTTGGGAGGATCGGGAGCTTCTGCATCGGACCTGGTAGTTGCGTCGGCCGGCTTGCTGACTGGCTCCTCGGAATCAACCGAAGCAGATGCTGGGCTCGTGGTAGGACTCAGTCCATTTGCCTCGCGTCCAGACTTTGCACGTCTCGAACGTAAGATTGTTCCGCTCACGAAGCGCGCTCTCTGCCGGGCGGCAGAAATGGTCATCGTCTTGGCTTGCCTAGTCACCTCTGCCGCATCTTCTTCCACGCTTTTGTTGAACATCGATGATGTGCGAGAGGATCTGAACCAAGAATTGCTCGGTGCTGAATTGACAGAGCTCTCCCTCGACGTTCGCTTTTCGTTGGCGTCAGCATCCTGCTGTAAGGACGTGCAGGAAGGACGTCGAGAGACACGCAAAGGTGAGCGAGCTTCTTGATCGCACGACTGTCGAATTTCTTCTGTCACGTCTCCATTCACGAGATCAAGAGACAGTGTAGCTTCGCGATGCTCTGTCAAATCTATGTCGCTCAAGCTGTGCTTCTGATAGTCCGAAGCCAACTTCGCAGCGGGACTGTCGTCCGTGGACCTGGAAAGCTTTTGGACCTCTGGCGCGCGGTATCGACCACCAAAGAGCTTGGTCCATTTCATTCGAGGAGGGCTTTCGGCAGGCGTAGCATCTTGCTTCCATCTACCCTTGTGCGAATTTCGATTACTCATGGACTGCGCAAGGGATGCTATCGCATTGGTGGATTGCCTTTGACGAGCGGCGTGTTCAGCGTGCCTAGAGAATGAGGGCTGTTCGCCAATGTGACCTGCTTCAATTTCTTTCGATGAAGGTTGCGGAGCATGTGAGCTTGTGAGCAACCGCTGTGCTTCCCGTCCGTGCGACGCAACAAGCGGTCGATGAGGACGTTCGCTGGCTCCCTCTGGCGCTCTGGTCGCGTCCCTAGGCCCGAGAGCCCCTGCATTTGTCTTGGTGTCTGGTGCTGGTGCATCCGTATCTGTACGTTTCGACAGAGCAGATCGAGTCCCCGAATGAAGAGGCATTGATTGAATACCGATCAAACTAGCATGGCCAGCCTGCTTGCCAATTCGTTTGGTAGGCGACGTCAACGCGCCGAAGTGTTCAGCCGCACGAACTCTGGCGATCGAAGATGGATCCGATGGGGGGCTCGGGGTCGCTGCGCTTCCTGTGGAGAGGAAAGATGGGCTGATGATGGGCCAGAGCAGCAATGGGCAGTATTCTGAGGTGAGCCGTCCGTTGCCTATGCATATTGAATCTCGCATCCACATCACGAACCTTGGAGAATCCACACTGTTCACAAGAGGGGAAATACTTCCGGACCTCTCAAACGCCTGCGGTGGGGACATATCGCCCCCTACCTTCTTCTTGCTTAGTCCAGACTTACTGTTGAAAGAGCTTTTTGAAGATTTGTGCTTCACACCGCTGGATGGGCCCGAAGCAGAGCATGTCTTGGTGTGATGAGGCTGGTTGGTCTCTTCACGAAGGGGTGCGGCGATATCGCTCCGAGCAGCAGGAGAGGCAGAGCTGTTCGTCACCGGAGCAGAGCTTGGACCTTGACGGTCTTGCGGAGTGGTAGGACTCTGCGTTGCACGACCAAAGGTGCCGTGACTAACAGCACTAAACATAGTAGAGGACGTGCTGGAAGCTGATCGATCTAGTGAGGATACCGTAGCGGCCGGCGGAGAAAACCGAATGGTTTGCCCAGAAGAGCTTGAAGGAGAAATGCGCGTCGGGAGCGCTGGAAGCGTGGCTACCGAGCTACTGACAGTATGCCCCGCTCTCTGAGTACCCAGCGCTGTCATGCTCGCCGAGCCCGCTCTTGCCATCAAAGGATTGTACAATGAGCCCCCCTTGCTGAACGCTGTTTTCGACGCGCTATCAGCACGTTTGGTGAGTGGAACTGAGAGTCTGCCGCTGTTATCCAGACTAAAAGCGAGCAATGGGTTGCCAGGATTGCTGGAAGACGCGCTGGGAGGCATCACAGGAAAAGCGCGCGAGCCTCTGACAGCCGACGGAGGCTGTACATCAACGCCGCAGGTGATAGCGGGCCGCTGGCTCTTGAGGCTGCTGTCAGTATTGACTATGGCTCCCTGAGTAGGCTTCTTGCGGCCCTCGTCAGGGTGGCGGCTCCAGCCCGCAGGTGGGGCAATGGCTTTTCGTGCCTCTGCTCTTTGCTCCAGGATCCTCGACTTCGTGCGATGGGTTGACTCGTCGAACTTAGGAGACTCATTAGCCGCGCCTTTCGACTTCGCATTGCGTCCTACTTTGGAACTCATCCTTCGAGGGACACCTGGCGACGGCGTACTCGAAGGAGATCCATCTATGTCGTGCCCAGGCTTCGACTTTGGACTCACATCGAGCGACGCTCTAGATGGCGCTGGAGGGCGGCGAATGCCTAATTTGTTCACATTGATGCTAGACCTCAGGCGATCGATGCCCTTCTTGGCAGCAGGCATTGACCCGTTGCTCTTGCGGTCACTTGTATAGTCGACCGAAGGTCTTGCAGAAGAGGACTCGAACTTGAACTCATCTAACCAATTCGCCGTGCGTACAGGAAATTGGTCACCAATAGCTCCTTTACTGTCGACTTGTCTCAGAAGGTCGAGCGACTTGCTTCTGCGGCTCAATTCCGTCCTCGTCATTGCGGCGAAAGGACTGTCCGCGGGCAACACGGCGTATTTGCCCTGCTTCTGCCTGAGAGCGAAGGTGTTCGATCCCACAGGATCCGCAGCAAATGTGATGCGCTGCTTGGACAAAAGTCTTGGCGGGCTGCCAGACGCTCTTTTTGGTGGCTCCGACTCCCGCGCACCGTCTTCTCTATCAGCAAAATGCTGTGCAGCGCGCAGCTTGCTCGCGAGGTCCGATCGTGTCTTCTTGAGTTCGCTGTAAACTTGTCCTCGCTTATGGATAACGTTATCGTCGTTATCAGGCGAGTACGAGAGAAAAGATCTCGTCGAAGCGATACCAGCTGATGTCACTTCGTCGGCATCTCGATTGACTGCATGTGTGGAGGTGATCTTCAAGCCACACTCTTGCGTACTCGTGTGACATGGACCATTCAACTTGATTGGAGAAGCATTAATAACATCGAGTGGTGCAGCGCAATCGGCCTGGCGCATAGGCTCGGATGAAATGTTTGGGCTCATGGCCTGAGTGTTCTCGCTTGCCTCTTCGGCGCACTGTTCGAGCTCAGGAATTGCAACACCGCGCAACTCTCTTGCACTAGCACTCTCTCGCAGCCTTCTTCGAGACTTTTCGGAAAGCGCCCGGCGAGTGCCAGGCTGCTGAGGTTGTAGAGGCAAACTCTGAGAAGAAGCGCGTGGAGTCAGTGCGGAATCGCTGCTCAGATCTAGCGGCGACGACGAAACGCTGCTTGGTGGTGACTGTAGCAGCGCTGAAAGGGCGACTGTTGTGGCGTGCTCGGCTTTGAGCGAAGCCAGAAGTGGACTGAGACATCTTTCCGATGCGTGGGTCCGCGAGGAGCCGGACGAAGATGCCGAGCCACGATTCGCGCTGCTAGGCGCCAGCGTCCGCTGCTGTTCTACAGAGGGGAGAGCTGACGTCCGCACGCTCTGCGCGACTGCGATCTTGTCCTTTGCTTGGCTACTAAGACTTGGGCCCGCGGCCAACAGCGAGACAAGGAGTGGACTGCTCGAGCAGCTATGGCTCCTAGCATGCTCTTTTGAGGACCGGTGTTCCGATTTCTTCGCCGCAGTTTGGCTTTGATCTCCGTGCGAGTCTTGCTTCAGATCGACTGTCTTTCTGAAGTTTAATGGCCGAGTGTCAAAGACCGGGACAGCATCTGTCGTAGCTGCCCGTCTTCTTCGAGTCGGTGGTCTTGAAGGCGGCAGCTTGGGATCCAACAGTATTTGAGGCGCCAAAGACGCGCGAGTGTCTTTCGAACGAGCAGCGACCTGCTCCACCGCAGCGGATTCTCCGCTCGGATGGGAGGGCTCGCTTGATGGCACTCGCTTCTTTGTAGATGCAGTAGACCCTTTGGACACTGGCTGAGATCGTTGCGCAGCAGATGGCACCACTGCTCCGGACGACTGCCGCATTGAGCATTGATCAGCAAGCTTTGTAGCCGGCAGATCTTGTCCAGGGCTTACGCTAGCCCTGGGCGTCAGAGGTTGCGGATTCCCAGCATCGCCTCCGCTGTTCTCGTCAGCAGAATCAGAGTACCAATCGGTGTCCTTCTCTTCTTCCGCAATTGTGCGTGTGGGCCCCGAACGCAAGCCTCGCCTGGTTCTTCTGTGCTTAGGCTTGGATTCCAGCTTCCTTGCAATTCCGTTGCTACTTTGTTTTGAAGGAAAGCAAGGCGATTGGTTAGAGAACTCAGGACTCATCGCAGATGATTGAGACCACTGCGACGATAGTGAAGAGGCTCTAGAGTGCTCAGCACAGGGTGCACCGGTCCTTCTAGGAGGTACGAGCGGCCGTATCCTTATGAACCTAGGAGAGACTGGGCTAGCCGGCTTGCTGGAGCTCTCCATAATTGGATTATTTGTTGGCGCTTGATCGGCAGCGCAAGTGGTTGAGGTAAGCCTGCGAACCTTCGACATGATGAGTTTGACTTGTTCAGTATTGGGATCTACTTGAGTCCAGGATGGTGACTCGATGCCGGACGCTGTTGAGAGGTGGTAAGGCACCACAAAGAGCACTGCGAAATCCGAGGAGCTTTTGAGGGTAGTGATGACAAGAGTTGAAACGTGCGGATTGCTTTGAGGTCAATAAACTGCAATGACACCATCGAGAGACTCGTAGCCGATGAGAGCGTGCGTGAGAAGTGGCTCAATACATGCGCCAATACTCACAGCAAGCTTGTCCCTCACTGCTAATGGAGCCCAGCACGATCGAGGGCGCCATAGTTCCTGCCCGACCGCGTTCAGTAGCTCCTCCCGTACACGGCTCGTCGTGGGCGTCGTGTGCAGACAATCGAAGCTCCGGGCAAGCGCTTCACCTTATGGGCGCCGGACGTGCTTTTGTCTTGCGATGGAGCGCAAAGAGAACACCAGGCGGCGAGATTAAGCCAGGTCCGAGGTAGCGCCGCTTGTCCACGTTCGTGTAAAGGCGAATGCATTAAGACAGAGCACTGTGCGATAGTCTGGCGAGCATTTTAGCGAGTACGGGCGCCCAGAGGCGCGCTGTGATCATAATTACAAATGACAATGATCCACTGCATGCCAGCTGCGCTTTCCATGACGAGCCGGCTTGAACTCAGAGTTCGCGGACTGCTCGATTGCGTGTGCAGCACGGCCCGGTTCTGCCACAAAAGACCTGATCGAAAATGGTCATCGCTCTGCGGCCCGTGAATTGCAGCTCTCCTAGCGGTGTTGATTGCGATGTCTGCCCAGACGAGCAGCTTGGACACCAAATGCGTCCTGATTCAGAGTGACGGTGCAGCGCTTGCTAAGGGCGCTCATTTGAGTCGCACAGACTCGCGAGCGAGCGCGACTAGCTTCTCATTTGGGATACCCGGCGTCGCAGCTGACCATATGCGTTCAGCCGATAGCCCTCATATTCCGATCGAGAGCTGTACCCTAGTCGGGCTGGAGATAGCGAAAGTGCGGCATAACGCGGGTGCAAGGACTGGGACTGTTCAGCTGTAAATCGGCAGCTGTGCTTGGCAAAGCTCGCTGTGGACGCGCGATCGCTCACTCTGACACTCACATCCCGGACTCGATCGGAGCGTCGCGGCTCCTTGTCTCACCAGCAGGGAGGCTTGAGGTGGTGTCTGACTTCCGAGAGCGCCACATGAGGTCGATATCGCGATGTGCGCTCATTTGCTCAGAGTTGCAGGGCAAATTTCGGCCTTTGAACAATCACTCATTGTGCCTTGTCCCTCGCAGGCGCGCTTCTTTGATGCCATCTGCCGGTTCCGCCCGAGACTCGTACTAGTCGAGAACGACAGTGCATCTTTGTTCGGCCGCCGCGAAGCCCTTACTTTCCGACCTGGCGATCTCCAAAGATTCCTTCACGTTAGACACTTTTAACCGTGATCGAGGGCGCTCATCATGGCTGTTTGCGCTCCGCTGAACTCTTGCGAAAACGTGGCGACCGACGATGGTGTTTACCGGATGCCTGTGTTGGTCATCGTCCTCCATCCGGCGTGCCGCGCTTCCGTCAAATTTTCATTACTCTTTGCTCATCGTCAGCTTGTCCCGGAATCTTCTTGCGATCTCGTGAGAGCGTTGAGACGTTAAAGGTGATGACGAGATCCAGAAGCGCGACACTCGTGACTCTTGGCCAGTATAGTAGCCGTTGGGATGATGCAAGCGCGAACCTTCACGCAGTGATAGCATCACGTGACCACAACTCGCCAAAGTCCTGACGGCATCGTGTTTGACCTTCAAGCTTGACTCACGACTCCCAACTCACGACTTTGACTCTTGACTTTCGCGTGTTCATTGCCCAACGCAGCTCTCTTCGCCTCTCCTTCACCGTTTCGGACTTTGATCGCCCTCCAAGGTCCATCTCATCGCCGCCTGCTCGCCAGTCCGCCACCATTCCCGGCCGCTGGACGGGTCGTTGAGATTTCCTCCGAACCCCGGGTCACTCGCCCCCAACTCACTTGAGCGCTCCCTCATCAGCATCGATTCGTAGCTGCTGCACTGTCGGCAATGTCTCTCCGACTCAAGTTCAAGGGAGACAAGCCCGTAAAGAAACACAAGCACACAAAGACGGAACAGAACACAACTGGTAGTTCGGAATCGAAGAAAGGCAAGAGGAGGGCCGAAGGAGAGTTGGGAGACGATGTCTCGGATGTGGAGGAGGTGGGAGGAGATGAGCAGAGTGAGTACATTCATTATGAAGCAAGCTTGGATGATACGTGGTTGCATATGAGGGCTGATGACGGAGTGTCACAACTTTTCAGCATGGGTGCCTGTACAGCGCTTGACGGATCTGAATGGTCCGGCATTCTTTTACCAGGCGTTCCCGTCCACCTCCAGCTCGAATGCTATCCCACACGTCCTCTCCTACAATGCGCCCAATCGACGTATCGAAGTAACGCCTCTCCGTCCCGAGAATCTTTCCTTCGCCTCCTTAGCGCACGATGCACCTGGGCTTGTCGGAGCTAACGAGGAGCTAGAGGGCGCCGAGGTGGTCACGGATATGTCTTCAGGGCTGGAAGTCACACCCCGCTCAGTCAGCCAGGTATGGGTAGCCAGCAGAGTCCTGGACACGCCCTCTTCTGCTCCCGTATACACGCTCAAATCTTGCGAGTCGAGGTTCTTGGGCGTGACAGCCTCTGGCAACGCGAGCGCTGAAGCTGAAGCGAGAGGTCCCTTGGAGATGTGGACTTTGATCAAGTCCGACCGAGGCAGCGGTGCGTGGCGTCTAAGGTCAGCGCAGGAAGCTTTGCTGGGACTAGACGAGGTGGCAGGCGGCCGAATTGCTGTTCGAGGAGACGTCAGGGAAGAAGCAGAAGCAGAGGAGTCGCACCACGACGAGTCGCCCGGATCGGAGTGGCAGATCAGAGTGCAGTGGAAGTTTAGACATGAAGCTAGGTTGAGAGAAGCTAGCTCCCTGCCATTCAATCTGAGAGAGAAGGCTGCGAAGAGGGTGAAAGCTGCTGAAGGTGACTTGGATGAAGCCAAGCTTGTGTGAGTGAAGTATCGAGGCCGTCAAGCACCGTGCTGTGCCCGAGGGCAGATGCGTTGTATGCGCTCTGTTAATACGGGCGCATGCTGACTTCCTATCGCTTGAGCCCCGCAGCCACTCTCGTCAAGGATGGGGCCCTGGCAGGGACAAGACATACACCTCGGGCGATGCGAGAGCTGACAAGAGGTCTCTGGCTGGAGCGCGCGATGAAGGGCGGCTGGGCGAGGAGCTGCTGAATCGAAGGATGAAAATGAAAAGTGACAGGTATTGTTGAGCATCGCTCTTCCTTCTCATGTCACCAAGCCTTCCTGTATCTGGACGACTCGAAAGATTGGTCCGACCAGCAGCCTCACGCAATTGGGCCTTCAAGTGATTGAGCGATGACATCCCATTACGGTGCAGTCAAATTCCTGGCCCACTTGCTGTCAGGTACGGTCCAAATTTTGACTGTACCATCGTCACCAGCGCTGGCCAGCAAATCTGATAAGCCCGCATACTCTGGGTGGGTATCCTCTCCACTGTCGCCATCCTCGTTGAGTTCCTCAAACCGGCTCTTTTGCACGTCGAGATTACCCTTTAGAGATCTTGGAGCCCATCTGACACTGTTGACGTCCGCGTCTTCATGGGCTTGATCGATCTGAGCGATCAGAACTCTGCTCGGAGCCATCTTGCCTTCGGCTGGCTCTTGCATCTGAAAGACGCATATTCTACCATCGCCGCCTGCCGTAGCTATCCTTCCCAACCCTGACTGCTTAGTCTCGCTGTCATGACCCCAAGACACGCTGTAGATTGTTCTGGAGTGGTGACCCTTGAGGATATCCACGCACACCCACTTTTCACCCTTACGGCCAGGCATCTTGCCGTCCGGCTTGAGTCCCCTCTCTGCTGCCTCTTCCTCATTCAATCGCCTCCAGATGCGGACTGTGCAGTCTGCGCTCGCGCTAGCAAGATATTTGCCATCTGGAGAAAAGGCCATGTCCCAAACAGTTCCCTCGTGTCCTGACAATGTGGATATGCAGAACCAATCGTCCGAAGGATCATCGATGTACAGTCTGATCTGATCGTCGTAAGACGCGCTGGCGAGAAGCTCCACGTGAGGGTGGAAGAGGACGCACTTGACGTCTTGTGAGTGGTCCATGAGAACGCTCAGGCACTCGAACTCCGCCTCTGGTTGGACTTCCCACACCCAAACCGATCGATCGCGGGAACAACTAGCCAAGTGCGTACCGCTAGGAGAGAATGACACAGCTTTGCATTCGGACTCGTGACCTTCCAGCGTGCCTATGCAATCCCACTCTGGTCCCTCTTCGGGGTAATGCCCGAGTGTGGGAGGCTCTTCCACTGATTTGCCCTCCAACGCTGCGTTGATATCGCTTACGCGCTCCCAGATGCCGACGGTGGAGTCGAAAGAAGCTGTAGCTAGGGTCTTGCCGCTGGGAGCCCAAGACAATCCTCGCACGGTTCTGGAATGTCCTGTGGGTATGCTCTCCCGAAGTTCGAAACGCGGATGAGCGCGGGTGGAGACCAATGATGGTGAAGAGGGCGATGGTCCGTTGGTCGAGCCATGATCATTCATGCGAAAAGAGTGCAGATGGACGGTCTTGTCGGTGGAGCAGCTGGCCAGCAACGGTAGCCGAGGATTCCAAGCCAAGTTCCACGCTCGGTCTTGGTGGGAGGCCAGATCCTGCAGATGCACCAAGGCAGGTACCGCCGTCGAGGGCTTTTCCGCCTCCTCAGCTGACATGGTAACGTTGCGCTCGGGTATATTTCTTTTGGAGGCGGATCGTCAAATATGACGGAGAAGGTGAGTCGAATGTAAACTCCGTTATTATGGGCATCAGCTCCTCGAAGTCCATGTATACGTGATGAGGAAGCCGGGGGTCGTGGTCTGCTATCATCATTGTTGTATCTTCTGGTTTCGAATTCTGATGAACTATGGGTTTCTCGACGTTTGCCTATGCTTAACGGCTGACTGTGCCTCCCTCCCACGTGACCCGAATCGTCAAAGCAGCTCACATCCATCATTTCGTGATTTGTGGCTGCATGCACGGCACGCGACCACATCCCATCGGCGAGCATACACAAGAAGCACAGCAGAGGTTTACCCACACCCCTTCTTCCTGACTTCCACTCACCCACTCATCGAGACACGGCTTCATGCTCAAGCTCAGACCGGAATCGACACGTGTCAGGCACGACTCACGCGGTTGCAGCCACGCGAGCAGCTTGTCTTTGCACCTTCAGCACCTCCAAACTTGAACACCTCCGGGCGGTGTAGTCAATTTGGAGTCATTGGCTGGACTTGCCACTCGCACCATCGGCCGCTGGGGCTATCACGCCCCTCTCTCCAAGTCATCAACCTTCTGGTTTCCATCCTTGGAACTCTGGTCGGTTTCTCTTCTCGCGATGTCTCTCAAGCAGGAGGCTAAAGCCTTGCGTGCCTGCAAAGGATGTCTTTTCTTGCAGAAAGGCAGCGATTTCATGGCGAGAGGGTGTCCCAATTGTGAGGATGTACTCCAGGTGAGTGGATCAGTACCAATTTGAGATGAAGAGCATCAGTGCTCGCACGAGCAAGGTTGGCCGATGGAATGACGTCGCCAGACAAGCGTGTTCGGTACCGCACCGCTGGAGTCCCACGGACTTTGGAGAAGGCATTTGCGCGATCTAGAAGCGCCATGTTGCGGCATCCAATCTACGTCACCCATTCCATTCTCAATTGCATCACCAACGCACATGCTGATCTTGACGATCCTTGCTCCCGCCCCCGTCGACACCGCATTCCTCCGCGTCCCGCGAATCGACTCCTAACAGATGCAACAGAGCCGAGACGCCGTGGAGGACTATACGACCACTCAATTCGAGGGCGGCGCGGCTATTATCAAGCCTCCTGAGAGCTGGGTCGCGCGTTTTATGCGTCTCGGTGAGTTTGGATCTCACCGTTGAGCTCCCAATTGGAGCTTCGAGTGGCGACATTGCCGACTGGCAAGGCACCTGGCACGTGCTGATCAGGAACTCCACTTGTTTCCCTTTCCGATCTGGACATGCAGATCGCAAGATACCTGGGATGTACGCGATGAGCTGCTCCGCAAAGCTGCCAGCGGAGAAGCAGGCTCAGCTGGACGGGACCGCCTGATTCGCGGACCAGCCAACAGCAGGTCTTTCCGCGTCACGCGGCACTCCTTTCATCACGAATGCCTTGACTTCAACATCAACAAGGTAGTGTTCCCAATAGTTCTCGAATCGATTCCATTCCGATCCCAAGCACAAGCAATACAAGCAAGCATCCTATTCAGCACTATCGAGATGCGTACAGCAACAGCTCCGCGAGCAGCTCCGCATTCTGTGCTGGACCATCGATTATATGTCGAAGCGTGCTCAAAAGGATGGACGATGTCTTTTCTTCATCCAGCGCGATACTGCGCCTCGCGTGCTGAATCAGACTTCGGAGCTCTTTCAAGACACGTAGAGGTGGAACCCCTAGCTCCTCGATGATCTCCGAAGGCGGTGGTGCGACGGGCGTATCCAAATGCTCGATGTAGGCACGCAAAGAGTCGATTTGTTGATCTGTTGGTCCGACCAGCGTGCGCGAAGTCAAATCATTCTGCGCGGCACGTTGCTTGCGCTGTGCTGCACCATCTTGCGCTCCTTGCTCTGCACGCGAAGCTTTCGAGATTTGTGACCTCAACACGGAGCTGGGCCCGCTCCTCGGTATCACTGGTTCTAGCTGCATGGGTACGATGGTCGACTGAATCTGCGCTCCTAGAACAGCATCCGCGTAGTATTTGTTGGCGCCAACCTCTTTTAGATAGAGGCGAAACTTCGGATCGTTCACAGCGCTGAGTAGACGTTTGCGCTCTGCTCGTCCGCTGCGTACCTCTGTTGACACTCGTCGTTGCTTCACAAACATGCAACGACGTCCAAGCAACGCTTGTGCATCCGACTGGCTCGATTGTAGGAGAAGCGAAGTCGGCCAATACGCATCGGAGGCTGATTGAATTTCTTCTATCTGATGCAAGGCGGGCAGCTGTGCCGGCGTCTGGACCACTTTCTCCTCGCCTTGACTTTTGATCCGGATAGGCAGGTAGAGCAGCTGCTTTGACTCAATGTCCTGCGCAACTAGTAAGCGCGCCTCAACGGCGAGGACCCAAAAGTGTCTGCAGGGCTGGGGATGGACGCGATTGTCGCTGCTTGAGCTTGGAAAGCGTGGATAGAAGGCCATGATCATGGCAGCTATTGCTGAATCTGAAGTTCCGAGCGTGAAACGACCGCCGCCGAGGAACAGCAGCCCCAATGCCATATGGCAAGCCATCTGTGAACCGAATCCTGCGTCTGTGCGACCGTGAGCTATTCTGAGGTGCTTCAGGAGCGGCAAGTCTCCAGACCCTGCCATGACCATCGCCGCAGAGATGCTTAGTAGATCGGCACACGAGCGCAGAGCAGCCTGACGGATCTTCTGAAAGAATGTAGTCGGCTCTGCTTTGGCCTTTTCGAGGTTGGCGTTGAGCTCCTTCATCAGGCATGCATAAGCTTGAGGGTCGTGCGAGCCGGCGTACTTCAATGCTATGGCGAAAGCGGCACCTGCTCGTATGTTGAGGCTGGCAAGCTGAGCCGTCTCCCCCGGGCGACTCGATGAGATCAATTTGGCTAGGAATCGAGGTAGCGCTGAATCGATCCAATCGGTGCTGGGGCGTATAGAGGTCCACAGTATAAGGCACCGCGCGAGCGTCCGAATCAGTAAGAAGTCTGGTCTAATCGACTCAAGCTCAGCGATGCTCCTTGGGAAGGGAATGGCACCCGCGACTTCCTCACAGTCACTTTTGAGGTAGATCAGGCCCAGAGCGATGGCAGCCGGGCTGCTGGTGGTCGCCGTGTCCACTTGCCACTCTAGGTCGCTTTGATTAGCGTCGTCTTGAAAGAGGCTTGGCAGCTTGCCTGACATCAACTGCTCCAATTTGGTCAGAATGAAGCGATCAGGACCAGTACGCATACCAGTACGGCGAGCTTTGCCCAGCAACACCAACCCAAGACCGAAGGCTGCGGAAAGAGAGTACGCTTCTCTCTCCAGCTCGTGAGGCTGAGACGCTCGGACCTCGTTGCTGCCGATCTGATCAAGCATTCGTTTCGCAGTCCAAGCGTGGTCGCTACCCATGAAAAGGAGGGCCATGCCTAGAAGAGCGGCTGCTTGCTCCAGCATCGACAAATTGAGGTTGTGAGCTCCTTGCGGCTGGAAAGCGGGTAGGTGAGTGGCTATCAGATGTCTGGCGGCTGGATCGCCGGAGCCTGTGAGTGAGGCGCCCAGGCCTAGTAATAGTCCCACCGCAGCAAGGCCTCCTGTACGAGGCAGCAGTAGCTTGAGGACATGCACACGGCCCAGTCCTCCCAGCTGTCCAAGAAGCCCAATCCCAAGCAAGAATCCGGCGTCTCGATTGCTTACTTCCGAACCATGTTGGCCGAAAATCCACCCCGACTCGAGCGGTGCGCCACGGACGGCAATCTCAAGGGCGGATGCGGCGCCATTGTGAAACTCTGGCCAGTCCAACTCGCCCCCCTCGCTGCGCGGCGGAACATACTCGTACTCCACGCTGGGTGGCGGCACCACGTGAAGATCGAAGCTCAGCTTGGGGACGCGCCATTTCACCGTAGGGTTGTGCAGATGCGTTGCAATGTGCAACATGCCCCGTCCAATGCTGGTGGCCTTGATTCGCTCTTGCGCCCCGTGAAGCACCCGCAAAATGGTTTCCTTCGCTGCAGCATCACTAAAGCCGCATATTCGCAGGTGTAAAGGTCAGCGAAGCTCTCGAGTGTACTCATCTCGCCCAAAACGTAGTCTCACTTAAGAGTGTCCACTGAGGGATGCATGACCAATGTCCGCCCACGAGTCTGCAGCATTTGGAGCACGTCTCTGAGGCGAAGATCTGCACTGAACAACATCGCGACGACTGGATTGAGACGCGCAGATACCGTTTGCTTTGGCACCGAGGGCTCTAGCACAAAGGACATTGGGAGCTGTGCAGGCACGATGAAAGAGCCGCTTCAGTAGGCGCCAAAGACTACGCAAAGAAGCACGTACAAATGTGTTCGGCCACTGGAGATCAGAGGTATTCACGCTGGCGGCCAGATCCGCTCTTTCAATGAGCTTCAGTGCTTCACCGCTCAGATTGCTAGGAGGGTCAGCTTGACACATTCGAAGAGCTTCGAACAGTGGCGCAGCTAATGGCGTGAGCGGTCCGGCGAATTCAGTCGGCCTCACTTGCTCTTCCAGCATGGCTCCCAACACTTGAGCTGCTCTGCGCTGATCGAGGGGCTCCGCGCTCATGCTTTGATTCGTCTGAGCACCGAATGCCTGAAACACTCGCAGGAGGCGGGCGGCATTCGGCAAAAGACTTTCGAGCTTGTGAGAAGAGACTTCCTTCCGACCACCTAGCAAGTCCTTAGGCTGCACGCTCCTTCGAGCCGTCATTTGAGCTGCGAGGAGAGCTGAAGCGTCCGGTGGGTCCGGCTCTTCACCGAGTGCTCCGGTATCTTTAAAGATCAGATTTTCCACAATCAGCCGGCGAAAGCTATAGTCGCAGAGGAGGTTCCTCCTGACACTCACCGTTGCTCATCCTCCACACCTCGGGAAATACGCGGGCCCAATAGTCGACCCATTGCGTCCAGCCGCACCGCGCAGCCAATCGAGCCGCAAGCTCAGCCAGCCAAGGCAACTGGACAGCACACGCACGGGTCTCTAATCTAGCGTCTTGCGCCAGCGCATGAACGATGTGCAACACTAGCACACCCTCCTCCTTGTGCCTGGCGTCATATGGGGCGATCGGGTCCCCTGGTGCTGCTGCATCTGGAGCATAGGCGCCCAGGAGCTGGTCGCGCCCGTAACGATGGTGAGCCCGAGAGAGGAGGAGATTGTATGGCGTCTTGCCTACCGCCTTCACATTCTGAGAGGGAGCGAGCAGCTCCAGCAGCGCATGCCAATCGCTTGATGTGCTGACGAGCCCCCGAGGCATATCGGACTCGTTCCAACGCGAAATGAGATGCGAAGCAAGAGGAGCTGGAAGAGCCAATCGGAGTGCGTCAAGTACTCGAGTCGTGGTGGAACAGCTTGGCGAGCGAAAGAGCGTCACACTTTGAGCCAGCAACTTCTCGTTCAGCAAGACTGTGACCTCTACGCAAAATTTCCCTCGAGGTTGTAGCCTTATTGGCTGACCAGCTGCTACATCAAGCTTCACTGAGATGCTTTGGCTTTCTCGTAGAGCATCAGGGTACCACTGAATGTAGTGACGGTGAAGGATGGCCAGGCCATCATTCTCTCCGACAGCGCAGGCATCGATACAGTCCGTTGGGCTGTTGGACCATTGTGCGGCTGGGTTGTGCAGATCTATGCCACCACGCTGATTCGTCCTGGCTTGCCGAATGATGATTCGCTTGGCAGCAGGAATGACAATGCAAATTCCACTAGCAATGACGAATGCAGTGCTTCCGTACGAATTGGTTGTGTCACTTTAGCCACAGGACATCAATCGTTGGCGGGAGTGAGCGCGACAGGATAGACCAGCTTCGCTCTACATGCGAGCAAGATACTCACGAATCCCAGTGGTCCAGCGGGATCTCATCGAGCAACGCCACGCAGGCTCTCTCTGTCGGGTACTCCGACTCGTAAGCCTCCTCTCGAGGCGGACGAGGCGCAGTTGGCAATAGCGTCTGGCGTTGAGTCTGCGTGGATATGGCGGGTGCGGCATCAGATTGATTGCCGAGGTCCAGAAGCGCGCTCACATCCGCTTGTCGTGTTGAATTGATGCTAGATCTGCCTCTGCTGACGCTGACACGGGAGGAGACCTGCCTGCTCGTCGTGCGCTGGTTTGTGAAGGGCGTACGAGCAGCAACACTCATCTCCATGGCATGCTGAGTCTGAGAAGCCCTTCTCAGCCGCGTATTCGCAGCTGGACCGCCTGCTGAGAATGTTGTGCCGACGGCATCAGGCAGCAAAGAAGGCTGACCATTGGGGGGACCTCCAACACTGTTTCCAGGCCCGTTCAGCAACCCAACCAGATCTTCCGTCACTCGTTGGCTGGAGCCTCGAGCTCGACTTGGAACTCTGATGGAGCTCAAGCGCGCGCGAGTAGAAGGCCGACCTTGACCAATGGATGCCTGCGAAGCGCGTGCCTGCGATTGCGGTGCTTGAGACGGTCTGCCCTGACCGATCGAGGCGTGTGATTGCTGAAAGGTGAGGTCTGCTCTGGATGATGGCGCCCTCGTGTAAGAAGGTCTCTGAGACGTGTTTGCCGCTGCCGACGTTGCGCCGGCACTTCCGTCTAATTTGCCCGGCACTCCGTTGTCTGAAGCATCCATCAGCTCGACTCTAGGTCTGAGGGCCACATGGTAGCTATAAATGCGTACGCGATGGTGTTCTCTGCTGACTGTGACGAGCATGGGCCACGATTGACCAGAAGGAGTATCCTCGGCGCCAACAAAGATCACCTCCTCATTTAGCTCGTTGAAGCTGGAGGAAGCATCACCATGCTTCTCGACTGGGACCCACTCTTGGAACAAGCGACTGATATAGAAGAGCGACGCCAAAGGCTGTTCATCTGTAGAGCGCGAGCTGGCAGCATCCGCGCGAGCACGTTTTGCCCTCCTCTCATCCTCCTTCTCTTGCTCGCGGGTGATGAAAAGGCCGGTGCGGGCAGGAAATACAGCCCGGAGCTCGAAGGGTACGGCCACGGTTTGTTGCGCACCCGTGTCAGGGAAGTAGAGAAGGAGGGTCGAGGGCATAAAGACGCAAAGGGCCCGCTGGCACTGTCGAAGCGTGTTCGCCGCTTTCCGCTGGGGAGGTACTTTGCGAAACTGTTTCTGCGCCGGAGATAAAAGGTCATCCACTGCACCCAGCAAGCCCGATCCGCTGCTTGCTGTCTGATTCTCTGTTTGATCGCGACCCTTTCCATCGCTGCTGGGCCAGAGTCCCTCGTGAGCCACTTGTTGATCTGCAGTATTCATCCACGCCCAGCAAGCTTGCAGCACCTCGTCATCGTAGGTGAATTGTCTCACCAGCCTGCCGCCAGCAGACCAAACAAGTCGCTTGCCTTTCCACACCAGCTCCGTCTGGACGACCTTGCCTTCGCTAACCTCTCTCGAGTGAAAGCGCCCACCACTCGAAGACTGATTGCTTCTGCTAAGCGGATCGCTCGAGATGCCTTGGTCCGAAGCGCCTGCAATGCTCGCACGTCGCCGTACCTGAGGTGATCTTTGAAGTCTGGAAAGCACGCTCGAAGAATTTCGAGGAGGAGGCAGCACCTGCTGAAGTTGGTGTTGAATATGCTGCGCTGTCTTGTATTCAAGTTTGGCTTGCTCGCTCTTTGCTGCGCTCCAGCAAAGCACTTCTCCCATGGACTGCATCCTGCGCTCGAACGTCGATGTAGCGCTTCGAGTGTGATGTTGAGAGCCTTCGACGCAGACGGTGACTTTACGGGCCGGAGCGGGCAGGACGGGTCATTTCCGTTTCACCTCTGAGACTCGCGATTGATGCTGATGTGAAGTACAACGTTTGCTGGCGTGTGAGGGTGATCCAGGTGCTCAGGCTGTGTGCACCCGAACCATTTTCAGTTGAGATCCTTGGTCACCAGAGAGGCATGCCGCGCCGACTTGTAGTTCGTCGTGGTGTGCGCGCGTCTTGTTCAGATGTTACGCGGTCCGAATCTTGAATGAGCAGCGCGTGATTTGCATGGACGCATGCGCGCGTGATGATGATGCATGCATCATCCACCATGAGACGCGGTTTCGCCGCGGGACTAATACAGGTCACGTGTTTTCAATCAACACTAAAGACACCATCACCTCTCCGAACGCTCTTGACTTTTGACGAGCCAGTCTTCGTGCTTGACTACTCATACATCCGACATTCGAGTTGGCACTCTCTGGTCCTTGTGTGTTGGCGACGCTTCAGGTATCTGCCAAGCTAGAGGGATGAGTACGCTCAAGAGGCTCTCCGTATGGTCTGTCACAGACACTCAGCATTCGCATTCGACGCCACGCTCACTCAAGACTCCTACTCCTGCGCACAGTCCCGAGTTGCAACAATAAGATACATGCAGATCGATCACGAATATGTGGTCTTGTGTGAAAGATACAATGCACGAACAACTGGGAGCAAGTGCCAATCTTTCGACGTGTGACACGACAGGCGAGCCCCTCAAAGGCACTGCACAAGAATCGAAAACAGCGCCAAACTTGCTCCAGCATAGATCCGCGTTCTTCTGTGTGAACGAGAGGTAGCACTGGCTGCGCCTGATGAGCTGCCATTGCCGTTACCGCTTCCAGTACCGCTTCCGGTTGCGCTGCCAGCGCTACCGTTGTCGCTTCCAGTGGAACTTCCAGAGCTGCCGCTTCCACCGTTTGCATTCGCAGTGGGTGTCTGCTTCGCCGCTGCCTGATTCCAGGTGTAAGTCGCACCTGACGGTGCAGGGCTGGCGGTTGGCGAGCAATTACTGCTAGGCGGAGGTTTAGGATAGGCATCGGCTAAAGGTGTCACCTGATCACCTTGTCTAAAAGTAGACCCATTGCCAAGGTCGTACAATGCCCTATCATCCGTCACGTCGCAATTGTCGAACCCATCCTGCTCATAAGGACCAGGATTTGTGTAGAGAGCGCCCATCAAGTCGTACTTGTTGTCGCAGAGATCGTAGCTACGAGGCCCGGAGCAGACTCGAATGACAAACGTGCTTTTGCCGGGGATATCGCACGAGCCCATGAACTGTTGAAAATCGTGAGCGCCTGGTTCGGGACCACGCGTGGGTCCTTGCATTTCAGAGTTGAGAGTTCGAGACATTTTGAGTAAAGGGGTTCACAACACTCACCGTCCGGCAGGCCAACGCCAACAGGATTTCCTACTCCTTGCGCTCCGTGATTGTCGTACTCGCCACCGCAATCCGCAGGATTGGTGCCAAGGTTCATGACTGCAGCATTGAAGGATCCCATGACAGCTACGTATCCCGCCGCTTTCCTAAAATGAGCAGAAGTGATGAAACCGTCCGGCATGGGTCTCGTATCGTTGGATGGTTGCATGCAGTAGGCTACAGCGTTCGCTTCCGCGTCTACGAGGTTTTGGGTCGTGGGATCGGGTGGCATGAGCAAGCAGAAGCTGCGATGAGAATGTCCCCAGGAAAGCGCTCAGCTTTGTTCTTTCGCGTGCAGGTTTTAGCCGCCGTCACTCACTCGGTAGCGCTGTTCACCCGCAAGGTGCGGCCCATGCCCGTGTAGGAAGCTGGAGGTGATCCTTGGCTCGATGCAGGAGGCTTCCACGGACCTAGATTGCTTGGATTGTCCACTGTGGGTGGTTTCGGTCCGCTGCCCCCAATGTCTTGCGCCCATACCAGGCTTACGATTAGAGGTACAGCGACGGAAAAGTTGGCTAGACGCATGTTGTCGCAACAAGCTTGAGGAACGCGCGCGCAACGATGTCAGCAGTCAAACAGAAGATGTCGAGGTGGGAAGTCTAGAGATGCTCTAGGTGGTGGCGGCGATGAGCAACAGTATGGAAGCTGGTGCCTCTTTATGCCCATGGACCCTGAGAGGCGACTCATCCGGTCATTTGGCAGCATTCCGATTAGGCTCGCAGCATCTGGGCCGCCGTTGAGCGAAGCACTCGCGAGCCTCTTGAGCTGACGGACTATGGAGGCTGTCGCAATTCCGTTGCGAAGGGAGCCGAGTCGGCGGATACGTTGTGTTGAGACTGCGCAGAGCTTGAGCCTAGCGCTCGACGTACATCCGAATGACGGCGCCGCAACTAGCGTCGTGCGTGAAATAGCTTTCTTCATAAGACAGCACTGCGTCCCTGCCTTCGGTGTTGCGAGGCCCAGTCGGGCTCTCATTTCGCGAGCCGACGCAACAAGATGCGTCCAAGCAGATTGCGAAGGTAGAGATCAGAGGCGTGTGATGCAGCATGCAGTTCAAATTAGGCTCCGGGAGTCGCGAGTTACCAAAATCAAGAAGCACGAGGAGAGCAGGTTGTTTGAGCCTAATTCGACGGGGGGTCCCGCACTTGCAATCAGAGTGCACTTTGACCGCGACGAGTGACAATTCGCGATGCATGCCCTCTTGTGCAAAATCGGTGCTCCAAGGCAGCAGACCTTGGTGATCTAAGCCAGTCGCCGCGAAAAGGTGGACGGTCCAAAAGGTTTGTTTGGATATTGCTCCGCCAAAGCCCAAAAGGTGCATGTGCCTCCGTCATGCACAACGGCAAGCGGGCCCGTTAGCCTGGGCGGCCCCCGCACTTCCGGTGCACCTGTCGAAAAGCCCGCATGATCATGACTGGTCACGTGCTAAGCTCTTGTCGATCCTGCCCTCCATGTCACGTCAAAGTACAAAAAGCCAAGGGTCGCTAGGAGGACAATTTGGATGAGTTGTGGTCAGAGTGACTAGCTCCGTTCGGAGTCATACATTACCCCAAGCGGTCGAGCACCTCGTCCGTGCTGTCCTCGAATGGACTCACTGCCCTCCTTCGTGTCTGCACAGTAGCATGCAGATAGCGCAAAACAGGTGGGCAGTCTCATGAAGCGACAAACGATGCGCGCATGTATTCCACGAACGCTGCCTAGTGAACTTTATCGTGGATGTCGAGCCGATCGCCGGCCATAGTCTCTTCAAGCAGCTCTTTGTACTGATCCCAACGAAAGCATCGCCCCACTTTTGAACGCGCTTGGAACCATCATCTCTAGAAGTTCAGAAACCCACTCGAACCGCCGAGACTCGATCCGTGACTTCTTGACTGCGGTTGCCGGGCAGAAGAGCTGTTGGACTTGGCAAGCATTTGGCGAACCGCGTCCTTATAGGAAGTTCCTCTGTCATCGGTGCCCGTCTTCTGCTTTCTTTTGGGTCCAGGTCCATCACGAGATGTCTGTCGAGCTGTGGATGGATCCAACCCTTGCTTGTTAGGTGTGGAGACGGTGATGAGGGTGGACTGTGGGGTTGCGTCCAGTTCGGTAGAGACTATGGATGACGCGCTGACAGCGGCTGAGACCTGTGCAGGATCCGAGGAGGCAACAGATCCACTTTTCGCGGCCTTCTTCCTCTTCTTTAACTCTCGTTGACGCTCTTCCAAGGTTCTGGGCGCTGGTGCAGCAGCCTTCAGGGGAGTACTGATGTCGGCCTGAGGAAGCGATTCCTCTCTTACGGAGATGCCTGCGTGAGTCGGAGCTTCTGATGGATTCAACGCAGGCGGTTGCTCGATCGGGGTCTTCATTCTTGTCAAGTCCCTGGACCTGTCTGATGTGGACTTTGCGGCCGGTAGTCCGACCTGCGAATCGCCCGGCGCGGCCTCCCGCCTCCTTTTTCGCACACTGATAAATTGTTTCGCCCCTTGCTTGTCTCCGGCTCGACTGCTTTGCCCAGCTCCACAAAGTGTGCAGCTGGTGGCAGCGCGCCTTCTGGAGACGTGGGCGCTGATTCCTGGCATGAGCAGGCTCGCACAATGCCTGCACGACCATCCGGAGTGCAGCTCAAAGAATGTCGGTAGCGTTCTCAAGAGCCTTTGATGCTCTGTGTGGTCATTAGGCGCCACGTGAAACCTCGAGGCGCCATGATCGGTCTCGAATCCGTTGCCCCAAAGTCCAAGTCGCTCGTGAGAGATCTGGTTGCCTTCCAGCGTGGTATAGAGATCGCTTGGCTCGAAGAAAGCGCGTTGGTGATGAGCTGCGTGGATCGGCTGGCTGAATAGCAAAGAGCGAGCCAGGCGAGCTTGGTGCAACCCCTTGAGCGACTCGCCGCTCAATGCCTCGTCCTTGTGCGTTGAGCGTGACATCGAGGAGTGCTGTTTGCATAGGCGATGGAAGATGCGGTGTGACTGTTTGCGCACCGCGGCACGCCCGCACTAGCATGGGCGAGTTGAGCTTACTCTGCGAGCGGGAAGCATTTCCTGATTACCTTTATCCGTATGGCGCCCGACACAGGTGCGCTTTGATGGCGATCGGGATCCTCATGAACCTCAGAGGTGTTCTTGTGGCTCGAGCTACAGCGAAGAAGCAATTCAGAGGTGTTGCGAGACACGTGTGTGGAAAGAGAAAGATGGCTGGCAAGCGTCTCGAAAGGGATGCGTGTGGATGAGATGGACGAGCTGCAGGATGAACCGACCGACCGACCGATCCTGATCACGAAAGCAGCAAATTCGCGTGCGGCTGTCAACGAATCCGTGACCACGAACAGGTGCACGTCAGCAGGCGTGCGTACGACGAAGACGAAGAGATGCGCGCCAGCTGCTGATGCATACAGCGAGGTGTGCTTCAGCAATCACAACACAAGAAGCTCCACGCTGCTGCGACGTCTCTCGCGTTCAGCATGGCCCCTGCCGCCCCGCGATGCCTGCCTGCCTGCCTGCGCGCGTGCGTATACATGCATGCCGGTGGGCTTGGATCGTCAATCCCGACAACAATCACACATGGCGATTCGTTCTGCTGCTACTCGCTCACCATCATCCAATGCAGCGTCGATGCCATCTCGATAAGAGGCAGAGCAACTCGCCCTTACACTACACACCGCACGACTTTTGCCAAGAAGCCTTGTTGGCTGGCTCGTTTCGCACTCGGTGTTAGAGTTGGGACTAACAGTGACTGGCGCCAGACCTCTGCCAGGCGCGCGCCTTTGTCGGTCCAAATAGCTCGAGACCTTTTCTTAGAACCTCGGTCTTGCGCCAAAGAGCCAGGTTCGCCATCATCAGCGTGTGCGTCTTCCCATCTCGATACCCTCGCAGCTCGAGCGCCGTGAGAAGCGAGCGCGATAAAGACGTTAGGGAGCATCAAGCTTGCTTTGCCTAGTAGAGCAATACATCATGTGAGTCAGACAGAGCTTGCACTCTTACCAGCACCGCGTAGGATTGCAGCGAGCAAACGCTACGGGGTGGATCAAGATATCAGAAGGTGATGCGCAGCACCGTCGAGGAAGTGGAGAGCTCGGCGGCCCGGCGGTAGCTGCGAAGAATGTCGTAATCGGGGACCTTTTCGGACATGTGCGGCTCGAGCGCTGACAAGTCATCATTGGCCTGCGCGCCATCTGTGCAGGGCCAATGCAAACTTCTTAGACAAGGCGGTGGAGATGGTGAAGGAGGCGATCGAGTTGGATCAAGGTCAAAAGTATGCAGAGGCGTACAGGCAGTATATGAACAGCTTGGATTACTTTTTGATGGCTCTCAAATGTGAGTGAGCGTGCGCACAGATGCGAGCTTCAACCTATTTAGGAAGCAGCACGATGGGCCAGGCACATCGAAAGCTGCGTGCAGCCTTTCAGCCTGACAGTCATTGCTGGTGCTCTCCTCTCTCTTTGCAGATGAAAAGAATGAGAAGCTGCGAACAATGATTCGAAGTAAATTCGAAGAATATGTCGCAAGGGCCGAGCAGCTCAAAGCCCACCTCGCAAAGCAAGCGGGTGGAGACGAGAATGGCGGCAAATCGGCAGTCGGAGCGAATGGCGGTACGAGCGATTCGAGAAGTGGAAAGAAGGGCAATGACGACGACGGGGATGCCGAGACGAAAAAGTTGAGGGCCGGCTTGAGCAGCGCTATTCTGAGCGAGACCCCAAATGTCTCGTGGGATGATGTCGCTGGTCTCACCACTGCGAAGGAAGCGCTCAAAGAGGCTGTGATTTTGCCCATCCGCTTCCCTCAGCTTTTCACTGGTGAGTGGCCCTTCCATGACGGCTCCTACAGATGGTGGGGCGAGCTCATGACGACGCTTTCTCGCCTCGTGCAATGGCGCAGGCAAGCGCACACCATGGCGAGGAATCCTGCTTTACGGACCTCCTGGTACTGGAAAGAGTTTCTTGGCAAAAGCCGTGGCCACAGAGGCGAAGTCGACCTTCTTCAGTGTTTCATCATCCGATCTTGTCTCCAAATGGATGGGAGAGTCAGAGAGGCTGGTCAAGCAGCTGTTTGCCATGGCCCGTGAAGCCAAGCCCAGTATCATCTTCATCGACGAGGTGGACAGCTTGTGCGGGACGAGAGGAGAAGGAGAGAGCGAAGCGAGCAGAAGGATCAAGACTGAATTTTTGGTCCAGATGAACGGCGTTGGCAACGACGAAGCTGGTGTGCTGGTGTTGGGAGCTACGAACATTCCTTGGCAGCTGGATATCGCCATCAAGAGACGTTTCGAGAAGAGGATCTACATCCCACTGCCGGAGGTGGAAGCCAGGAAACGCATGTTTGAGCTTCAGGTCGGCACTACACCTTCCAAGCTAACATCGCAGGACTATAGAGGGCTAGCAGAGAGGACAGAGGGGTGAGTTCGGAACCACGTAAACAGGTGAACGTTGTGCAGCTACTGACAAATACCCGACTTGCCGCGCCCGCCATGCAGCTACACCGGATCGGACATCAGCGTGCTCGTAAGGGACGCTTTGATGCAGCCAGTGCGCAAAGTGCTCTCTGCGACCCACTTCAAGAAGATCATGGCTCCCGCAAGGGTGAAGGAGGGAGAAAAAGTGTCGAGCGATGTGCAGACGGAGTACCTGACACCATGTTCGCCTGGTGATCCGGATGCTGTCGAAATGGGCTGGGAGAGCGTAGACAGCAAAGATTTGTACGAGGTCGGTGTATGGCTTTTGAAGGGCTGGCCATGACCAAGCAGAACAAGGCTCACAGTGCTTTTACTTTTGCCGCTCCCGCTCTCTGTCATTGTCACGCTCTGCAGCCTCCTCTGGTCATGAACGACTTCTTGCGGGCCATTCAGGCAGTCAGACCAACCGTGACGGAAGCTGATAGTGAGTAAAAGCTTACTATCTCGCCTTCTGACACTCCAGTATTGACTTGAATGCCGCTCTGCTCTCTTCACCTCACTCGCTCGAATCATCAAGTCGAGAAGCACCGCGAATTTACGGCCGAAGCTGGAGTCGAATGACTTTCCCTTTTGCGCACACCGACAATGTTTTTTTTTTTTTTTTTCCCCAGAATCCTCGCCCTTTGCCTGTTTCGTCCCACCTTCTTTGCGTCACCTTGCTTCTCGGTTATCAATCAATACTCTCCAAGAGCAGGGTTTCGCTCACAACTCGCGCCGCAGCTTTCTGTTTAGGCGGTCGTCCATCGAGCTGCATGGAGCTCCGAGTGCAGCAGAGCAGAATTGGATGCGAGATTGAGACTCGTGATCAGAGAGCAGACCCGTGGGATTCGATGTTGAGCGTCTTGCATGGCAATTAGGGCGCAGCCTCAAACAGAACACGCTGTTGCATAGCAGTGACATCACATTCCCAAAGAGAAGTTGACAGTCGACATCATTTTTGTCTGGCCAGATCGGATCGAAGGGGGGGGGGGGGGGTGGGGGGGGGGGGGGGGGGGGGGGGGGGGGGGGGGGGGGGGGGGGGGGGGGGGGGGGGGGGGCGGAGGAGAAGTAAAAGGTGACGGTAGGGACTGGGATATAAGAACACCATCGAATCGGATTATTCATGTGACGGCTCTACCAAGCGAAAGGTGCGCCCTCATATTCGACGTCGGCAGCGCGCGCGGCAGCTCTGGCATCATCCAGGAGCGTTGGAGGTCCACAAGCAGCGACGCAAAACGTTGGCTTTCGTCCAGACGCAAACAAGTGAGATTCCGACGTGATGCTCGAAATCGCTTCCCCAATCTCTGTTCTTCCAACAGACCATTGAAAGTCGATTTCGGGCTTGAGGGCGTCGAAGCGCGCGTGCGTGGAAGAGGACAAGTTTTGCGTGTGAGGCACCTCTTTGCCGAGCTCCGGCACGTCTGTCGGTGCTGCCTTCTCATCGGTGGCGCTTGGCGAGTCTATAGATGCCGCGTCCTTCTCAGAGACGTCCTCCTTGCTCGAGCTTTCTGTACGACAGAGATGAACACGGAAGGCCGTGCGCTTCGTCGCGGTGCCATTCGCGCGAGCAGCACGTAGCTGCAGCACGGCTTCTTCCAGGTAAGGCAGGGCAACATCGAAAGTGGCAGCGGACTTGCACATCCAGCGCATCTCGACAGTGCGTTGTGCAGCAGCGCCGCTGGATTCGCCAGCGTCGCCTGGGGTCTTGCCACCATTGCCAGCAGCTTCAGCTTTGATCGACTCGCAGAGAATGGGCAGAGTGTGCGCAATGCCGACACCACCTGCCACCAAGAGCGCACCGCCATCATGTTCAGAGATCTGCGTTGAAAGTGTTGGCGATGACAGGGTCAGAGCTAGCGGTTGACCGTCTGCGCCCTACTGACTATGAGACTCACCTCTACCTTTGCGGAGTACGGTCCTTCGACGAACATCAGCGTCTCGAAGCTGGCGGCAGGTCCCTCGGAAACGATGAGCTTCCTGAGCTTCTTTTGAGCCCTTTGAGTCATGCCCTTGCGCACGCGGACAAGCATGTCAGCATAGAGACCCTTTGCGTCGGTGCCAGAAGCAATGACGGAGAAGGGATGTGAAGTCATGGGCTCGAGCAATGGGACGTGAAGCAGGATGTCTGATCCAGGTGCAAGAGCCGCAAAGCGCTTGCGCATTGGGCCGGATGGCCAGATGCGTACGCGCAACAGATCCTCGTCGCTGTCTCCAGAGCCACTGGCAAGGGAGATGGTGCCGCGAGTGAAGAAAGCGCCGCTACCGCGAGTGACGTCGATGTTGATGACCACTAGTAAGAGGAGACGTACAACGCGGTCAAAGACCCAGAAGGCAGTCGAGATCCAGATGAAGTCGATGAAGAGCTTGTAGGACGAAGCTTCAAGGAGGGCGATGTGGTAGTAGGTGCCGACCAGCGTGAGGACGCCAAAGACGATGTGGATCAGTACGAAAGCTTCGTAGCAGACTTCTCGGAGCATGCGAATGCTCTGAAAGATCATCACAGCCATAAATACGGTTGCCACGACTCCCCACCGCCAGTAAGGGTCTGCGAAAGCTGTGGCAAGGTTTGCTTTGCCGTAGTGAAGGGAGTAAACAGTGTAGCCGATAGAGTGAATGACAGCCTGAAGGGCGACGATTCTGGCTACCCAGCGGTGGTACATCATCGCGGTGGTGAAATCCTGTCCGGTCAGGGCGCGCACCGGTGAGTTGCGTCCCGAAAGCAAGATGACGAGAGGCAGTTGCCCAAGACTGAGGACACCGGCACGGTCAGAAAGATATCGGCAGCTCTGGATGAACGTGTCGCCGGGCCAGTAGTAGTTGTTGACATCCGTCTTGTAAAAAGCGCAGATGCCGAGCAAGTTGAGAAAGACGAGCAGGGCCAAGATGACCGTCTGCCCTCGCAAAGGCAAGGCGATGGAGAGCGGATGCATTTTGCCTTGTGCTGTCTTCGACTTGCCGAAACCGGGAGTCATGGGGACAGGCGATGCATGTCGGCTTGATACGAGCGGCGCATCGACGATTTGTTTGGAAACGAATTTGGGTGCCAATTTGTAGAGACGACCAGAAGTCGACCAATTCAGGAGACGGAGGAATGCGGCGCCCAGGACAAGCAGCGCAAAGCCGCCGAGGATGACGAAGACGAAGATAGACGGGATCAAGAGTGATTGTCTGTGGACACAGACAGAAAGGCGTTTAGCATCTGCGACCGCTTTCTGGCATGAGATGCCTGCGTCTACTCACTGATTGAAGTCATTGTTCGCTTGCAGCGCCAATGGCTGTTCCTCAGGTGTGAGAGCTTCAATGTATTCGAGGCTCTCCTCGTCGAGTTGCCACGGGTAGCCCATGCTTGCAGGAGGGAGTTGGCGGATCGGGGCAGATGTAGATCGAGCAGAGAGTAGAGGGAAGCAGGATGCTGCGTAGGGATTGACACCGACTCGTATTTCTCCTACTTATTTGTACCCTACCTCGTGAGTTTTGCGCTGAGGCAGCCTGGCCAATGACAGTCGAGCAGAAGCCTTGCACAGCGTATCAGACGTCGAGAACAAAAGCCGGAGAATTGCTCTTTCACTGCCTACGGCAAAGCGGCCTTACATCCGGCGGGCGAAAAAGTCGCTCAACAATGCCCGCGGGAACGAAGTGTCTGTAGTGGTGGCTTGCAGCAGACCGAAGGACGAGTCGCGGAGGTTGAAAGTTGATCAGATGTTCGCTGCCTGTGTACAACAAGCACCGCGATGCATGGAAGGAGCTCTGGCTTGGGGAGGACTGGGAGCGATGATGTGCCGTGGACGTGAGAGGCAAAAAGAGATGCGCTTGCTTGCGTTCGGGGGAAGCGTTGCAGCAAGGCACTTCATTGAAAATTTGTTCGTTTATCTCGCCACAAGCGACGTTCCTGCATCAGATCAGCCCTTGCCTGCTGGGCCTCGACCTGGGTGAGACTCTGTCAGGATTCACGATTATACATGCTCCTCTGTTCTTGAGCCGAGGTCGACATCGAGGCTTGCATGCACTATACGCAGCAGCAGCTATATAGGTGTGGCTGTCGAGAATGGCGCGCAAAAGACAGTCGTGGAGCAAAGCGCCAGTTTGCGTTCGTTCGTCTGTCGATCGTTGTACACAGTCAGTCTTGGTGAAGGCGCGCGTCGTGGCGCTTGAGAAAAGGCTAGCGCAGTGAGAGATGCCAGTGTTCGTGTGTCCGACGCACTCGAGCACAGCGTGTGTACCCTGCGGCTTAGCTTGGCTTTCTTCTGCTTATCGAGCCCATCGCACTTCGTCGCGCAGCCGCTAGTGGGGTCTCCCATTGAAGCAAATTTCTGCGGTCTGCCAGCATCGGCGGTAGAATTGCGGGTGGGCCTTCTTTGATGCATGCTTTCCTTTCATTCACCTTGCAAATCCAGACTCACCCCCTCCCAGGAGCGACGCGAGGTGCTCTGAGATGTCTTTCGCAGCCGGCGGCTCTTCGATTCGAGCATGGAGCGAGCGGAAAGATGTTTGGCCAGCTTCTGAGCTGCCCCAACCTGAATGTGGCTGCCGCCGGCTTCTGAGGTGAACAGGTTTGCTGCTCGGCATTCACCATGTTCGATCGCGAAGCTAGGCCGAGGATAGTTTTCGAGTTGCAGCTTTGCGAACTCCCGGCCAAAGGTAAGCAAGGTGCGGTGCACACGCAGTCGGGGTGGGTGCGGATGGACTCACGACGACCATGCAGAGCTGCCTGCTGCTGCCTGTGCAGCGGAGCTCGCATGTCCGCCCCGCCACGATCTAATCGCATCTGATCTCTGCTGCATATCAGATCTGCAGCTGAGCGCGTGAGCCGTGCCGCACGAGAGCTGCGCGCGCGCGCTGTGCAAAATTGTCTCGACGTATGATGGCTATTATGCCGCTTGGACCATTCACGACTGCAGAGCTAGGGGTGAGAGAAGCTCGAGAAGATTCTTGTGGGTGTAAGGCGAAAGAGAAGGGCCGTCATCTGCATGCATTCCCTTCTCCCTCATCATTACGTCCCCTGTGTCTGCGCAGCACACCTTAATGCGCCGTCGCAATGCGCAGCCAAACGGGTCAGAGAGCATGCGTATCTCCTCTGCCTGTAGGCGCGCGCGAAGACCGCCATCACACGTATACATATATATACGCGCAAGGCAGGCGCAAGTCGTAGCCACTCGCTTCTGCCTTCGCCGCAAGTCATGCTTACGCAGCAGTCAGTGGATAAGATACTCGATCGTCTGCCAAAGGAGTCTGATTGAGTGATACTTGCCTGGCTGTGCGGCGAGTTCTGCGGGTTCAGCACGCGGGCGGTCGGCTTCCCGTCCAGAGGACGCCGCATAGGCAAAGAGCTTCCGCAATCAAGAACCTGAACACGGGTATACAGCATCAAGAAACCTCAATCACGAATGCCTGCATATATGGATGCAGGCGAGGCGGGCAGCAATCACGAATGAGTCAAAGCCACGCCCTGCTCATGCATCACGGCTCATTCGTCGCGGTCAGGCTTCGGCAGACAGCACAAACGCGCATCAAGTGGATGAGGCCGGACGAGTCTCGAGTCTCGAGTCTCGAAGGCTCTCCGTGCATCCAAGCACCGCCTGGTGCATGAGCCTTCAAGACCCCATCTGGTCGCACGCTCTTTTCGCTTTCGCGTATCCTCGCACCATCTCAAGTCCGATATGAACGGCAGAACCTCCCGCAGAGGAATATGCCGCTCCAAGCGTCTCATAGCCATCGTGACGCGTGGCTCATATCAATTAAGTTAGGCTGGGCATAGGGCGCATGAGTCGAAAGTCGTGTCGAGTCGCGCACCAAGGGCTTCGATTTGCCTTGAAGAAGCCTACTCTGCGTCGAGTCGCAACAAACCTTTGTACAGAGAGGACCGAGGCCAGAAAAACATGAGCACAGCATGGGACTCGACCGGGCAGCCACGGTATTGACTGCGAGGCCACCGTCAAAGCGTCTTCAAGCGATCGGAGGTAGCTAATGAATTTTGGACAGGACTCAAAGGCACGTATATGTGGTTCTACTCACCATCCACCCTCACTCAAGACTTAGCGACTGCATGGTATCACGACTACATAGCTGCATATGGATGGTGACCAATCTGCTTCAAATCTCGTCACTCAGGCTCAGCTCCTAGCTTTCAGTTCAGCGTTGTGGCGCAGTGCAAGGCTTCGTTCTCGAGTCTTGTCCACTTTGACGCCGTTATCGCTGTGTGCAGCAGCATTCATCGCAAATGACCCGCCCCGGGGCAACAATAAACCACGCAGCCGTCGACCGATCGAGTCCGCCACTCTTTCAAGATGCAAGATTGTGGTTGACGATTCGTGCTCTAATTCAGATTCATATTGGAGGGCCAGTATATGTCAGCTTGCGGCTGTCATCTGGCGGCTCCGTGTCTTCCTTATTACACGAATTGCTGGCAGCAGAGACTTGCCCATGGTCTGTCGAGCTGACGCGCGCATGAATAACACTCTAAACAGGTATGGGACTCGATCAAGACTCACATCACTCACATGCTATATAGCACTTTGTTCAGCCCTCGCAGTCCGTATAGCGGATCAGCGCCAGCATCTACAGCTCATCGCGGCGAAACCTAGCTTGGCTTGTATATAGCTCTGATGACACACCTCAAACCGGGCACACCACTCATGTCTTGTCGCCGGTGCTGCTGCTCAACGTCAATATGCAAGCAGCAATTGTGATCACAAGACCCACATCGACGCCCAGCAGCGACGAAACAAATGGCACGACTTGATTCGTGATTGGTTGGTCTTCATTCATTCGTGACCCTCGATTCGCACATATATGAGCGTGCGTGGTCTCTTCTATGTAAGTGAGTCAATGCCTAAACAAGCGTGATCGAAAAGATGCATGCGAAATCTGCTTTGGGCTGAACCTTGGCCGTATCTTTCGCGCAGACGCTGAAACAAACGTTGCATGAATGCAATCAGGATAGGAGAATGAAACATAGCGCAAGACTCGATCACGAGTGTGACGTGATCAGCAAACTCTGACGTGCTCGACCGACCCCCCCCCAGCACCGGCTCGACTATGCATGGAGCATCGCTACTCCCTTTCATCGCGTCCTTGACAGAAGGATGCGCGTAGTCACAATGGAGTATATAGTCCTCCTCTCTTCGACCTGTACGCTGGGTGAGCTGCAGCAACAGCGACGACGACTGCTTATCTCCGAGTCCAAAGCACTCACGACTGAGGACCCTAGGTTGTGAAGCCGATGAAAACGCTTTGTCCCATGTGCGCTGCGCCCACTTGCGGATCTTTATCCTCATGCAGCAAACATCAGTCACTCACGACATTCTGCGTGGATGTCAGAGAAAAGCCCGCGCACAAGGGGTGCTCGGTCACACCTAGCTAGCAGCTACTCCTTCTGCTCGTGACTGGTATAGCGCTGCTGTACGCGCTGGAGAAAAGATTTACGATCGAGCGCATGAAAGCAACCATGGCCACTTTGACTCATATTTACCTCGGGTCGCGCCTACGGCAATCTCAACCTAGCTGCACGGGGGAGGGCTGTGCTGAAACTCATGGAGATCAAGCGCTATATATATGGATATCCTCTAGCTCTGGACGCGTGCGTCAGTTGCAAGCTTGCCGTCATCAAAGAAGGGCAGCTTGCATGGAGATCGCGCCGCAATCATGAATCAAAAGCAAGAAGCAGGGCATGTGCAGGGCGGGAGCCTACAATCGTACCAGAGAACCGCATACTTCGAGTAGTACACGTATAGGCTGCCTCATTCTGCGCAGCACAGCCTTGGCACGGAGGGGCCTGACGGCAAGGAGGTCGATTGCGCAGGGGGAGCAGGCTGTATAGGTGCTTCCGCGATATGTAGCGCAGGCTCTTGCGCGCGCATAGCCGCAGCAGGATTCGTGATTGGCCCTGCGCAGCCAGCAGATGCATATGTTGGGCAGCGAGTATGTCAAGGCCAGCGTGGACGCATGTTCATCAGACTTACCTCAAATCAAGACTGATCGACGCAGCGTGCGACGCTCTTGGAACTTGAATCGAGGATATTTGTTGCCATCAGCGGATCCTCGGACCAATCACAATCCTTCGACACCCACGCAGCTGCACCAAACTTTGCAGCTGAATCACCCTGCGTGAATCTAATTGCTTGCTGCCAAAGCAACTGAAATCGTGAATCACGGACCACAACACGCTGCTATAGCATCGCACGAGCTCGTGGCGTTTGGCACAATCTGCTTGTTCACCTCAACCCTCAGCAGCCAGAAGAACAACAGCGTCGCCGGCGCGCACTCTTCGCACCATGCCTTCTGTCAAACTCACCCTTTGCTGCACGCTTCGCCGATAAAGATATCGGCTGTGAGACTAGTGGAACAGACGCACATCTCGAAAAACCCGCGGAGGAGCGGGGCTACAGCAGTATATCGTCCTCGATCGCCACTCGGGCAGCTAGCATCTGCACACTGCTGGCTGACATTCACCTTCAGCAACGGCGGAAACGAGTCCCGGCGCCCGACGGATCAGCTCTGCCCTTCGGAGAAGCGGAGCATTGAGATTGTCCAACTTTCTTGGCAGACCACCACTGACCACACCATCGTCGACCCAATTCTTGCTGTGTATCTTATTCTTCGGAGCGTCAAGCAGCAGAGCAGCGATTCAACTTGCTTGTCCTATCGTCGACAGCAAGTGGTGCAGATCGTGTGATAGCCAGCAAGCATCTCAACCCACACCCAGCTACCGTCTTGCTGCATGTACATAGCAGACATTCAGCGACTCGCCCAAGTCAAAGGTGCAGCGGGTCCCTCTCAATTGGTTTCAGCGCCCGCGCTCTTGCGCCATCGCAATTCTGCCGGAAGGCGTACCGCATCACACGTTTGGCTTTTGATTGTCAAGATCAGGCCAGTCTATCGCTGCTGACTGACTATCGATTGCGAATGCAATTGGTCATCTCAAAGCGCACAATTCGCTGCACGACAGCAACCTCTGCACAAAAAGCCAGCACTTCCACTTTTCCCGGCAGACGTATGAGTAGCGCTATCGTCTTGGCTCTTGAGTTATAGAAAGGACCCCGGAGACAGACGACAGCGCTGTTCTCCATGCAAGTACCCCCAGGACCACGCTCTCAATTTTTGTGCCACCTCGGGAGACCTTTGGCCTCAACATGCCCGCAGCTTCAGATTCCTCAAACGCCGGACCTGGCTGGTATTTGGAGCCACAAGGGGCTTTAGTCAGTCCCCTTGGCGAAGTGTACGATCTTGATCCAAATCTCTTCAAGTCGCAACAGCACTCTGTATCCCGGGATCAGCTTCTCGACAGTCGCGCCGCAGAAGTCAATAGTTTGCCTGACAGCGCGCAACCATACTCGCCTAGCTCAACATACGACTTCGCTACGTGGTTCCGCGATTTGCCACAAGCCGACGGAGGCGATGCTGAACAGTGGCGCAACCTTCCATCTCCTCCTTTCCAGCCCCGCAAATCGCCTTACCTCGGAGAGGATGTTCTGGAAGCCAGGTCGGACGCATCTGGAGCTCACTTTGACGACCTAGATCCCACCATCGGAACTTCGAGTCCTTCCAGCTTCGTCTGCGCGAGAGCTGCAGCGATCGAACGTCTCGGAGCGCTGCAAGCCACGCAAATGGATACTACCGCCGTTTCAGCATCGTCTCGACGCCCAGCAATCAGTCCTTTGCGTCTAGCAGCACAACAAGGCGTGACATTTGAGCCCGCTCGACGAGCCTCACCCATCTCTGCGACACAACTCAATAGCGGTTCAGCATTTCACGCCCGTCTGGGCGCCTCGCCTTCTTTGCCGCACCTCAGCAGAGAGAGCCCGGCGTCGGCATCGGTACAGGTTTCTGACAGTCCTCAGACACCTGATCCTTTGCTCATAGACCATACTATCGGCGCGAGGTCTTTCAGCCCAGCATCCCATGCTGATGTGCCCAGACTTCTAGCACCCAGGCCAGCACACGACCGCGCTGCTACGGTCGGCTTAAATTTCAACCACAATGCCCTTGGCCTTTACACCGATGACGGCAACCAGTACAGCACAGGTCACAACGCATGGTCATCTCCGGTCTCAGCGCCAAGCCCTCTTGTCAGGCAAGATCACGTTGAAGAAGCTGCTGCCTGGATGACGCTCCAAAAAGTGCAAAGCGAGCAGATGCACCACCAACAATTACTGGAAAATCTACACTTGCTCAAAATTTGGCAAGAACAAGCTGATCCGCAGGCATTATCAAATCAAAGACTGCCCCACAACAACGGCAGAGTAGATGGAGGTCCAGGCCCTTACAATCGTCAGTCGAGCCTCGCCTTTCCGGCCCATTGCGCGCGCTGACAATCGCTCCACTCCGAATCTGCAGGCAAACTTGGGGTAAGCGTGCACAGTTGTCTACATCCTGGTCTTGACTGATATGCCACCTCCTTGCTACCGTCAGCTGTACAAGACCGAGCTGGTACGCCTCTTGTTGCTGTAGCTTGACGTTTCCCTGGCTCATGCTCGACGATGTCTTTGCCGCAGTGCCGAAGCTGGGAAGAGCGCGGGGACTGCAGATACGGCAAGTGAGTGCAACTGCAAGACCTTCCCAGTCTTCATGGCCGTTCCACTGACGTTCTCTGCCTCTTGTCTCATGCAGCAAGGTGCGAGGTAAAGACCAGCTTCTGAATACTTACCGCTGACAGCGTCCGAAACGCTGGCGACAGTGTCAATTTGCTCACGGTCCCCATGAGTTGAGACCAATTGAACGACACGCAAAGGTCAGTCGCGAGCGCCTAGACTATCTTCGCGTGCTGACATCATCACTTCTGCCACTCGCTTCCACAGTACAAGACCGGTGAGGAGCATAACGCATCCGGCTTAGCTGCAAAGCGTGCTAAAGCGAAGTTTTCCTCCATTGTCCGCTGCTAACGACAGAGCCGTGCAGGTACGTCGTTTAGGCGCAACAAATAGGCGGCGGGTGTGAGTCCCATGGTACTGATCGAGACCTTCCTTCTCCAACATAGAACCTTCGAAAGATTTGGGTACGCAGGAATGAGACTGATGCGGAACTGAGCCTCTGTGCCTGATCAAGCTTTCGTTCTGATCTTTCTCAGCACGTGTCCGTACGCCAAGCGATGCTGCTTCATTCATGTAAGTCTGCATTGGATTTTCAATGCGTGTATCAGCTCTTCAAGAGATTGGACTTGGCTCATGACTCCTGCATGTTTGATAGACTACGGCTGCAAGCGCTGCCGCGACCCAGCCAGCCACTGATATGCCTCGCAGCGGCGCGCCTCTGCTTGCCCGAGTGGGACTTTCTCCTGGCAAGGTCACCGAGCGTTCGAACATGCTCGAAACCCATGCGTGGCCATCCTCGGCTACTTTGCCCCATGCAAGGTCGGCTCCGATCAGCAGCAAGTCTCTTCAGAAAGCCATGGATTTTGGCCAGAGCGCTGTCATCGACCCCAGCTTCAGTCATCTGAATCTTCACAGCGGTCAGCAACATTCCTCTAGAGCGTCAAGTGGTGAACGTCTGTCTGCACAAGACTTCCTCCGGCGTCGAAGCTCTTCCACTCCATACCCCGACAGCAGCGGTGCGGCCAACTTGTGGAAGGGACCTCTGTCTTCGACGACGACATTCCAAGGCACACCTGAGCCAACTCTACCCGAAGATCGTCGCCGCGAGCTGACATCTTCGTCGGATTTTTCCTGGATCAGTGACTTCAACGAAAGTCTTCGTCTATCCTCTACATCGTCTACGTCCGCCGGTGCAGCCCCAAAGACCAAGATGCTCTACCACGCCTAAGTGGCATTTCGGGAGCAAGTCCTCGGCGTCCCCCCTGAATCCATTCTTGATGGGCACGACAAGCGAACAAATAAGAAGCATTCTCTATGTCAGCCAATATGAAGCTTGATCCAGCGGATGGGAAGTGGGCGCATCGCGCATGGCTCGTTATTCTCGCTCTGGTCCTCGGAGCAATTCGTTTCTCGACCGCGTCGAGAAGACAATTATTTCAGATACTTCGACTTATGATACATGATACAGCTTTTACACCCTTCAGACTCGTTGATGACCCAGATTGTCGTTGTTAGTCGCCCCTCTGTCTCTGGGCTCACATCAGCTGCAAAGCTCGATGTTCACGGTCTTTCTCATCCGACCTGCAGAGACCGATATATCCCTCTAGCACCTTTCGAAGACACGATCTGCGAAAAGTGTCATATTCTTGTAATCAGCCGCGAAGCACTGTGCATGGGGACAATGGCACGAGCTTACATAGATCTGGCAAGTTGGCAACTTGCACCACATCGCGATCCAGAAGCTGCAAAGCGAATTTGAAGAGGGAATAGGCCTCGAGGATGAGTGGCAGTGCAGTGCAACGTCATGTGATGTAGTGCCACATCTCCTCACCGATTTGGGCGCATTGAACGGCGTGCGCTTGATTGCTGCCATCCACACGTGATGTACATCAAAAACATCTTTGGCTTGCTTCGCAGCCAGTGCGCGCTCCGCCTCTACTTGGGCCTCGTCGATCTGCGTGTCTCTCCTGGGCGTATTCGATGTATTCTTGCCATGATCCGCCGATCCGGCGCAAAAGGGTACGTGGGCAAAAGCAATCTCTCGCGCGATGCTCTCGAAGCAGCCTTTTTCGTCCTCCCAGTCTATCTGAGGCCCAAGACGCAGCAACAAGGTGGGCAGTCGTTCCAGCGGCATGCTGGCCTGACCAGGAAGGAGCGCAGGGATACTTCTCAGCGTAGCATCTCCAGTATCGATGCGGATTGAGAAGTACTCTTCGAGCATCTCTGCTCTGTCGATCAAGATCGTCATGACTCGCTGCATTGCGCGAAAGGAAGTGGCAGCGAAGTGAGTTTGCAGAGAGACGCGAGCAACCTCATCCAGCTTGTACGCACCTCGACGATCTCGTCGATGGACATCCCAGCTTCCTCGATATCCGGTTCAAGATCTGCTGCAATCCGAATCAATCTCCTAATGTCGGGTGGTGGGTCGAGCTTTAGTGTCGCAAAGCTTCCGAATTGACGCATGACAAGCTGATACGCAAATTCCTCGCTAGATTGTTATAGAGGTGGAACGAGGTTTAAGATGCTTGCCACGACCAAGCGGCTTTGCACGGGCCGAGGCCGAAGGTGAAACTCACATGATTGCTGCATGATTGATCAGGTAAAGCTTGGTCTCGTGCTGTATGAGTGTGAGGGCCATAGCCGGATCGACCACGCCGACAAAGGTGTGATTCTTCAGTACTTCAGTGAGAGCTGAAAGCTCGGCACGTGGGTGAAGGAATCAGCTGGTCTTTATCCGCTCAAACACCTCTATCAAAGGAACGTCACTCACCAACGTGTCTGCCCTTGACAGTCTGGGCGCGCAGCTCGCGCACACTGGTCAAAGAGCATTCGCTCTCGGCCACAGCCTGAGGGGCTTTTCTGACGCTTTGTCGTACGTCAACAGGTCTGTAGCCACCAGCCGACGCGTCGTTTTGTGCAGGGGCATCCTCCTCGGGCGAGCTATCGACCTCGCCCGGTGCCTGTGAAGAGAGCGTTTGGGTGAAGCCCATGCCCAACAAATTCTGATCGGAATTGTCGGTCCGTATCATGTGCTGGGGAGGTCTGTTTCGTTGCGTCACCGCGGGCGTGGCATTGTCTGCTGGGTGAACGAGCTGATTGTGTGAGAATACATGCGTCTTTTGTCTAGAGCACCAGAGCCAAAGGCACGCACCATCTGAAGTAGCATGGGATACCGCTGCTCGCGGCTGATCAGCATCGCTTGCACCAGAAAGCAGCGCTTGCTAGAACCGCAGCCGACCCCGCACGTCAGCAAACTGATCGCGACCTCCATCCTCGAACCCTAAGCGAAGCTTACACTGAACTGGAAACTTCTGCTAGCATTAGCTCCTCCCAAAACCTCTTGTGCCAGCGAGCACACCTCTTCCACAATCTCGTCCTCGTTCAGGAAGTGAACCTGCTTCAAGAAATTGCAAGATCAGTCTGACCTGCTCGGCTGCGATCTGATGCTATAACTGACTTCTCGCTTTGTCGGATGCACGTTGACGTCCACTTGATCAGGCTGGATCTCCAAGCTTACGTAGATCCATGGGTGCCCACCTTTGGGGAGGTACGCGGCATATAGCGCTTCAAAAGAGCGTTTGAGTGCTGGACAGTCCACTGAGCGATCTTTGAGGGAGCAAGGGCAAAGTGCTCGCTCAGCAGCGCTGCGGTACGGCTTTGAGCTGCAGTCAACGGAATGGCAAAGCGCGCTCACGATTGATAAAGCAGAGAAAGGTGGTCCGCTTGGCACTCCAATTCGCACCGCTGATGTATCCTTCAACGGTGAACTTGAGCTCAGGATGTTGGCTGAGCTTCAGCTGCACTAGCTCGCGCGAGACGGAGCTACCGTGCAGTGTCCTTATCACATCCAGCGTTGTAGTAGAAGGAGAGGATGAAACGCTCAAGTCTGCGGCGTTTGAGGAAGCCTGTGAGCGAGCAGAGGGCAGCTACACGGTCAGCGCCTGCGCAGTTGCAAACATGCCAAATGGACGTGATGGCCTCGCGCTAGACTGTGCTCACCTTCTTGCAGACGAAGCCCACGCCTCGACCTCCATAGTGTACGGCATACCGAGCAGCCACATCGAGCGCTCGGTTGTACTCTTCGGCTGCACTCTTTAGAGCTCTCTTGCGTTGAGGGACGTTGTAGAAGAGGTCTTCAGCAGTGATGAGTGTCCCGTTCGTTCCAGCGCAAGGTTTCGGCGCAGAGCTCTGGCCCGGTTTGGGCGGGACCAACCCGCCATTGGCATAAGAAGCTCCGTACGCGCAATCCGAGTCTCTCGTTTTGCTCACTACGCGCATAGATGCGCTCACATAGCTGATACTAGCCAGCGCTTCGCCTCTGAACCCAAAAGTCGTCATCTCGGATAGATCCGCAAAATCTCGGAGTTTTGAAGTGGCGAATCGTTCAGCGAGAAGCGGCAAGTCTTGAGGTCGGATACCACAACCATCGTCTTGGATTTGTAGCAGCTTCATCCCTCCTTCCTTGAGCGTGATGCGGATCAGCCTCGAGCCTGCATCTAGACTGTTCTCAATGAGCTCTTTGAGGGCATTGCTCGGCCGATGGATGATCTCGCCTGCCGCGATCCGATTGACCACGCTCTCTTCTAGGCGGACGATGGGCTTGAGTGGGACATCGACAAAGACATCGTCAGGCCCCGCATGGGATGTCGAGCTTGAGCTCGCTGGATCAGCCGACTGCGGCTGCATCTGTGCAAGATTGTCCGGGTGAAGCGGTGCGATCAGGAGGCGTGATGTGCTGTGTTTCTGCTCTAAGCGCGGGATCCTACCCTGACCTCCATTTGGAAACGGAGCTGTCTGGCTGCATGCGCTTCTGTCCTCTGCCGTCCACAAAGGGGACGGCTTCTTTTCAGCAATGTGGCGTGCTTGGTCGATATGAATCTAGAGCAATGGAGATGCCGTGCGACGACGCTTGACACTGCCAATTTATGTAGCTGACTGCTTCGACAGCATTGACGGTAGGTGGCATCAAGTCTTGACTGCAAGGCGAGAGGTGTGGTTTAGAGTCCAAGCGTTCATGTGCTCTTGATTCAATTCAAGATTTTGATTTTGATTATCCGTCAAGACGCGTCAATCTCGATTGCGAGGAGTCAAAGTATTTGCGCAGTTGTGGAGCACGCGCTTTGCATATAGCGCGCCCTGAGGCTCACGTGAGTGTGCGGCATACGTGGCACTCCAAACTTGACTTCGCACGTATTTGGATCACGCATGCACAAACCATCATCTTCGTGAACATCATCCAACCAGCAGATCTCACAGTAACAACGAGCGAGCTCAGTTTGCCCTTTCACCTCAGACCATCCTAGATTGACACTGCCTGGGCCTCACAGCTGCTCTCATCCCCAAAAATGTTCAACACGCGTGCTCTCGCTCTAGGCGCCGTAGCGCTTCTCGCGCTCACTTCGGGCTCCGTGCTCGCCAAAGATCCTCCCAAAGAACTTCAAGTCGGCGTCAAGCACAAGCCTGCAGAGTGCAGCATCAAGTCGGAGAACGGTGATAAGCTTAGCATGTGAGTTGTCGATGCTCGCAGGAAGACACACGACGCTGCTGCGCGGAGAGGAGGCAGTCTGGCTGTCGAGCTCGGACACGGGGCTCAAGAGGAGGGAGGAGGTGTGGGCTACAATCTCACTCGGGACGACGATTTGCTGAGCAGCGCGAGGAGTTGGCATGTGGCCCTTCACATCTCTGACATCAATGCTTCATTGCGTTGCAGGCACTACACTGGCAAGCTTTGGAATGGTAAAGAATTCGACTCTTCGATCCCCCGGGGAGAGCCATTCGTGAGCACAGGCGAAGCTGGCGTGGTATGAGTCAGCCTGCGCTAATCTGCTGCCTCCTGCATCTTGCAGACATTCACGATCGGTGTTGGTCAAGTGATTGGAGGGTGAGGCAAGATGGCATCTCAAATGCATGAGGGCGAGCTCGTCGAGCTGACAACGAGGGCCATCTTTTCTTGACGCTTGACATAGTTGGGATCGAGGATTACTAGGCATGTGCATTGGAGAGAAGCGCAAGCTGCAAATTCCGCCTGAGCTTGGCTATGGAGAGCGCGGAGCTGGAGGGACAATCCCAGGAGGAGCCACGTTGGTCTTCGACGGTGAGCATGTGCAGGCACGCGCAATCAGCCGACTCATTCGATCCGAGCATACACTCACCCCTGTGCGCTTTCTTTCTTCCCCTTCTCTTATTTCGAAGTTGAGCTCATCGGAATCGAGGGCCCAGGCGCAGATGCGAGACGAGCAGCTGCCGACAAAAGTTCGATTGCCGATTCGGTTAAGGCTGGTATGGCTGCTGCTGCTGGCAAAGCAGCCAAGGCAGCTGGCAAAGTGGTCAGCGGAGAAGACTCGGAAGGCAGTGTCGAGGCTGTGGTCAAGGAAGCTTTGAATGGGGACGATGAGCCTGCTGCGCTAGTTCACGAGGAGCTGTAGGCGGTCCTTCGGATAGGAGAGTCAGAAGCAGGACACATGTGGATGAATGCATTCGCGATAAATCTCTACTCCGTATCGTGCTCAGCACAGAGTGTCAGAGGCCCGCTGTCTCGATGTCTAACAGGTTCAAAAATCACGCCAATGTTGTCTTTGCCGGTCCGACAGGATCAGACGAATCCTGCTCAGCAATAGCAGCACACCTGCACGTCTTCTCGAATCTGCGACTCTCCGCGTGGCGGGCCCGCGCTTGACGAGCGCGTCAGACACAAAAGAGGCAGCCGTTTCGAATTCAAGCCTTCGAGCTTCACGCAGAAAAGACGAGCTGCAAGTCTCCGGTGGCACACATTAGCAAGGTTTGGTACCGGTCCTCGACTTTCTTGTGCTTGCTCCGTGATTCAACATTTCTTGGTTGCGTGATCGAGGTGCCTGACGAAGTGGCTGCTTGTGACGCTCGATTCTTGATTCGTGATTCGTGATTCGTGATCAGTGATGCTCATCCCCGCATGCATGCAGGTGTTGGTCTTTGCACGTGACCTACCTTGCGCCATCGCATTTTCCCGTTGATCAGCGCAGGGCTTGCAAGCTTGTTGCGCGCTTGGTCAAAGTGCACCATCGTGTTCAGGACACCAACCACTCAAGACTCATCACGCTCTTGGCTATGACCGCTTGTTACCATTTGACACCTCGGCCCAATTCTGTCTGACGTCCCAAGGCGTTCAGAAAAGCCTCTCGATCTGTGACTTGGCGCTGCTACCTGGCTGCACCCTCTGCTCGCATCCGCCTGCTGATCATCTCTGGTGTGCGATTCAGCAGCCTTGTGGACATACCACTACTCAAACGTCTAGCATCTTCATTCGAAAGTTCACGCAAGACGCAGCTCAATACATCCCAATACACCTACGTCAGTCACGCGCGCTGAGTTCTTCGCGGCGGTGCGCTACCGAGATGGCCACGGATCCATACCACAGCTTTGCCGCCGAGCTGCGCAACTCGTTGAGGTCAGCGCAAGAGCTAGCAGGTACATATTCCAAAGGCTCGGCCTCAAGCACGAACACGAACACGGACTCCCGACGAGCAGCGCACGATGCGCTCGTAGATGCCCTCGAAGCTCTAGAAGCGGACATTGCGGATGTGAGGGAGAGCGTCAATGTGGTATCTCGATCGCCCGAAAGGTTTGGCTTGGATGAGCAGGAGTTGGGCAACAGGAGAAGATTCGTCAAGGATTGCGAAGAGCAATTCAAACGCTTGTCCAAAGTGCCGGGAGAGAGACCTACGACGACTCGAAAGTACGCGCCTGATGCGGGAGATGCGGACGCTGATCTGGAAAGAGGGGCTTCTAGAGGAGATGATGATGTCGAAGCGTTTGAGCGCGAACAGCAACAAGTGAGTGTCGAGGGCCAAGAAGCAAGCGCATGGTCGGCGTGCGCTAATAGTCGCACGGCCATGCGCGTGACGATCTCGAGCCTGACTTCTTCACGTCTCATCCTTTTGTTCGGACAGTCATTATTGGCCCAGCAGGACAATACCCTCTCGCTTATCGGTCGCTCCCTCACTTCCCTGCGTACGCAAGCTTCCGCATTCGGAACAGAGATAGCCGAACAGGTGGAGCTCGTGGGAGCACTCGATTCGGAAGTCGATACGAGTCAGAGCAGGCTCAAAAGGGCAATGGGCCGACTGGATGAAATTGCCAGACGGAGCGACGATAGGTGTGGTGGATGGTGTGTCTGGCTGCTTGTCGTGGTGAGTGCGTGGGGCCGCGTCATTAGGTTTTCATGGTACTGCCTCGTAGCGTGATGGGCAAGCAGGCATTGCTTTCTCCGGACGATCTTGACCCGCTCACACCTTTTCCACGGCAGGCGTTGATGTTTGTAGTCTTGCTCGTCATTCTGATATGAGATCTGGCCTCATGGCGTCTGTCACGTGGCACTAGACGTAACGCCTCTTGTCAATAGGAGCGCAGGTCGACTCTCGACGTCTTGAGGTCGGCCAATTGCACAATGTGGCCGAACTTCGCGCATATCGCAATCTTCGCTAGCATGAAGAGCAGCACCCCTCACAGAGCTGCAGGGCGCCAGAATAAAGTCGTACCATCGCCATCGCGTCCCAGTGATCGATACGAACGTCGGTTCAAGATCCAACGGCCCGAAAGATAGACCGGGCTGGGACGAGCCCTCGAGTGCCGGTTCGTTGGGAGCGAGGGAGCTCAAAACGCGACCTAAGATTCTATCATTTCCGCAAAGGCGTCAGCGTCGCCAGGCTGAGGTGCTCCTGGCAATTCGAGCTCCAACAAAGGCATCAAGGCCCGAATTGGCTCCGGCGAATCGGGTCCAGGAGCAAGACGCCTGTAATCGCGTCGCTCGTCCGTACGAGGACTGGTCGAACCTCGACTTGCCCGATTGGGACAGATGAAAGTTTTGTGGCTGTGATGACGACCACATGGTTGTCCGCGCAAGCTTCATCTTGGCAGACTGTGGTTGCAAGTGGAGGCATCGGCTAAGAAGTACGGATCTCGTTCCAGCACGTCTACATCGATCGCCGACACCGTCATCGACCTCATGGTGAACCAATCTCCGCTTTGCTTCGGGCTTTTGCCCGGAAAGCACTTGCCGTACCTAGACCCCGACATTGTGATGTCCACCGCGCCTCCTGTTCGAGGTGCTGTGCAGCCATAAGGGCTCTGTGACGTGCTGCGATCTTGCTATCATCTTAAGACCAGCAGCCTGCTGCTGCTTTAGTGCCTCACGGCTCATTGTGGACAGCTACTTGTCGGACACTTCATTGACGACAACGGAATGCATGAATCCGGCCTCTCAAGGCGTGCAGTGCGCTCTGCCGATTTGGAGCCGAAAAGAGAAAGAAAGGGAGAGACTGTGGTGGCTACGCATCGCTTTGGAAAGCGAAAATTTGCTTGTAGGCGACGAATACGATCGATCGCGTGCAGCACTTCATCGAATGAGCAGCCGCAGTCGTGAGCTTGTTGGGATGTCTCAGTCCGAGCGCGTGTTTGCAGACCCCCGCGACATTGAGACATGCTCTATCAAGTCAGGCTTCGCGGCGCGTCAGCTAGCTGATTGAAGCTATCGTTACAAATGCGCTATAGTAGTCTAGCCGAGGAGCGCAATCAGCAGCTGTACGTAAAAAGAATGCCCGTTCCAAGACATGCTTTTGCTGATCCCTGCTTCACCCTGCTGCACGCGAGGACTTTGCACCACCGCAAACCGGTCACTTTGCTATTCTGTACTCTGATGCTGCGCTGCTTGCTAGGCCGAGTCTGATGAGGGCTGCAGCGAAAGCCAGCTGTCGCGAGTCTGCCCCTTTGAGCGTGCATGCGATGAAGTGCCAATCGACCTGTGCTTGCTTTCTTGGTGGGACGCAGAATGACCGCGTTAAAGCATAATAATACATGCATCGCCGCCATCATGCACTCAGACTTTTCTCTCTCGAGCAAAAAGCTTGAGCTTGAGCTTGTCTCAGAAAGGCAAGGGGAAAGGGCGTGGGAAATAACGGCGAGCTGAGACTTGCATACCAGGCTTCTGATCGGTATAAGGAGCGTTCGGCGTTGCCCCAGCGGATGCACCAGAAGAAAGGGGAAGGAAGCGCTTGCCAGGCGGTACGGTTCCTCAGACGTGTCGCGCCTTCCCAAATGGGCCATGCTGGCTGGCGTGGACAATGCCGAGTCGCCCGATCCTTACAGCAGCTGACGAACGGTGCGTCACCCACGCAAGCTCGAAGCCCAGCCGCGCCTCGCCCCTTCTTGGACAAGTCGCTCGAACAGCAAGGGCAATCCGTCGAGGTCTAGCAGAGGACGGGCATCAATTTACGCGCTAGACTTGCCTTGGTGGGAAATGTAGACGCGACGCGCGAAACCCCCTGCCGATGCGTGTTCCGACTTGTTGCTTGACCAAGATAGGCAAGTGCTGACGCACGCACATGCATACAATCGAGCAGCAGGTAGCAAGCAAGAATGATGCAGGGTTTGGCCGCCGTCAGAAGAGAGAGTGTGTGTGCGTGCTGCATGCATGTGTATGCGAGCTGCACAAGCAGCAGGGTGCAGTCACACTTTGCTAGCGCGTAACGTAAAGGTAGAGTTTGAACCTTGCTTTCCCGCAAGTCTGGTTCCTCCGGACTTGCCTCTTCGTGCCAGTCCGGCACTTGCAAGTAATGATCCCTCTGCGCTTTCATGTACCCTAGCTCAAGACTATGTACCCGGCCGTTCTCCCCAAGCTTGGGCTTTTGGAGAGGATCGCTTCTTGCCTTCATGCGCCGAATTTGAGGAAAGGTCGACGATTGAGAGTGTGGGAAAGCTCTCGTCCACCACCCAGACTCTCATCGTGGCTGCATGTTCTGCTGGCAGCATCTTGCCCACCTTGCGTGAAGATATATGGCAGCAAGTGGTACTTGCCCCTGAGCTGGCGCGGATGCAGCTGCGCGAGTCCATGCTCAAATGCTCTGGTGGGCAACATTGTCCACGCACAATCGAGGCGGTAGCACGTCTCTACTCTTCCTGCACCTGCTCACAGCCGGTCAATCGCCTTTGCTCTACAAGGAAGGAAGCTGCCAAGCACGCCCGGGCATGAGACTCCGACTGAGTCTGAACGCCGCCTCCGCAGAGTGAACCGACTGGGATTTCGAGAAAAAGGGGGAGCCTGAATCCACCCCGCTTAAACTCCGCTTGGGACCAGCATCGCGACACGCAAAGCGGCCACTCTTTCTCAAGGCACTTGGCCCCCAGACAATCTGACTCGCGAGGACCCTCGGTCTCGCATTGAAATCTGTTCGAGCGTCAGCGTGAGGCGACGCATGCGCCTCATTGAAGAGGATGGGCTAGCTGTGCGATCTCCTACGAGGCAGACACGGCCTGGCAACGACACAGACTGTAGTAGTAGTGCATGGGCATACAGCGCACCTATACGCGATCCACGCTTTCTTGCTATCAGAAAGTTTTTCGGCTCCGGCAGGAAAGCGCAAGCGGTGCCGCTGAGGTCTTGCAGCGCGCGTTCGGAATTGGCATGACTCGTGAATTATCACGAATGCAGCCAGGTTCCGCCGACCATGAGCGTGCTCAATGACTTGGGCAAGAACCGATCCGTCCGAGACAGCAGGGTAAGCCATTTCGGATGAGATTACAGCAAATGGCGATTGCCATTCATGATTCAGCTTGAGGGGTAATCTTGATGGTAGCCTTGGGTCAGCTGAACGGCGCTTAGAAAGCCTTGCGTAAGCCAGATAGCAACATTCACTCCGTGGGCCGAGATCGCTTACGAGAAGACTGAAGTGGGGCTACCCGTGGCTTGCGTTATACGCGACCCGAGTCCGCGCGTTGAAGACTTGCTCCTCAATGCTTGCCTAGCACTCAATGGGAGTGATTGCATGATGTGCGCGATACGGCACCTGGCTGAGTGATCGACCCTGCAAACTTGATGGTGGATGGACATGTCGCCACTACTTGCACGACGTCATACATGCTCAAGTGTAGGCTGTCACCGATGTCGAGCCTGTTCGCAGCTCCTCTTGCCTGGTGGGTGCCGAGAGCGGTGCCAAAGGGTGTGAACAAATTGCAGCAGGCACCATGCGGGTAAAAGCGTATAGCCTTGAACGTGCATGCTGCTGCTGCACGTCGAGCTGTCGACTGCGCACCTAGCTTCTGCTGCCTGCGCGCGTCAACCCGCCTCGCGGGCGTCCACACGGAGGGCACTTCGATACTTGATTTGATTCTGCGTCGGCGGGTGCCCAATTATTGAGTTCGCACTCCGCCCCGTCGCCGCTGGCAAGCCTAGCTGCCTGATTCGCTGAAAATTAAGAAGGCAATATAAGAGATAGGATCCTGGAGCAGATCGTTTCGACTTTTGTGTCCACGATTGCCGCATGTCCGGTTGATGATTGCGTCCTCATGATGAAGAAAGAGCGCTATACATCATCTTGTGCATGCCGGCAAGTCTTGAATAAGCTGTAAGCTGAGCGCAGATGCGATCGAGTAAACGTCTTGCAGGCGCCGCGATTGTCGGGCGTAGGGCTTTGCCCCTGCGCGGGTCTCGACTGCTGCGGTGATGATGCTACTGCGAGCCCGCGCCGCGTCTCCGCGCGCCGGCACGAGTCTGCCCCACATTCCCGCGCGATTCGAAAAAAGTCGCCAGCAGGTGACACAAAGCTGACCGCAACGTAAGGCGTTTCGGCGCAGTCGCCGCCCGGCTCTTCATCCCTTGCGTTGGGCGCACCCACGCATTGCACCACATGACCTACTCCAGCTCATATGGAAGTCGCGGAGAGCCTCTGACACGCTACTGAAGGCGTCGATCGGGAGACTGATTTCCAGCCATGGCGGAATCATGGCGTTCTGCGTGAGCGATCTTGCGATGTCTGCGAATGAGCGAGGACAGCTGTCGCTCGTCGGCGCTGAAAAGCTTTTCGCCCAAACAGGAAGGTGAAATGCCGTGCAGAAGAAGGTGGACATCGGAGCAGCCACAATGACTATACCTCGAGCACGTCGACACTGCTGGACTGCCTCGAGTCGTCCTATCGGTGTTGCGCAGTCGATCGTTCTGCGCAAAGCAGTGTGAGTAGCAGACTCATCTAAAACTCAAAAGTCGCTCCGTTTTGCGTCAAAAGTGCGACGTATTGCGCGACGCTATGGTCAAGCCGCTTCCAAGGAAGTAGTGCTGCTGTGAGTGCCTCGCTGTGGGGCCACTTCAGCTCCAGATCTGTGAACAGAATTTCGCGAGGACGTCTGCCAGTCGGCAGATATCGACAGCCAAGCAAAATGACCTGGCAGCGCTCACTGCGAGTGTTGCCGTTCGGACAAAGTCGCAACAATTTCGACATGGGTCCATTGGCCTTTCGGGTACCCAAGCAGTGACGTGATGTTGACAACAGCAATCTTCACCCTCGGCTCCGTACTTTGCTCTGGCACAGTACCCTTCAGGATGTGCGCCAGAGCAAAGCAAACACCAAAGATAGGGTAGGGTAATGAATTAGCGTTGAGCTAAACCTTGTTGTTTGTTGTTTCAACTCACTGTCGCCTTCTGCCTCAGCATTGATGATTGCGGCCATTGCCACCAGGACTCAGACTTGCCAGAGGAGCGACCAATCGACCAGCTGGGCAACATCCGAGCGCATCCCTGCATACCGATTGTGTGCACCATACCGTCGCTCCTACACTGACGCATTGGCGCCCATGATGTGGCAAAAGCACAGCGCCACTCGACTTGGACGTCATGATCACCATGTGCACCATCGATTGCAGATTTGCCGTCTGAGTCCAAAGTTTGTTAGCGTGACACCTTTGACCACACTTCGGTTCCGCGACCTCGATGGAGCTGGGCAGGGCTTTGCGAGCTGGGCTCCTATCTTGAGGAAATTCCACGGCTTCGTTCTAAGCCAAGGCATTAGGCTTGTCGATCAAAGTTCGCCCTGTCGAGCTCGTTCGTGCGCAGCTTCTTGGATGCAGCTCTCCTATAAAGCTTGAGTCCGACAGCGCATACAGACCAATGGGAAGTCGTGAACCTTGATCCCCTTCTTTTACGTAGCTTCTGAGTAACCTCTTCTTCCAGACCCCCAAACGAGAAAGATCTACCATCCATCCAAGATGGCTTCGCTGCTTGTGCCACAGGCAAGATCGTTCGCGCCTCACTTCGAGGTCATGCCCATGTCGGTTGTTAAAAGACTCAACAGTACTTTTGCTACTTCTCTTGAGCCTTCTGGCCCCTTGCTGAGCCGGGGTCCACCTCTCAGATCCACTACGCCGTCGTCCTTACTACGCCTAGATAGCGGCGCAACATCCACTTTCACCGTCCTCGCCATCATCACTATCCTCGCCGTTTCTGCGTTTGCAACTCAGGCGCACCTCACGGACGGTCCTCTAAACACACTTCTGGCTGCAACAGTTTGGCCTCTTCATCGTGCTGGCAGCCTTCTCAGCCACCTCGGCTTTCGCCATTTGGGGTCCTCTCTTCAGCATCTTGTCAAGGCGTCTCCCAAAGTGAGTTCTGCTGCGCCAATTTGACCGACCGTTTTTTGCAGCGCGGAGAGATGGTGGAGGGAAATGCGTGCAGGTCCTTGACAGGTCAAAGAGTAAATGAAGAGCCACTGCTGGACGGTCGTGGCTGTGCGTGCTACGCGGTGCAGATCAGCGCAGATGCCCGCCGCATGCGTCCAAGCTATCGCGCACGCGTCCGTCCCGATTCGGTTGCACCACGGTCAACGCTGCTCATTGCGCGCGCGTTTGCGGTTGCAGGCGGTTGAACGTAAAGGCTGCAAACCGCGATGCTTCATGCTGACCAATCGCTCTCCGTCGCATGGCGACATCGGCCTGATAGAAACCTATCAAGACCGCATATCCAGCCCCACCAATCGTCAACGTGCCAGTGCGTATCGCTGCAGCAGTGTGAGAACCCGACGACTCGCACCAACGCTGATCCTCACATTCATGCCTCGCGAAATATCCACAGAGAGATGTCCAGCTGTCCGAAGCTGGACATGCAGCCTACACTGCTGCGTTGAAAGAGCACGGTGGAGTGGTTGGTATCCCGCGGCACGGTCGTCTCGAGTACATTGTTGATCACCAATATGTCAAGGTAGGTCGGTGTGCTGCGTAAGCATTGAGCGCAGACGGTGATGCTGACTAGCCGCTCTTGTTGGATGACCTTTGATTAATCAGGATGTCCTGACCGATGCGAACAATTACTCTTTTGAGCAAGCTGTCACGTCCGTCCTTCACGTAAGTATGACCGCGCTTGTCTAGAATGTGTCAGCCTGCCACCGGCGACTCACGCTGTCCTTGAGCCTACAGATGGAGTTCATGCTATGGTTCAAAGGCGGTACATTCGTGCAAGAATTGGAAAAGCTGGTGCAAGATGGCGTCACGCCACGCCTGCGTGGCGTCGTTGAAAAGAGTAAGTTGCCCTCATTGACCTCTGGTCTCGCACCCTTGAGATTTTGCAAACACTTTCTCCTTGCCCACAGTCGCGCCCATCTTTGCTCAAGAGGCTCATGAACTATTCGAGAAGCACGCGGGAGAGAAGACTCCGGACGAGGTGCTGATCGACGATATGTACACATGGATTCACCGTGGAATCGCACGAGCAATGGTCGTGTTGATCCTCGGAGAACGCTATCTCAACGAAGAGATGACCGGCAGATTCATGCGCATTGTCGTAGGCATTGCTCACCTCAGCGGAATTTACGAAAACGTGAGTTGCTTGACTTGCGCGCGTACGTGGCTCTGCACTCACATGTGCTCCTATCTGCGTCTCTAGACCCAATCTTGGGCACGGTACCCTCGTTTGCATGCCCTGAAAACTACTCTGGCAGTCATCTTTGGCACCGTCATCCCCGACTTTTTCTTTGGCATCGTTCCTCAATTGTGGAGGAATGTCGACTCTCACATCAATCACGGACTAGACGTCGAGTCGTCAGACTACGCTCCCTTCTTGGACATCTTGACGGCCAAGCACCGCAATCGTGCAACGGGTGACATCAGCTTCTTCAACTTCATGTGGTCGGCCATCGTATGCCTTGGCATCATCTTTGCTTCGGTCCATCAAAGGTGAGCTCGGGTATCTGCAAAGCTTGTTGCGTTGCGGCTGAGCTGAGACGTGATCATTTTCGCACCTTGTCGCAGCGCGGTAATGGCAGTTTGGTGTGTCATGACGCTCGCCAAGCGCCGCGACTACCAAGACGAGCTTCGCGAAGAGATTGCCGAAATCATCGAGATTGACGCCGAGGGCAACAAGTGCATCACTCTTGAAGGCTTGCGCCAAGCACAGAAGCTCGACTCCTTCATCCGCGAAGTACTTCGTACCAATGGCGCGCTATTTGCACCAGTCCGCTGCACCACTGCGCCAGTGCGTATTGGACCCTACGTCATCCCCAAGGGCGTCAACGTGATGCCGTACGTCAAGCGAGCAAACGAAAGTGTCGAAGCGTATGGTGAGAAGGCGACCGCGTTCGACGGTCGTCAATGGGTCGGCAATCGTCCTGCCGTGCAAAGCGACCCTGCCTTCATCACATTCGGCCTGGGCCGTTGGGCTTGCCCCGGTCGTCACCTCGCAGTCGCAGAGCTCAAGATGATCGTAGCCACCCTATTTGAAGCCTACGATGTCAGCTTGGTCGGAGATACTTTTCGTTCTGGAGACCCGATGAACAACACTAGCGTTGCTCCCATTGGAACCGTTCGGTTCCGCAAATTATGCACTTAGGTCGTTCCAACTTCCCTTGGAGCGCGTCGACACGGAGCGAACAGTAGATCACCTTCTCAGCATCCCTCTAATGTACTGTCCGCTGCCTCGCGCGCTTCCTTTGCGCGATGCAGATGCTCTTCTCCAACTCTACTCCTTTCTGATGCGCTTGCGGTGGTCGGAATGCAACAGAATGTACAAATCAATCACGGAGCACCCCTGTTCCGACACTTGTGAAGTCAATCGCTTCGTCGCTCCGTCCCGGCATGTGCTTACCGTACAAATCACAATCATTGAGATGCACCTCCTCAGATCCTAAGCTATCTGCACCTTCGTCCACCCGGTGTAGGGGAGGCGGACCCGACTTTCACGCAGCTGCATAGACCTCTGTAGTTCGCATGACTTGATGATGATTGTTGCTAACGATTAAGACCTTCTATACATGTGCTGTTGCTGCCTTGTTGCGTGCATCCAGTGCTTTGCCACGAGATCTGCAACGAGTCGCGATGACTAAATGCGGGCATTTACGATTTGTGATTCAAATTTTTCCTCAGCGACGGTCCTCTCTAGCACGCTTTTTGGCTGCCTTTGCCAATTCCCGCTTTCGTTCCAGCTCTTCCTCTCTACGGTCTTCTGCTCTTGCTTGACGCGCGCTTCTCAGCTCTTCGGCATAGACGCTCGCTGCGTCAGCCTCCATATCGTCATCGTCACTGTAGACATCTCGGCTCTCGTACCTGGCATTCAGGTCAGAGTTGGTTAGCGCGCCACTCGACGTCATCGAGATGACGAGTCAGCACTCACTTGCTACGATCCATACCGAGCGCAGCCCAGACCTGGGAGCGCACATCGTCTCGCTTGCTCTTCTTTCTGTATCTGCCCGCAGATGCGCCGCTCTCGCCTTCACTCCCATCCGACTCGTAGTCGTCAGAATCTTCCTCCTCGCTCTCACCGTCACTCTCTTCGTATCTCTGGGAGCGACCAGCCTCGGGCCGTCGGTCGATCATGCCAGCAGCTTTCTGTGCCTCTCTCCGTAGTGCTTTCCTCTCCGCATCTTCACGAATAAACTTCTCTCTAGGAGTCTCGCGGGCTGGGATGGAGACTTTCTCGGGCACAGGCAACGTCTCTTTGCCCGCATTCCTAGAGCCGCCTACGGCCAGCTTTTGCTTCGTCTTGCGAACCTCGTCATCCGAAGGCTTTTCCGATTTCGCGGCGGCGCCTTTAGAGGACAGCGGACGAAAAGGTGCACCTGGAAGAAAGTCTGCTGGGTTGACACCATAAGACTTCGTGGCCAGCGATTTCGAAGGGCGATCTTTGGAGGCTGCTCGAGCCTCAGGTTGTTCCGAAGAGGCGCTGCCAATCGTTGCCTTGAGCTCCGATTTCAAGGCTCTCTTGTGATCCGGCTGTTCCTCGTCGTCACTGCCAAAAAGACTATCATCCGACTGGTTCGGTTTTCTCCCACTCTCCATCAGGCGCTTCTTCTCCATTGCCTTCCGCCTGCGCTCGAGCGTCTCCAGTTCCGCCTGCTTGCGCTGAGCCTCTCTCACAAATGCGGGATCATCGCTCGCTCGAGCAGCCTTCAGTTCGCGCTCCACGTCTTCAATGCTCCTGTAGGTCTGACGACCAACACCAATGGCCAGCATCTCATTCTTTCTGTTGCCGACAAGGGCTGATGAGATATGCAGCGATCTTCCTGGCGTCATTGAGGCACGGTTCGTCGCGGGAGGAGCGGGTGGCTTCTTTTTTGGCCTTTTCGCTGGCTCGCCCCACATGGCTTGGTTCTTGCGCGCGCGCTGTTCCTCTCTGGTCAGGGTCGTGGTGCTTCCCGAGCGAGTACCCTTTGCTGAATCTATCAAGTCCTGTCGGAGCGATGAAGAGGCTGCATTGGACTGTGAGGAGCAGAGCCGAGAATTTAGGCTGCGACGGCGATTGTGCAAATTGGCTGAGAAGGGTTGATCCCACACACCTTTGCTGCGGTCCTCTTGCCCCTTGCTTTCTCCTCTGCTAATTTTCTCTCCCGCTCTGCTCTCTCGATCTTAGCAGCAGCTCTCGCCTCTTCCAGCTTCCTCCTGTGAAGTTCGTCATCTCTCTTTCTCTGCTCTGCCCTCACAGCTGCTTCCCTTTCCGCCTTTTGCTTTCTTTGCTCCAGCACCTGGGCTGCCTCTCTCTTGCTGCGCTCAGCAGCAGCTTTCCGGGCTCGCTCTGCTGCTAATGTGGCTTGCGAGGCTTGTGTTCTAGCAGCAGCTCGAGCTCGAAGTGCAACAAACTGAGAGCAAGAGTGAGCGAGGTGTGTGAATACGTGAAGGTGTGAGTACAGATCGGTAGACACGCGACATGTCTATCAATGCCTCACCTCGTCCTCTGCGGGCATCTCGCCCTCGCAGTGACTTGGGCTGAGCAGGACGGAGGAATGTCCGCAATAGCTTCGCTCAAATTTGATCTTTGACGTCGCTGAAGCTGATCGGCGTTGGACCGTGAATGGGAGCTTGTTGACGACGAAAGGGTGTCAGGCCAGCTCCACGTTTTGATGCGTTCATCGATTTGAAACCAGCATCCCGGCGGATATGTCGAGATGATGATGGCGCCGGCGATATCTCAGAGACTTTCGGGTGTTGTTCTTATGCAGGGCCAGCTAGTCGGAGTGGATGTAGTCGTGAGTCAAGGGCCACGATGGAGTCTGTCTGATGCGCCCCAGGCGGATGCAAGTAAGGGGCACGCACGTGATGGCATGAAGCGCGCCCTCCACACGCTGCTGGCCTCTGCAGGCTTGCTGACAGCTGACCCATGCATCACCCGCCATCGAAGGCGATCGTCTGCTTCAGGAGGAGGTACAAACAGGTTTGAGGTCTGATGAGTGTGAGTGTACGTCGCTGAGGTACGTCGAGCTCAGCATCGTGGGAGACAACGAGAGTCAACAGGAGTCACGACGCTGCTGAGCACCTTACACAACCTTGACCCTCTTTGTCCTGCTCGCCTCTCCGTTCGCTCGCCTACCTCGATCGCGCTCTACCGTCTCATGAATCGGCGCGTCAGCGCGATCCGACATCCACGCAACGCAATCACGAATCGTGAACAATTCGCACCGCATCATCTCCTTTCCACCACAGTTTGGAAAGTCGCCTCTACCCAGCAACGACCTCGTTTTGCGGATCGTCCGACTCTATGCATGGCCGCCATCTGACAGCATCCTCTCAAGTTGGACTTCGCAACGACGAGGCGACTAGCTGCGCACGCCGGTGGGCTTTGCGCTCAGCCGCAAGCGTCTTTGTTGGTCAGGCACTGTGCTGTGAGCGTTCGACATTATCACTCCACCAGGGTCACCTTCAACAAAAACGAAGCGGACAGGATGGCGAGCGACGATGCAGTGCCTACAGGACCGAGGCAACGCACCTCTAGGCGCGCTGCCCCTAACGGCTCAGCAAGACCACAGCCACGTGCCTCATCAAGCTCTTCTCCCACCTCGCCTACACCCTCGTCGACGCCCCTCTTTCCTGTCGGAGACATCTTTCCAATCCAGCTTGGGCCAGATGGCATTCATCGCGATGTGGCCGCACCCCCTTTCAGGGTGCGAGCAACCGGCCCGCGAGGCGCACCTCCATCCGGACCTTCTCCTGGATCAGCACCCACTTGGACAACTCAACAGGGTCAATCCAGTAGCTCACCTGCACGAAACGGGCCTCGTGGACAAATCGGAGTGCGCATTGCCTCGTTTGATGGTCCTGCGCAGCAGCCTCAGCTGCTCGCAAAGTCTTCACTCGCACGCGCCGCAGAGGTTCCTCTCAACGTGCCCAAAGGTCCCAGAAGGTCAGAGCCGCTGCCTGCTCGTCCTTCGCCTGCCGCTCGTGGTAGCAGCCCGGAGACGAGGAAAATGTATGCTTCTAGAGAAGTCGCGCTGGTGAGGCGAGCTTTGCAGAAGGTGGACGAGATGGGTCGCATAGAGAAGCAGCATCTCGCTTCTTGCCAAGAAAGTGGAGTGCGAGGAGTCGGCGGAGCTATACTGACCCTTTGGCAGGTGAGCGAGTGATGAGCAGCGTTGCTGAGACAGAACACTCTTACTCACACATGTCTTGATGCCGTGCCAGACATCGAGACCCGATGATCGATGGCAACACAAGAGGGAAGGTCTGCTGTGCAGAGTGCAAAAAGCCATCGACAAAGGCTGGCCCGATCAAGGTCTGATCGTCACTCCGTTCGGCAGCAGCGTGACAGGCTTGGAAGGCGCCGAGAGCGACATGGACTTGGTGCTGCTGGATCAGACAAGGCCGCTCGGAGCAGCTACTGTAAGTATGCTTGTTTCCCGGGGCGTGACTCGCGGCAGGATCGCCAGCAAGCTGGCTCACTTTGTCTCACATGACTTGTGTCGGATCGCTTTCAGCCACTTCATCTCACGTTGCCAAGTCCGAGGCCGGTGCGGCTTGTTCGCGGTATGCCGGACTTTTACGACGTCTACACCGTCAGCAAGGCGCTTAGACGGCAAGGCTTCGAGTCCGTCGTTCCAGTCGCCTACGCTGCCGTTCCGATCGGTGAGCGCTTTCGGATGAATCGTTGATGTTGTTTTGCTGTCGTCTGGCTGAACACCTTACTGCCATGGCTTGGGCATCTAGTCAAATTCAAGGACTCGAGAACCGGACTTGATCTGGACCTTAACATTAATGATCGCTTTGGGCTTCAGAATTCAGCACTGATCAAAGCTTACGCAGAGTTGAGACCCCAGCTGCTCCGACCGCTGATCTTCGCTGTCAAGCACTGGGCCAAACGAAGATTCTTGAACGATCCAGCTGGAAATTTTGGACAACCGTCTATGAGCAGTTATGCCCTCTCTCTCCTGGTCATACAGTATCTGCAGTCCACAGGCGACTTGCCCAATCTTCAATCTCCTCAGCTTCTGAGAGCTCTGAACATGCCCAAAGAACGCATGTGGAAACCTCCTCGGCCCCAAGCGCCGAATGTCATGGCTAAAATTTTGCAGGCGCGAGAGCGAGATCGCAAGCAAGGCAAGCACGTAGCTGAACTGGTCGGGGCAAAGTCGTACGAGACCACATTTACCTTTTTGCAGGGCCCGCACGAGTGTGCCGAGTACCGCCAAGAGCCACAAAGTCTTGCTGAGCAGCTTGAAGCACTTGGGACTGCCTTTGTCGGCTTCTTTGCGTGGCTGCGCGGAAGTTCGGAGCTGTTCAAGACTTCTGCAGCTTCTATCGTTGCTGGTGGCTTTATACCGAGGACACCGTACATGACTGAAGCGGAAAGGAAGCTGACGAAGAAGAAGAATCGAAAAGCTAGAACTCAGGCAGACTCGCAACACCGGCAAAAGGAGTCTACCGCTTTGATTCGGACCACAGATGGTCAGCAGACCAGCAACGACATCGAGGTCGAAGCATCGGACACGACTGCGGTTTCTGAAGAACCTGACGACTCTGCCGTGTCCGTGGACGAGTCGATAGAACTATCAGAGCCTCCTAGAGATAGCGATCATGGCGGCGAGAAGTCTGATCCAGCAGCGGGGAGAGCTTTCGATGAATCTGCTCCACGTCACTGGGACGATTCTGACACCACAGACGTCATCTCACTAGATCGATACGACGAGCCAGAGTCGTGGGCCAACAACCCCATCGTCGTGCAAGGTGAGGAGGAGTTGGGTTGACGTCAAAGCATGGGCCTCATGATTCTTCGCTAACAGCCAACGACCTGCTCAGATCCCTTCATCGTCGACCGTAATTGCAGCGGGGCGATCAGGGAGGTGACAGCTCAAAGATTCGAAGACGAGGTCGAAAGAGCCACTGGCATGCTTGCACGGGCGCTGCAGGCGAGGAGAGGCGCGCAGTCCAGCGCCGCATTGGTCCTGGCTGACCTTTGCGAAGACGTTCGCATTGCAGATGCGGGTTATTACGTGCATGATGTTGAGGAGCGGACAGTGGGCATGGCCATTTCCAGAAGTCCCACGACTTTCATCCGACCCGAAATGCCTGAATCTTTTGGTCGAAACGGCTCGAGAATTTTGGCACTGCTAGACCCGCCAGAGCGCGACGAGCTTGATCAGCTCTTGCAAATGCAGGCTTTGGAGGATGAGTTGGAGAGAAACACGCGCCAAACACGGGCTGTGGTTGAGAGACGCGAGATCATGGCCGGCAGAGAAGGGAAGCGACAGCAACGAGGTGGCGTTCGAAATAGAGCGAAACGAGACACAAACCAGCATAGCTCGGAAAGTCAAGACAAGCCGCTCGGGACGACTCAAGCGCAGTAAACAAGTTTGGAAAACATCGCACGGGAATATTGCGAGAGACGATGGAGGGTGCCCGAAGCAGCTCGCAAACCTGAACACCGGTGAGACGTGCACGAGAATCGAGACAGGTTTCACCCAGAGACGAGGCATCAAAGTCTTTGACGCCTCGCGTCTGACTGATGAAGCTTGTCTCGATCTTCGTGCAAAAGTCCCGCGCTGTGCCACCGCCCTCTCCATGCCTTATTCCTCATGCGTTGAACACACATGTTCCTTTCATCCCACTTCCAAACCATGGGCACCTTGTATTCACACGTTACCGGCATTCCCCCGCCTGCACTTCTCCCTGACAGCTTCTGTCCCGCCAACCTCCGCTACAACCCAACACAGTAATTCCTCGTGCTTTTTTCGGGGTTTGAGCTGACATGGCCCAGGACTGTGAGGAAGACAAGACTGACCACGCAAAGCTGAGAGCTTGTGCGCCAAATACACGTGAATGATGACCATTTAGAGATTGCGAAGCGTTGTCGAAGAGCTACAAGGTGACCTGTTCTACTCTTCGTGCTCGGCCAACAATCGATGCCCCTCTTTTGAGTTGTAGAATTGGTTCTTTGCGACACTGCACGGCACAAAGTGGCGAGTCACACAAGTGAATGCGCCGGTCAGCCCTGGACAGCTTGGAGGGCGTGCGCAGGAACAAGCACTCACGACCAAGAGTAGATGCCGTAACCGGCTGCGAAGGGAATGCCAAAGTAGGTCATGCGCGCCATGATTCTCTTGAAGCCGAAGAAGAGGTAACCATGCAGCGCTCCCTTCATGGGATTTTGCTGAAAGGGAGAGATGGCTGAGTGTGACGCAAGAGAATGGAAGAGGGATGAGGGAATAGTCGATGGACACGCTCAGTCGGATCGGACGTGACAGGAGCTCCGCTGATCCGTGCATTGGCCACCCGGGGCTGGAGATGGCATCTTTTGAGATGCAAGCCAGCTTCGCAATCTCGCACGCAGCGAGCCGCTGCCCCACTTCCTCGCACGCCTTCACGTAACGCGCTCCAGATGTGCTCCGGCTTCGGGAGGATACAGCTACAACGTTCCGCCGGCGTACTCACAGTACTGGATCAGACCCTTTTGCTTGGGACCTCCAAAATCGCCCCACCATCCCATCTAGTCGCATTCGCATCCGCGCCAAGGCAAGGCAAGAAAAGAATGCGGAGCGCACAGCAGCAACAGAAATCGAGAGGACGAATATGGAGAGGAGGGGAAAGAGTGAGCATCAGCATCGCTACGTCTTCCACAGACTGCCGGGAGAGGGAGCGTACAAGGCATGCATGTACTCACGTACTTCTTGCCCGTGGGCATACCGCTCTCGACGGGAGCTGATGGCCTCATCTTGTGTGTGAAAGTACTTCAAACAGCTAGCTTCTGGAATCGTACCGTATCCTGCTCGCGCTGCTCAGGACCGAATGTGTGGTCGAGGCTCGATGGGACGTGGGTGAAGTATGTCTCTTGGTTGGAATGCAGAGCAGTAGTTGCAGTCAGCAGACGTGTCCAGATGTGCGCATTCACCCATCAAGTTGAGCGTCGCTGCCCTCATCCAATCGCGATTTCTAACCACACGTCGGTCATGGATCTGTTGCCTGGCTCGGGTTGGCTGTCGTCCGGCCCACGTCGGGGCAGTGAGGCCACGTGGCTGAACGAGTTGAAACACGTGACGCGTTCATCTTCACTCCCTTGCTTCAGTCACGTGACTTTTAGTCGCCCAGAACCGAAAAGCTGATGGACTGAGCACGGCGACTAAATCTCCACGCTGAGTCTTCAAGTTTATTGAGTAATCAGTGATGAAGATGCTGTCCCCTAAACTTGCAAGTGGTTGAGAAGCCTCATGCTGCCGTCAAGGAATTGAATTACGAATCTAGAAACCGCTTGCGGTGGGGCGGCGAGAGGATATCCCGACGCGTCCGTCATACCCCACCGCACGACACGCATATCCAACAGCAGCAGCAGCAGCATGGAGCACGCGTGCGGCTCGATGCACGGATACGTCAATTGAATGCACACCTGTGCAATAAAGTCACGAGTATATGGCAGCAACGTCTACAATACAACAGCTAAGCCATGCAAGAGTCACGCATATACGCACAGGATTCCAATAAGGAGGAAAGCGTCCGTCGGTGCATCCTGTAGCGACGACCGGCACCTTCCAATCTTTGATATGCTGCTGCGCCCGCTGCACCTGATCGCGGTGCATGTGCACGACTGCAGTGACTGTTGTGACTGTGACTGCGACTGCGACTGCGACTGCGACTGCGACTGCGACTGCGACTGCAGCTGTACCGTATACCGGTACAGCCACTCGGGCTGCATGCATCAGGGAGCCCGGTTGCAGGGTGAGCGCAATCAAGGCGATGATGATGATCGGACATGCGAAAGCGGCGCACGCGATGAAATGGTGACTGATTCGGCTTGGCTCGGCTTGCCTCTCTCGTCGCTCCTTGTCTGTACAAAGCGCGCCATCCATTCCGACTCTCCACTCTGCTCTACCACATGCCTCCTGCTTTTTGCTGTGCAGAAGTCTCTTTGGCATCTCGTGGTACCACCTCTCCATAGCATCATCACGCCACGCAGCAATCCAAACGTCATGTCGTACGCATCAGTCGCAGCCAAGGATGCTCCTCCTCAGAGCGAGCAACCAGTCCCGTCAGCGCACTACGCCGAGGGCCGAAACGCAGGCAACTAGTGAGTATCTGCGTCCGCCTCTAATCATCGAGACGACTGTCCGGTCTGTGATGGCCCGGGCCTCAAGCTAACGCACACGCACACGTTCACTTCATCACTGCGCGGCCTGAGCAGCACGAGCGCCCATCCAGACGTAGACTCTGGTAAGGTCAACATCGTGCCTAGCGGAACGGACTTGGATCATATCAGGACCGAGTCCGCCGAAGAGGCTGACAAGGCTATCCAACGAGCTCGTGCGGAAGCCGAGAGGGCTCAAAAGGAAGCCAAGGATTTGTCAGAGAGGGCAAAGAAGCAGGCTGGAAAGGCTGAGAAGAGGTGAGTCGCCGTCTTGGAGCTCTAACGCTCATGTCGGGTCTAGCTACGCAGGTCTTTCCCTCAGCCGCTAATCACCGAGTGCGCAAATAATGCTGTGTCCACAGAGTCTCCAAGGCCGCTTCGGACGCATCCAAGCAAGTTGGAGCATTCTGGCAAAAGTTCTCCTCGGAGCCCGCATACTGGGCCTCGACGCTCGGAGCAGGTGAGTGCTGTATCATGCGCTCGATCAATCTCTCGACTCTTCTGCGAAAGTGTGCTGCTGCTGACATTCAGAATTTGCGCCGACCGACGTAGTCAATGTTGCTCTTCTGGGAGGAATTGGAATATATGCCTATGCGAACCGCGACCAAGCGCGAAGCTGGGATCGTCGTTTGGTCAGCGGCGCGGCCGTCGGAATCCTTAGCTTGCTTGGACTGCAGAGCTACGCAGCTACGGAAGCGGCCAGACGTCAAAAAGGCAAAAAGTAGAACAAGGTCGTTCGCTTTAACGTCGCGATGCCCATTGGATGAGGGCAACATTCTCGGAGCTGGGTGCTTGTACGATCTATCTCACCATTCTTTCGCGAAAATCAATGTATACACACAGTCTTTGGACGAGTGCATGAGCTACGTCGAAGCGCTTTGGAACGAATGTCAATCAGTCTGGTATGATGCGCGCTTGCAAGTGAGATGGAAAACTTTGATTGGTCACTGATGCATGCGCGCAAAAACTGGAAATGTGGCAGGCAAGTGATAAACAGGAATCAAGATGCAAGACGTGCAGCACTTCTGCGTTCTACAGGCGTATCCGTATCAATGTCCTTTCCCTCGCTTTCCACTCGTGCGTTCAGCGCATGTTGTCCCAAAGCTTTGCGCGGCGGCAAAACGAGTCTGGTGGGCTTGATCGAAAGTCCAGAAACGGATCGTTGATGCGTCTGCTGCCTTTGCTGCGCGTTGTTCGATTCCCGAGAGGGACTTCGCGAAGGCACTCTACGGGAAGAGACTCTCGGTGCCTCGTCGTCGTCCAAGAGCTCGTCGCGCACCTCTTCTTCGTCATCTGAGTCTCCGTAGCCATATGCGGCGGCTCGGGTCATCCTCAAGCCTCTTGGCTTTTGGCCATCTTTGTCCTTTGGCAGCGGCGGTGGTATGAGAGTGTCAGCAGGAGAGAGACTAGCGGTGCGATCGGCACTTGATGGACTGCCTGGCGGTTCCAGTGATGCTCTTAAACTAGTCCGACGGCTGCCACCGAAGAGCGATGCGCCTTCCGGTCTTGCAGAAGTCGGCGTCATGAGCGGCGAGCCAGTCGTTGCGAATGCTAAGCGACTCTGCAGTGGCGGACGACTCGCAGCCACTTTTCTAGCCAGCTCGTCGACCTTCTCGAGTGTGCCTTCTGGTAGGATAGGTACAGGCTGCCAGAATGCCCCGGCAGAGACGCCCTTGCCTTGAGCAAAGAGGCTCGACGTCCGGCTCGACACGCTCACACCTGTCCGAGCGGAAGAAGCCCAGCTATCCTCGCTCTGGCCGTCGTCCGACCTGCTTGGAGACCGTGAACCGTCGCCATAGCCGCTCGCTGAGATGGCAGGACTTCCCGGTCTGCTGCTCGCGAACGGAGACTGCGCCAGACCGCCCGCTGCGCTTTGCTGAGCTATGCGTAGGCCGGGCGTACCAGTGCCTTGAAAGTGTCCTCGACCGAAACCGAACGCATCTCCGGGACTGACAATGAGAGCTGCCGGCTCCGAAGGCAAGCTGGGAGGATGCATTGAGCCAAAGTCAGTCAAGATTCGGCCAGATATCTACCTCGGCCCCCTGAGCACTCACGCAAATGGAAGCATATCGCGACTGTTCAGCAGTTCAGTGCGTCTCGCAAGCTCGTCAAATTCGTCCGAGAAGGTTCCACCAGTGGCGCCCCACGGAGGATGATAATCAGCGACGCTCTTGCCAGGCACGAACAGAGAGTTGACGAGGTCCTGCGTTTTCAAAGCGAGCTCGTCTTCTCTCGTCATCGGGAGCATCGAATCGGCGAAGAGGGTGTCCAGCGTCTCCTCTTCGGCTGTTGCGGGGCTCGGCGAGCGACTATCAGGGGTGCAGCCATGCTGTGTCTCCGTGCCACTTCGGTGATGCACGTGTGGCTTGGCGTTTGCCCTGGCCCTGGCTCGCGCCTTTTCAACCTCTTCCTCCTGTCGCGAAGCCTGCTTCTGCTGCAGCTCTTGCTGCCGCCGCTCCCAATCCTTTTGCAGCTGTTCGAGGTACTGCGCGCAGTCCGGGCTCATGCGCGGCTCGCCCACCTGATAGCGATAGTCGCGCACGGCCCTGCGCAGCTGCAACGGGTTCAGCACCCGCATTCCTTGCATCGTTGAGAGCAGGTCGACAAACTCTTGCAGCGTAGACTGAGATTGCAGCCACGAGATGAGCTGACGAAGGGGCTCAAAATGCACGTTGATGATGGACAGAGGCAGCGCGTTGGATCGCGCCCAATCTTCGAGTGCAGAAACGTTGAGTCGAATTTGCATGGCTCGAGACTGACACAAATACTTGCGCCTTGTCAGAACCCGGTTGAAGAGCTCGCAGCCGACCCAAAAGAACACCTGCGACAGCGCTTGAACGATGATGATCGGATTGATCTCGTAGAGCTGAAGAACGTGCAATGTCGCCGTCAGCAGAGCTGTGATCGTCCGTGGAGAGGGCTTTGCGAGTAAACTTTCAGCTGACATGTCGCGCGAGTCTTCCTTGTAATTCTGTGCCGACAGAGAGCTTGGACGCGTTCTCCGTGTGGAGCTGGAGTGCGCTTCGAGCCCAGCCGATCGTCCAGGCGATGGATGAGGTTGTCGCCATGCGTCTTTCGTGCTGGTCTGAGGTGAGCCTGACAGAGCGCTCGCAGGTGTGGCAACTTTGCTGGAGTCAGCTTCAGGTGTGGCAGGCTCGCGTCTGCCGAAGATTTGGCTCAAGGGTCGTCTAGGCGTTGGCGAGCTGTTTGATGCGGAGGGCACACGACCGGCCGAGGCGGAATTGGGACTTGCGCCCAAGCCTTTGACACTACCAGTAAGATTATCGGTCAGCTTTTGCATGAACTTCCACTCGCTCTCAAAGCGGACCTCTTCGTGACCCGGTATGGCATCGTAATCGAGAATGGCTGCATCCATGACCCTGTCAATCCGCCTTTCGACGTCCCGGATGACAAAGGCGTAAATTTCAGTGATGACGTCGGCCAAGAGTTCCCGGTGTTCTGCCATCTGCGGCTTTTGAGATAGAGCCAAATCGCGCTGAGTGTAGTGCAGCAACAAGCAGCAATTGAAAAGCCAAAAGGCAATGATGCTCAAATCTTCTGATGTGGCGTAGATAATGTCTTCAATCCTCTGTATGGACCCAAGAATCACCTCTTCCAGTAGGATGTCCGAGTCGTACTGCGCAGCGAAGCGTGCGCACAGGAAGATGAAGTTGGCAGGTGCTGCACGGGCTGTCCATGGCGCGCGCATTGGCTTAGCGCTCGAGACAAATTGCTCCAGCATCAAGGGTAGCTCTTCGAGAGATACGACCAGCATCTGCGAGTGCAGTACTTCGTCCCATCGAAATTCGGCGCTGAGCGGATCGGCCCCCACTTCGAGAGCCCCGCATCCTGAAGCTAGTCCGAAGCGATGAAGATGGTTCAGGGTGCGCTTCCGACTGCTCAGTCTCTTGCCCTTCCTCTTGGCAGTCCGCCGTTCTGGAGGGCTTACTTCAGACTCGGGCGGCGGTCCTCCGATCACGTTTGAATAGTCCAGTTCCAGCAACACAGCAGCATCCATAAGGGCTCGCCGGCGGGCCTCTGCCACTTCGCGGGCCTTCAGGTCTGCTGCCGCCAGCTGGACTCGCTCGTCACGGCCGATCAGCCTCCTAAGGCCCGTGCTTCCAAGGCTACCTTCTCTGTAATGCGAGGAAAGAGCTGCAAGCGGCGATCTTAGCCCCTGTAGTGCAGGGGATGGCGATGCTTGAGGGTGCGATGGAAGAGGAGAGCCGGGAGCTGATCCCGCTCCTCTCGATAGCGGCGATGCTGCATCGTGAGGCTGTCGTAGAAGCGCGTTGGGGTCTCGAAGGATATTCTGAAGGTGTTCGTAGACCAGATCGACAATAAGCTCACGATCTGCAGCTTGCTGCTTCTCTTCAGCGTCGAGCGGCATGGCCAATCGACTCGGCCCAGCGTCCGCATGCTGGCTGCTCTCCTCTCCGGCGATTGCGGATAGGACAAAGTCCTCGCAAGAGGTGCCGCGCGAGCTTCTGGCTCTCACGTCGGCCCCATGCGAGAGCAGAAACGCCACCAAAGGTGCGTTGCTGCTGTTTATAGCCCACATGAGGGGTGTCCAGCCATCTGCACGGGGCAAGCGACGGGTGTCAGAGCCGCATCGAAGATTCGCTGCTTGCACTGCGCGACTTACATGAATCCCTCTCATCGAGCTCAGCGCCTGCTTGGACCAGCATGTGCACAATGTCAACATGTCCTCCAGACGCTGCCAGAACCATTGCACCGCTGCCGTTCTCATCCCTCGCGTTTCTGAGGTCGATCTCTGCTAGCGCTATAGCCTCTGGCTGCGCATCTTTTGAAAGCCGAGAATCTTCCGCCTGCGATCTGACCTGCAGAATCCAAGTGACGAGATCCGAGTCGCCGAATGTGCAGGCTCGGAGAAGAGCTCTGGTCAATCGTGCGGACTTTTCTGGCGTGCCGCCAGCAAATTGCGCGACGGGCTGACTTGCCAAAGACTGGACGAACAGCAATGATGGGCAGAGCTCGCTCAAGGGGTTCTGAAGCGTGAGGGAGTCTTCTTCGCCTGCTGGTATATGCTCCTCGTGGATTTGCGCGGCTGACCCACTTGGCACAGCAGCAAGTCCAGACATGACGAGGGGCGATGACGCCAGAATTCAAGCAGGCTCTCCGTAGACCTATTGCCAATGGAATGCGTGTCTGGCTATACGCTCGAGATGGCCCTGCTGTTTCGTGTGCCTGTGACTTGGCGAAGCGAGGCTGTGGATGTCAAGGCAAGGCGATTTGCAAGCAGCAAGAGCTCATTCGTACCATGCTCGAGTCCACGTTCCAAATTTCGTGTGTGCGAGAGAGTCTATAATGTTGATCAGCAGGGAGTTGGTGTCTCGCATGTCTCGCCCCGTACGCGCTTGCTATGCTGTACAATCGTGAATGTCAGAATGAAAGAGGTTAGTGGGAGTGGCAAAGCAACACCTGGTGGATTGGTGAATTTCGAGGCATTCTGGAGTCAAGTGATCAAATGAATGTCTCCCCTCATGCATGCCACCTGCATCAATCCTCAATCCTCACAATCACGAGTCTCCCCTCGCGTCCATCATCAGCCGCGCCGCCATGCATGCTGCTGCCTTCAAGCCGCACTCACACTCGCGACTCGCGACTCGCGACTCACATTCGAGGGTGGACCGAGCGTAGGCGCACCATACCCACCACATACTAGTACTGTATACCACGTACCGCACCCGATGGGCGCGTCGGAGCGCGTTTGGCTGCGCAACAGACCATGAAGGCCTCGCGCCCGCCCCATCGTGATCCTCTGTGGCGTTCGAGGACAATCTGAATCTTGAGCGGCAGAGTCAGAATATTGGCTGAGAGGTCCGTGCAAGCAACTCAAGACTAACATCAATCGCGAGCTAGAGCTACGGGGCGGCCTCCACGTCCGCAGCCTTCCCTTTTCTCGTCACTCGTGACACCAAGCGTCGCAGCCACCTTGCAGCATCCTGGCAGGCTTCGCTCAAGACCACAACGAATCTTCTTGCGAATCTTCTGGTCAACACGTCCACTTTCCTGTTGCCAGGATCGCACACACGGCGCTTCCAAACCCACGCCGTCGTTGCCGTAGGAAATCGATGAACGGAAAGGCGAGATCAGCTCAGCGGGAAGTTGACGGTGCAGCAACATGCGTGTCCTCGGGCGGACAACGTCTCGAAATTCCAACAAGTTCAACGCTTTGATAGCTTTTGCGACCAGCTGCTTAGCATGCATTTCGCTGGTAGCGCCGCTGAGCTCTGCTGCACAGTCTCACTCACCGCCCATCTCCGTCTCGCTGCAGTCTCCATGGCCGGCAACCCCTCTGCTGCTGGAGATCCTCGAAGCTGCGCACACTCAGGATCCCGGTAGCTTCTGGCCACTCTTAGATCGTCTCACAGACCCTCAGTCAGTCGTGCTAGATCGCAACGCCTCGGATGAACGAACCTACACAGCAGCTGTACAGGCGCTCGACGATGCTGGGTTGCTCGAGAAGCTGTGGGATCGCCAGCTGTGGAATTGGGCGCTGGCTATGCATACAGAGGCTCCAAAGGTGACCGCTTTCTGGCAAATGTATAACAGAGGCGGTGCGGAGGAGCGCTGGTCGGAGAGATCACAAGGACCGGCAGTCGAGTGTGGAAGCTGGGTAGCATGGGGACAAAAGGTGCTCTGCACCGCATCGGAAGTGGAAGAAGCCTTAGGTACGGGGTCTGAATCCGAGTGAGTATGTCCAAGGCTGATTGGGTGTCACAGAGCGCTTAGGGCTGATGGTACAGACTTTCGCTTGAAGCACAACACTTTTGGAGGTGCCTTTCGACCACATCCGTCACTCAAAGCAAGGTGCGCCAGCATCATCTGGCTTAGCGAAGCCGCGTGTAGCCATCCTATACGCGGACCCTTACTCTCCAAACTTCAGGTCTCTGCATCAAGAACTGAGTAGACATGTCTCCGCTGGTCAAAGCCCAACGTTGCGATACGTGTTGAGGTGGAAGGCTCCTCGGGCGGAAGAAGCTGCCATATCTCCAGCATTTTTGGCAGGCTATGGCGCAACTTTGGATTTAAAGAAGGTGGACTACCTCGTCATTGATGATCGTAGAATCAAGGAGATCGCGCTTTCCGATACGGTGCAAGGGAAGTCACTTGGGTCAGCCCAGTCTGAGGGCGACTTGATCGAGCGCGAATGGCTGGACAAGCTGATTGGCACAACCGATGAGGACAAGGTAGAGTCTCTGGGCAACCTGAACGAAGGAGAAATCACTGGTGGGTCATTGATGTGTCACTTGATACTTGTAGCACCGCAAATTTACCGTATCCTTCTCGACATCAGAGCTGGGCGCCAAAGCCACACAACTGATCATCCAATCGCCTGATCCCCTACGAGCTCTGGCTCAGCTTTCACATGACTTTCCTGTTCATGCCGTGGGCCTTGCGAGAAGAGCTGCAGGCCCAAAGCAGGAGTTTCTTGAAGAGCTTGAAGAAATGCACACTACCGCGATGGAAGCCGGCTCGAGCGACATCTGGCTGAATGGCAAGGCGCTCGCCGAGAAAGAGATTAGCCCTCTTGGGTGAGTCGGGTGTAGGGCCGGCACAGCTTGTAGCGTAGCATGCTCACATGAATTGGCGGATTACGGCCAGGCTTCTGGCTCCTCTGCGAGCAGACCAGGCCCATATCACTTCTTTAACGTCCCCTTATCTCAATCTGACGCCTGCCGCCGCGCTTGACCTGTTGACGTACGCTCCGATCGGTCAAGCGCAGGATCCAGACGCGTCTTCAAACGTCTTCTTTGATGCCAGTGATCGCATCGAAAGGGGCATGCCGAGAGGCGCAGCAGCTTCGATGCCTCGGGCAGCTCCCAAAGACGCGGAGTCGTCTGCAGAAGGATCACGCGATTTGAATTTCCCGCGCGAAGGTGCAATCACCTATCTCAACGATTTGGAGAAGGACAGCATGTACGCGAGTTGGTCTCCCAGCTTGCAAGCAGTGAGTCACAACGAGCTATGTGGTTGTCTGCTTCCTTCCCTAACGCATTCCTCGCTGCTATCCTTTTGGCGCAGCTCATTCGACCTCTCTGGCCTGGGGCATTTCCGCACATTGCCAGAAACATCTTCAATGTCATCTTGGTGATGGATCTCACAAGGCGAGAGACGTGTGGCTTCCTTGCAGAGAGCTTGTTTCCCACCATCCCTCGCATTGGGTTGCGCTGGGGATTCGTACCAGGGGGCTTGGAAGACCTGGATCAATTCCAATGTGAGCGCTGAGGGGCCGTCACACCCGTCATCTTGTCCACTGAGTATCTTTTACCTTTGCTTCATTAACAGCTCTGCAGATGGCACGCCTGTTCTGGCTACTTCATGCAGAGCTCGGTAATACCGGTGTAGTCGAATGGCTCAAGGCCCTTGTGCGCAGTACCTCCTCCGGTCAGCAGATCGACGTCAAGCTAGCATTGAACGAGGCGCGACGTGTGTTGAAGAGCAAAGCAGACACGCTCAATCCTGAACAACTTCTGACCGATCCTGAGCTATCCGAGAGGGAGCACAGCGTCCGAAGCTATGTTAAGCGCTTGCATCTCGACTTGAGGGGCAGCCACGCGCGGGGACATGTGCTGGTGAACGGCCAACGCATTCCCTTCAATGCTCAAGCTTTCAACGCTATCCATTCGCTCGTGTCGACACAAACGCAAGCGCTCGCTCGGCCGGTGCGTCGTGCAAGGCACGCTAATCTTGTAATACCATGAGGCGAGCTGACAAGTCTTTGTTCCTTTTTGATAGGTCTACTTCCGTCAGATTGATCCCGAACAGGACATATCGCACTACTTTTATGATCTGCCGACAACGTTCACCTCTAGATCCAGTTTGGTGTTTCCCGACGAGGAGATAAGCACTCCTGACAATCCCGCACCTGCCGCTGTCAAGCCGCGCGCAGTTGACCTTGTGAAAGCGGCGGACACCCTTAAGAACAAAGCGGTTGTAGAGCGCTTCGTGTATTCGCCCGCCTTTGAAAAGGTGAATGCAACGGTATGGGTGGTGGGCGACTTGGATTCTCAAGAGGGATCAAGCCTCGTACGCGAAGCACTGAACGCATTGGTACGTCACTTTCGAGAGGCTCAAACGGATTATCCGAGGGCTGATCTGCGCCTACCTCCTGTGTGCAGTCCCAAAATGCGTTTCGTCTCGGCTTTGTGCATGTACCGCGCAGAGCTTCGGAGGCTAGTCGCTTGCAACCCTCAGCAAGCTTGTTGTCCACCTTTTTGCACGACATGTTAAGCATTCCGACGGATCTCAAGTCGAAGCTTGGTCCAGAGAACTTGATCGAATTAGTCGAGGGGTATCAAGGCTCGCTCCGAGATATTGTCACAGAGGGTCGAGTCGAGGGCCAGCAGATCTTTGGTCATGCAGACCCGCAAGATGACGTCTCGGCAACGAAGGAGAAAGGATGGAACACACCGGCTGCTACTGCAGCAGGACTGTTCTGGGACGAGGTTGCCCCATTCGCGAATGCTTTGGGCATTGATGAGCGACAATTTGGAATCGTGCTCAACGGCAGAGTGCTCACGGGCTTCAATGCACAGAACATCGACTCGGGCGACTTTGAAGCCCTTTTGTCTCTAGAGTCTCGCAGGCGGATTGATCCTGTCGTCGAAGGACTGTCGCAGGCCGGCGTCCATTTTGAAGGTCTCAACAAAGAAGATCATGCGCAGATAGCAACCTTTGCAACCTCGATCATGAGCTCTGTCTATTACGTCGACGAAGCGGCCGAGGGCATCTTTCAGCCACCGCAGACCGCTCGCAGTTCAATTTTCGATCAGATTGAAGCTCGGCACTCTTCCTTTGAAAAGGGAGATAGGTCTACCGCGCACACTCGGCTCTTCGTGGCTCTGGATCCACTCTCTGAGCGCACGCAGTCATGGATTCCCGTCTTGAAGCTCATCGCGAGCATGAAGGACACCTATCTTCGCGTCATTCTGAACCCAGAGACGAAGCAAAGCGAACTGCCGCTAAAGCGGTTTTACCGCTCGAGCGCTCCGACGCAGATGTCGTTCGATGCGTCTGGCAAGCAGCAAGGTTCCAAGTTGCAATTCCTAGGCATGCCGGAGGATGCAGTGCTCACCATGGCGCTGGACACTCCGCCATCATGGTTACCAATGGCGGCGGAAGCGGTGTACGATCTGGACAACATCCGACTTCGAGACGTACCTCCAAGCGGTCGAGACGCCGGCGTCAATGCGATCTACGAGCTGAAGCACATTTTGCTCGAGGGTCATGCACGTGAGGAAGGCGTGCCTGGTGCGAGGCAGATACCGCGAGGTCTTGAGCTAGTGCTAGAGTCGCCGGATGGCGCTGTGCAGCTCGACACCATAGTCATGGCGAACCTGGCCTACTTCCAATTCCGTGCACAGCCTGGCTTGTATCGGTTACGCATTCGAGAAGGAAGGAGTAGTGAGCTTTTCGAAATGCGTAGTGTTGGCAACCATGGTTGGGAAAGCCCAAGCGTGGACCAGACAGGTGATGCTGTCACTGTGGACACCCTGCACGGCCTGACCATCTATCCCAGAGTCAAGCGCCGTCCGGGCAAGCAAGAAGAAAGCTTGGTGGTTGATCTGGACGAGGATATGCCATCTGAGGAGGAAGACAGCGCAGGAAAGGGACTGCTGGCAGCTGCAAGACAAGCATTCAAAGCTGCGAAAGGCAAAGCAGATGAGGTGGTGAACAAAGCTGTCAGGCCTGTAAGCAAGCGGTCGAGCGCAGATATCAACATCTTCACGGTCGCCAGCGGGCATCTCTACGAGAGAATGACGTACATCATGATCCTCTCGTGAGTGGCTTCGAAACTGTATGGGTGATTCATCTGCTGACCGAAATTGTTCGGCCCACACAATCCAGTGTGCTCAAGCACACGAAGTCTAGCGTCAAATTTTGGTTCATCGAAAATTTCTTGAGCCCTTCCTTCAAGGAATTCATTCCCCATCTGGCTCAGGAGTATGGCTTTGACTACGAGCTGATCACGTATGCGTGGCCTCACTGGTTGAGGGGACAGCGCGAAAAGCAGCGCATAATCTGGGGCATGAAAATCTTGTTCCTAGACGTTCTCTTTCCACTTGATCTCAGCAAAATCATCTTCGTAGACGCAGATCAGATCGTACGATCTGATCTTCAAGAGTTGGTCAAGACGGACCTGCACGGTGGTGAGTAGAGAGTAGCTGCGTTGATCGCTCAGCAATCGATGTGCTCCGCGCTTATATTTGCTGTGCGCCTTTTCTTTTCAGCTCCGTACGGCTATCCGCCTATGGGCAACGACTCTTACGACATGGACAATTTCAGATTTTGGGAACAAGGATATTGGAAGAATTTCCTGCGGGGCAAGCCGTACCACATCTCGGCTCTCTACGTCGTCGATCTGAATCGCTTCCGTCGTGTGGCAGCTGGAGATCGTCTAAGAGGTCATTATCAGCAATTGAGTGCGGATCCCAACTCGCTTGCTAACCTGGACCAAGAGTGCGTGCCGAAGTGTTTGCTGATGTGAGATTTCGCAGACGAAACGCTGACGTATCCTCGGCGCGCCGATAGCCTTCCGAACAGTCTGCAATTCCAGCTTCCCATCTTCACGCTGGACAAGACTTGGTTGTGAGTCATCGCACGCGCGCTTCTCGGATCGTCAGACAGTGCGGGCGGAAACTGATACGGCGCTGCGTTGCTCGAACCAGATGGTGCGAGACGTGGTGCTCCAAAGACTGGCTAGCACAAGCCAAGACGATAGACCTGTGTCAGAATCCCAAGATCAAATCGACCAAATTGGAGAGGGCGAGGCAGATTCCCGAATGGACAGCATACGACGAAGAAGTGGCACGCTTAGCAAGTCGATTGGCGGGGCAGGATAAGCTGGGAAAGAATGTAGTGGTGGATAAGCAAGAGACTGTAAAGGAGAAGGAGGTGGAGTTGGAGACGAGTGCAAACTTGGCGCACGAGGCGGTGCACCATGACGAACTTTGATGCCGCTGCTGGCGCGCCAAGCACAATGCCGAGCACTAGTCCGCTGATTAAATGCATGCGATTGACTTCCAGACTCGTGCATTCACAACAAACACCTTTGCGAGACACATTGCTTGACGTGTGCGTGTGTGTGTGGGGGGGGGAAGTGAAGGGGGAGGATTGGTGAGATGATGGAGGGGGAAACGATGGTCGGTTGGCTTTGAGCGCGCACAGGGTAGGCGCTCAAGCCGGCCACTTTCGCCGAAAGGGAAGGGGGCGCCGGATTGCAAAGAGCTGCAACGCTGGGCTCCTCGCCAGCTCAAATGTCTTCGTCCTCCTCCTCGATCGTCTGTTGACGTTGAGCCTGGCCGCTAGGTGGGTTCTTGGCCGGGCTACCGGGCAGCGTGTACTGCTTGATGGGCAAGAGAGAGAGAAACGCGAGGAACCCAGTGACGGCAATAAAGATAAAGACTTTTCTAAAGGAAAGCTGCATAGCATCCACCGCGAGAGCCTTTTGCTTCGGCGGCAGTCTCTGAATGTACGACACGTCCGCTCTGATCTCTTCGATGATTTTGCGAGGCAAGTGAGCTTTGCCAAGATTGACCTTGAGGTTGTTTTGAAGAATGGCGTTGGTGAGCGAGATGCCCAACACGCTTCCGGTAGCTCGGAAGAGGTACGTCACGCCTGTAGCAGCTGCCATTTGTGCTGGATCGATGGAGGCGATGAGAGCTACGAGGGTAATGGTGAGGATGCTGCCAAACGCTGCTCCTCCCCATGGCATTGTCAACCAGTAAGCCCACTCTGGAGTCACGTTGCGTTGCCAGAAGACCATAGCCAATGGTCCAACCACTCCAGAAATTCCTCCAGCCAGCATCATCGTACGGTAGTTGCCAGTTCGAGCCATGATCAAACCGGATCCGAGGGAGCAACTTGAGGCCACGATGGCGTTGGGAATCAAGTGCAGACCGGCGTAGGAGGAGGACGTGCCCTCGACGGAAGTAAAGTACTGCGGGACGTTGAACACTTGGTGGCAGGCAAGAGGAGAGGGTATGAGCTACTCAGCAGCAGAGTACTGGGACTGGGTAGGGGAGAGGTAGGACTCACAAATGCCGAATTGGCTCATGCTGAGGAACCAGCAAGCCAAAGCCACTGCGCCGGGCGTGCGGTTGAATAGCACCGCCATGGGCATCAAAGGTTCTCTAGCGACGTACTTCTCCACGAGGATAAAGGCAGTGAGAACAACTGCGCCAGCAGCAAGCGTCCCCACCACCAAGCGATCGCTCCATTCTCGCTCCGCTCCGCCCAAACTCAAGCCGACCAAGATGAGGGTGATGCTGCTGACGAGTGTCAAAGCTCCCCAAACGTCGATGCGCTTGAACTTGTCCTTCATGCTTCCTGGACCAGCCGGGATGTCCACTTTCCACGAAACGACGCCGAGGTGTATCAGGCAGAGAGGAATTTGCATGAGGAATGCGAAACGCCACCCGAGACCTCCATCAGCAAGTGCACCACCGATAGGACCGCCGAGGGCTGCACCTGCCGCGTAGACAAGATTTCCAATGCCCTGATAGCTGCCAAATTCGAAGCGCATGTATGGTCTGTCAGCGACGTGGCTCCCAGCAGGGGCACGATAATCGAAACTCACGTTCCTCGGTTCTTGAGGTCAATGAGATCGCTGGTAACGATAGTCGACATACTTGTGAGGCCACCGCCTCCCACACCAGCAATAGCTCGAGCCGCACAAAGCTGCGGGAACGTCTGAGCCAGTCCGCAGAACAGAGTTCCAACAGCGAATACAGCCGAAGCAAAGAGCGTGGCGAACTTTCTTCCAAAGATGTCCGACAGTCTTCCGTACAGGGGTTGAAAGGCGGTCTGAGTCAAGAGGTAGGAAGTTCCTAGCCAGCCCACTTCTTTGCTGACGTAGAATTCGGATCCTACGCGAGATTGGATCGTCGCAACCACTGTTCCGTCCAATGCCGCTACAAATGTTCCGATCCACATTGCTCCTAAGATGATGTACAAATCAGGCCTGCGGCCTGGCACCTCTTCCGAAGCGGGCCCATCAGGCAAGCGCAGTCCTGAGTGTTGGATGGAGAAGTGCGATTGGTCGGGTGGAGGAGGGATGAATGCGGACGAGTTTGGGTCTACACCATGAGAGGCATCGCGGACTGGGGAAGAGTCGAGGGATTTGAAAATGTCAGCGTGTATGCTTTCCGTGGTGACGACGCCATTTAAAACAATGCTAAAGCGTCACGGAATGGAGACTCACTAGCGCTGAATGCGCTCTCCTGTGCCAGAATCTCCTCGTCGGTGTAGGCAGTGCTGGAGGTGGCTTGAGAGTCTTGTGAGGTCCTGAATGTGCCCAGGCTACCAGGGCGGTGCGCAGCTCCAGCTGGAGCGCCATTGACCAGAGGCGTGCGCTCAGACGGAGCAGACATGATCGCTTTGGGTGAGTCAAGTCGCTGGCGGAAAGGACGTCGTGCAGGAGGAGCTCTGTAGAGAGTTCGGGTCTTTACGACAAGTCAGTACGGACGTCGACGAGGCTGACGATGGAGCTCAGAGCAGGGTGTGGGAAATCGAGCACGCTGCAATAAGTGAGCAGTGGGAGAGGAGAGGAGGAAAGGTATAGGATCGAGATGAAGAATTTTGATTTGGGAAAAAGAACAGCAGCCAGACCCCCCGGGCGGCGGAAGTTGAAATGCACAAATCAATGCTGAATGTTCACGAGGAGATACGCAACGTACGCCACGCGCATGCTCGTGTCTGCGACTGCATCACTTCGGCCGTGCATGCGCCCATGCACGCACCGCCGCACTCACGCAGCAGCAGCGCAGCATCAGGGTACGCTCCGCCATAACATCCGCGAGCACGGCTCTCTGCCTCGGGTCATCTGCTGCGAATCCCTTGTACGATGCAGCAACACGTATAGCCAGCGGGGCATTTCTCCCAAAAATTACGCCTCTCGATCGAGAGTCACGAGTGTTGGTGATGCTGCATTGTGGATGGCTATAGTGACTTACAGAGAGAATTTAGCTGCTGCGATCTTGAATAGCATGTTTGCAGTCGCGAGCCGTCGTTTACCGTAAAGTAGTACGGAGTGGACGGAAGTCTGTCCGCTGGGTGGTTATCATGCTGCAGGCAGGCTGGCAGGCAGGCTGGCAGGCAGGCAGTCAAGAGTAGGGCAGCAGGCATGCATGCACGCGCAAATGCACGGCTGCCGGCGCCGCGTGCTGGGGCGCGTTGAGCGTGCGCGGATAGACCTTCGCCGTCCGCTCGCTCGACCCCGTGCCATTGCAATCGAACCTGGAATGATTGGGCGGCGTTCGTCTGCGCTCAATCAAGTCACCGCAGTCACTGCCTGAACGAGTGCGGATCGGCGGTCTGGGTTGCATTCGCATCATCACCGCAGCTTTGACTAGACTCACGACTCATCAGACTACAATGACTCTTTCGGTGCTTCGTTGGCCTATCGACTTGACTACATGCACTCACTCGCGACTCCTTCTACCAAGTCGTCAAGAGCACCAGCATGCACTGAACTACTACCATGGCTCGAGGCGCTCGATCGAAGCTCCTCTCTTCCACGCGAGATAAGGCACACAGACGCAGCTTTGCGCGCTGTGACGCACGCTTGCCTACAAGGTTCACCCGCTCCAGCTTCCTGCCATCCATGCAGCACTTGCATCGAATCGGGTCACGTGACGACAGCAAGACTGTTCAAGGCCCGGAACTCACTCATAACTCAAGACTCGAGACTCGAGACGCTGACCTTTGTAGATTCGTCGTCGAGATTAGGCCTGACGAATCGTTTGCCTATTCTAAAACATGCTCCATGCCCGTGCCACGAGCCTTCGATGCAACCCGTGCCGCCACAAGAATCACCGCGACCAACAAGCCCGCTTTCGTTGCGACGTGACTTTTGGCTTGGCTCGAAGCCTTTACTCTGACTGGTATGTGCGAGGTTCCGTCAACTGGATACCTTTATCGCCCAAGTGTCAATCGATGGGTCCCGTTCTGACTGCCGAACTTGATCTGGTGACATTTGCTAGCAATACATGACCGAGCATGAACAAACAAATGTTCAGTGCTAGAGTGACGCAAGGGCGGGACGAGCTTGCGGGCAGCTTCCATTCTTCCTTGGGGGTCCAACTGTAAGCTTCGGAAGCTCCAAGGAGTCTAATCGACATTCATCTGATCTTCTTCCCCGTCTTGCTCCCCCTGCTGCTCCGCATCCTCCGCTTCCATTTCCCTAAGCTCCTCATCGCTGATCCGCATTTTCCAATCGTACTTTTCTCCATTCTCATCAGGTTGTTGTTTGAGGTGCCAATAAGCTCTTAAGCAAGCAATGGACGCATCGTCATGCTTTCTCTGTTCAGATCTAGCAATCCTTAGACGTCTCTTTGCTTCTTTCCTGGTCTGTTCTTCCGCCGCCGTAGCGCTCGCAAATGTTGCATTGCGCTGCGCTGGTGCTGATGCTGCAGGTTCTTGTGAGACGGGATGCTGGACACACCATTCGTGCCATCCCTGCTCCCACGCATTCTCCAGTCCAAAGTCTACCCTCGCGCGAAGAAATTCGGTCAGTCTAGCTTTCTGTTCCGCATCCAAAACACCCGAGGGATGAACTGCAACTCTTTCCAATAGGTTGCCCCTTTCTCGTCTAACCTCGTTGGAGTAATCCACCCTCGGGGTTCCTTCGGCCGTCGCATGTCTCTGCTGCCCTTTTGACAGAGACCCGTCCACAGGCAGACCCAAAGCATCCACACCCGAGCCAGCGATGGCCTGCGAGCCTCCGTCAGAGACATTCCCAGCATACAGATTGTTCGCGTCTGCCTCTGCTGCGAGGAAGGTGTTGAGAAATGCCATTTGCGCGTCATGCGTCGGTGTCGGTGATGCTAGAAGTGAGGTGAGGGTGTGAGTTGCCGAAATGAGCTCCATGTGCTGAGTCAACAGCTTTGACCTAGTGCAAAAGGGAGAGGGCATTTGAGCATGGGACCCGCGATCGAGCCAGGAAGTTTGCAGACTGCCAGCCAACTTGTGCTCCACGCAAGGCTACGGGTGCATGTCCAGCTCGACTCACCAATCGTCCGGAGCGTAAGAATTGTGAAGCTGATTCTGAAGCTCCAACAGCGACCTGATGACGCTTCCCATCGTCTTGGAGAGCTGTGCCAGCTGATCGTACGGAATGTCATCCACGATCGCACCTGCTGTCATCGACGTGGATGCAGCAGCCTGACCTGTCCGCGATACTTGTGGAACAGCTGCCGCGCCGCTTTTGGCCCCTGCAAAGGGCAACGATGACATCGTGAACAAATCTCCGTGCTCAATACTCGAGCCCCATTCGCTGGGTGAGAGAAATTTCCGCCTGGTAAACCACGTCGATCGACGGATAGCCGACGCTTGAAAGGACGTTCCCCTGTGGTCTAGCGATCGACCTTTGACTTTGCGATGAGACTGGCCGATGGACTGATGAATGCGTTAGGCAGATCCCTAAGGATGCCGCTCATAGAGCAGAGATTCGTGTATGAAGCGACACTACTGAGTCTTGTCCGAGCTTGACGATGCGTAGCTGCGTCACTAGTCTGCTTGCGGTGTAGGTGTGGTGCGCATGGAGAATGTGAATGGGAATGTGGGTCTGGATGTGAATGTGGATGTGAATGTGAATGTGAATGTGGCACACTTGATTGCGAGCAACTTACGGCTGCTACTGCTGTGCCAGAAGTCTTCACACCAATCCTGCTGACCTGTGCCCGTGCACGCATGTAGTCGCTGAATCTGATGAATCGTAAATCAAAGTCAAGAGTGTGAATGTGGAGTCAACGTCGCGCTGCGCCTATACGCTCGCTGCGTCTGAAAGAGAGACTTTTCAAAACGCACCACGCAATTAATCCGGACCTTGGATCACCACCAGTCGTGAGTCTTGAGTGCGCGCGCACACGAATCATCACCACACATAATCACCAATGCGCACCTACCCAAACACTCGCGACTCGCGACTCCTCGTCACGAAGCTCCAAATACCAATTTTTGCCCACTCGCGCACCGATCAAAGCAAATCAAAATCATGAAATCAAGAATCTGTTGCAAGCGTGGCAGCGCTCAAAACTCTTGACTTTGACTCTTGACTCGACTACAGACTCAACACACGTGACGCGGTTCCACGAGTGCGTGCCACTCAGACTCGATCGTGACTCAAGACTCTTCTGACTTGGCGCTCGCCTGTGATTCAAGATTCCAGCCAATGACGACAACTCCCGCTTCCTTCGCAAAGACTGGCCGAGCCCTGTCCTCAAACTCCACTCCACCCGCCTCTACGAGGGCTCTGCTGAAATTCAGACCCTCTGCGCTCCCCTCCACCCGCCAGCATCCACCACTGAACGGGGCAGCTTTCATTCCCATTTTTCCCCCTCCGACTCATCCTGATCGCCGTCGGACACCTCGATGCAGACGTCTTTGTGCAGCATGCCAGGAAATTCACAAGTCGAGCGTTCTTGGGCGATCGATCTCGTGTGAGTCGTGCCCATGCAAGCATATGAACATCGTCTTGCTGCCTCTCGAGACTCAGTCCAGCTCATGAGCGCTCCGAGCCGCAGCATCGCGAAACATAAATCTGACTGATTACCAGATCAGAGAATGAGGCGTTCGCTCGGTGCGAGCGGGGCGAGCCTCGGAGCTTATCGCTTCTCTGCCCCCAAGGTGGCACCGCGAACCTGTTCCACTGATCAACGAGCCCTCAAGCTTGAGAAAGCGTGAACTGAAGCGCGTGCGGCATTCGCAGCTCAGTCTGTGGGCTTCCATTCGCGTCAAGAGACACGCGTGCTTTGAACGTTGGTGTGAGCGGCGCTAGGCGAGCCGAAGCCCAGAGACGAGGATACATGGTGTTTGCAAAAGGGTAAGGAAGCTGGATGCGGGGCGGCGTACTTGGTTGAAATTCTGATCTTGGACTCGCACTTGGCCATGAGCCTGATATTGAACATCGATTTGCCAAGGCTTTGAGGACAATACGACGGGAGGTCGGGAACTGCGCTGAGTGCTGTGTTCTATGTAGCAGCTGTCTGCCGCTCGTCTGCAGCGCACTGTGACGGTGGCATGAGCGGTCGCGAAGCCAAGAGCAAATCACATGGCGTACCTGTGTCACAAAGGTGCGCATAATGAGCACGAGAAACGCCGCCGGTCACCTTGACCACAAAATCCTCTCAACCACTCACTTTCGAGTCCACTCCCTTGCCGTGCTCTCGTAACGAGGTCTGTCCGTCTTGTACAAGTGCGCGATCTCTGGCACCAACGGGTCGTCGGGATTCGGGTCTACAGCAAAAGGGGAGCTTTTGAGTAAGTGACATCGCTCATCGAGACGGCTTCAGACGAGCCCTTATTTCGCCCTCACCAGTGAGCATAGAGCAGATGGACAACAGGACTTTGAACGAAGACGAGGGAGCGGAGGAGCATACGGTCAGCCCTTATTTATGTGGACCCTATGCCACGACAGTAACCAAGTTCAAAAGCGACCTCTTCGGAGGCTGCGTCGCAAGTTGCCGCTTGGCTGCCTTGAGGAGAAATGCCTTGCGCCACCAACGACCCATCGCTACCGCCATTGTTGTGCCTCCACGGCCCGCTGCTCACCCTTGGAAATCGTCAAAGCTGGGCTCCACTGGTCACGCAAAATGTCGAGACAGATGGAACCGTTGGAGTTGATGTTTGGGTGGTAGATCTTGGTAGAGAAAGAAACCTTGGGAGGCTTGAAAGGGTAGTCGGTGGGCTGAAAGGCAAAGCAGTGGAGATGTGGCAAGAGTGTGAGCGAAAGCGGAAGGCTAGATTGATGCGGTCTAGGGGCAGGCGTGACCGATCCAGAAAGCGCGTGGCGGATACGTACGAAAGTTATGCTCAAGAAGAAGACTCCGCCAGAGTATGGAGAGTCACCCTGCGACAGAAGGGCGACGAAGTCCATGGATCAGCAACGGGCCATTGGAGCCCCAACGCGCCCCACCGATCCTTAACGCACCGGTCCCATGATAGTTGCTTGCCACTGCGTGAGTGCACACGCGTGTCAGCAGAGTGTTTCTGATCAGACGTCGAGAGGACGGGGTGGCAGCTCGGGCTCACCTGGAACATGTTGTCGCCCGTAGGGCCTGCGCTGCAAGAAGAGGGAGGGTCGCGACCGAGGTCCACGAGCTCCTGTAGAGATCGTAGAGAGCAGCACGCGATTGTTAGGGTATGGACGAGGGATGTGCGACGAAGATCACGTACCTTGTTGATGCGTTTGAGAGCCATTGTCTGGAGGGCAGCAAATGAGGTGCAGAGGGTATCAGCGTGGGATTCCACAGCGTAGAGTCACGAGCTCAATTGAGATGCCCGTGCAGGCACTTCTGGCAGTCTGGGTCTTTGCAGGATAGCTGTCTCCATCTGCGGCGGCAAATCTACCATAGCCGATTGAAAGATACCCACGAAGTAAGGCTACGAGACGAAAGTCAAGGTGTCGTAAGAGGGAGTCTCGAGGATGTGTTCTTGAGAGTGTCGAACACAACAAGTAGGCGTGTCAAAGCCTCGCCAATGTAGCCTTTGATTGAAAGATGCGGTGATGAGTGTATGAGTTGCGACGTTAGGAATCGTTGCTTGCCAAGGGGGTTGTACAGCTGTTAATTGTGGTGGAGGGAGCCGATATCGACGGGCGGCGGCGCGTACGTCCGTCCAAGCAGCAGCTGCTGCTGCTGCTGATGCGCATGCCTGAATGACGAATCTCCACCCGCACAGGACGAGTATATCGATGCGAGTACCACGCGGGCAAGGCCGAATTGATCAAGATGCAACACCGCCGAGATGCACGCAACCGTGGGCGCCGCGCCAAAAGACGGAGTCATTAATCATGTTGATTAAAATTCATGCGCAAGGAACATTTGTAAAGATGGACTCGACTTTGAAAAAATAAAGGCGTGAAGGCTTATTGAAGATTAAATAAGAAGTGTGGCTGGCGCGTCTTCAAGATTAGAATTGGCATGCCCTTGATTTTTGTGAGGAAGAAGGCTGCTGTAGAACCACGTGGAATTTTGGCTTGCACCGCATCTGTCGTGATCTCACATCGTCCGTCTCAGGCGACCGACGCCGCTGAGAGCGACTGCATGATTCTTGATGGACGTTTGGCACCCGCCATCAGCTTGCATCTCCCCATCGCACCTTCTCTGACCTTCAACAGTATCGTTGTGCCCTATCCCGCTTGCGCCGTTGCGTGCTCGGCTTTCCGCTCGCTGCTCGTCGTCGGCTGGAAGTCCCAGCTCTAAGTGATCATTTATCAAGTAGCCAAGCTTCGTAGCCAATCAAGTCTTTCAGAAGCACAACAGTCACCAAGATTCTGCGCCATGTCGCCAAATACGAATCAAGCAACGCAATTGAATAACAGGTAAGTTGTCAGGAATGACGCTTTTCAGCGCCAGCTGTCGCTGCAGATACTCTCCATTCAGAAGAGTACCGGCTGCGAATGATGACCAATGGTGCTGACTCTCGACCTCTCGTTTCGCTTGACCCTCAGTCGCGGCCCCGCCGGCAGCGTTCGCGCCGCTGCCGGAGTGGACGGGGCTCAAGTCGAGCGCGAGCCTCAAGAGTCGCTTCGACAGGCTCGACACGTTTCTGCCAGTCACGATCAGCAGCACGCCTCGACTGGTGCTTCGGCTGCCGGCTTTCAACAATTCGCTCCACCGCGCAGTGTGGTGAGGTGGTGGCTTTGACAGCCTCCCTGCGGGTAAGTCTTGCAATAGTCTCGAGCGAGCATTGCTCCTGGTACGTGCACGACACTGATACCTTTTTCTGTGCCCTTCACACAGAAATGCCGGGCTCCATGTGGTCCGGTCGACGCGAGCCTGTGAGAGGGGTAGCGTCGCTTTCGCAGGGAGGAGAATCCCAAACAACAACGAGGAGTAGAGGCGGACCGCTGCAAAGCACGGCCTCGATCAGGGACACCCACGGAAACACAGTCGCGAGATCACGCGGCGCCATCAGCAATGGATTGCCCGCTGCTGCTGCTGCAGTGCCGATCGTGCGATACCAGCAAGGCGGAGAACCGAGTTACCTTCCGATATCACCACCCTCCACTCCTCCTTCATCACCTCCTACCGCCTATCACGACATGCTAGGTCGCGCTCGCCAGCTGACTCTTTCTGACAGTGGTCGAGCAGACGACGAGCGCCAGATCGAGCTTGATGAGCGGCGGCCCACGCCACGAACGGCAGACGCGTCCCAATCGGCAACGCGCAGCGCTGAGGATGCCTTGCTGAAGGCTGCTGCGGCATCGGTAGCCACATCAAGAGCGAATGTGGACGCTTCGCAAGATGCAAGCAGAAATGGCTCGTCTTCCCAGGGATTTGTCAGGCCTGATGAGACTGGGCTCGACTCCACGCAGCGGAGGGCTGACAAGCACGGCAAACGACCCCAGCAACAGCCACCCCCTACGCAGCCTCTAATGCCCAACACGCCAGAAGCTACACCAACGACCATGTCGCCTGCCGAAGGTTTGCTCCGTCATCAGCCAACTGCAAGTGCCTTTGAGCTGCTGCAGTCAATCTATCCGCTGTTACCTTCCGCATCTTCCCCTCTTGGTGTCGCTCAAGATGCGGGTGTGGAGCTTGTATGCAGCAAATGGAAAGGAGCGGTGTTAGATGAGGATGGAGGAACGGGTACTACATCATCACGATCGCTACACGTCCTCATGCCAAACGACATCAGAGCAGGCGGGCCTCTGCGAGATGAGATCTTGGCCCTGCTGGATCTGGCATCCGAAAGACTGGCGTGTGGAAGGGTGATCATAGCTATGGAGAGGAGCGAAATGGAGGATTTTCCCACCACTCTGCATGGGCTATGCTACGTCGGCGCTCAGGTTGTCTCGGATGCTGGTCACGCCCTATTGGTACCTCGCGATGGCGTCATCTTGGCGGGCATCGACCTGATGTGACAGAAGGGTGTCGGGTGCAACGGCGACTTTGCGCGGCTGTGGACTCCTGCAGCTTCACGACGTTCCCAATTTGCGGCGCATCCACCGGCCAATATGTCCGTTGCTTTCCCTTAGAACGTAGTGCCGGGCGTCATTGCTTATATCTCTCCTCGTCTTCCTCGGAACCTTTCATGTCCTGAGCTCGGTTGTGTCGATGTGTCCCCCTCCCCGTTCATTATACACATCATGAAAACCTTTTCTACCGTATCCTGTTCCTGATGTCACCCATCCTCACGACTTGACGAGATTTGTAAATCATACGCTGTTGCGAAATGTCATGGTCCCAGACCTGTCTTTCTGAGGTGTCTGTCCTGTACCAGGCTTAGAGTTCTCCATGCGGTCATAACGCGAGCAGCGCTGTCATCGACGGCCGACATTTACGATTCGTGATTCGCGTCGCCTTCGCTTTTGCATGCCCGAACTTGCGTCCGTCCGTCGAAAAATCGCGCGGTGGATGCAGCCAGCTCCTGTGTTCTCGACCGCAAGCATTGAACGACGGTGTTGACTAGGCCGGGCAAAGCTTCGCGTGCTCGCGCGAAGGAGTCGGTCAAGAAGATGAGTGATGGACCTTTGCGAGACACGCTTCACGGGCAGCTTCAAGCAGAAGGGACCGACGACGAGACAAGTCGCTTGGACTCGGATTCGGATTTGGAAATCTTCTCATCTGGCCTGGATGCGCTCTTCGATCATCATATGCCAGCGAGCGGCACTCCTGGAAGCTGGACATCTTTCTCGCATCCTAATTTACCGCTCGTTCGGCATGGGCAGCCGAGCTCTGCGTCCATGGACTTGCACCAGGGCAGGCAAACGAAATTGCGGTATTTGCTGCCACCTAATTCGAGGGGCGATACGCAATTGATGGCGCACTATCAGTGGGATGCAGGCGTGCTGCTGTCGAGAATCCTCATCGAAAGCTCTGTCCATTCAAATATGGAAACAAAAGCATCCACCTCTCCAACCTCCAACGCCTCTCCAAGCCGTGCACTTCCGCGCCTAAGGGGGGCAAATCTGACCGAACTCTTCAACATGCCAGAAGAAAGAAGAATCTTGGAAGTAGGAGCAGGAGCAGGTCTACCTTCCCTCGTTGCTGCACGTCTCGCTGCAAGTCTTTCCCATTCGGCAAGTAGAGGGTGCATGGCAAGAACAGACAACATACATGTGACAGTGACGGACTATCCATCGGCTCCCGTTCTGTCTGCTCTGCAAGCGAGCGTCCGAAAAGAAGGCACACATATCGAAGTTCGAGGTCTCGAGTGGGGCAACGAAGAGGCAGAATCTCGCTTGTTCTCCGAAACTTCCGGAACAGGTTTCGACGTAATCTTGGCAGCCGATACTCTTTGGTTGACAGATCAACATCCTTTGCTCCTTCAGACCTTTCGACGGTTATTGAAACGAGAAAAAAATGCTGTCATCCTGCTCGCTTTCGGCTTTCATACCGGTCCCTTTGCCGCTTTGAAATTTTTGAAGCTGGCTGCGGAAGCGGGATTGGTCGTGGGAAGGATGAAAGAAGAAGAACAGGAGAGCAGCAAGAGCACGGACGAGAGCACGTCATCGCACGACGCCAATGCGATGGCAAGATGGCTCGTCAGGCAAACTCGACCTGGGAGTGGAGATGAAGGTGGCGCCACGCTGTACGATGTAAGGGAATGGAAAGGGGGAGAAGAGGAGACGGACGCGATCGAGCATCGAGGTCATTGGTCAGCCATCGTGTGCTTGCGGTGGTCGAGCGAGGTGCTATCAAGCAATGTGAATCGCATTTGAGTGCAAAGCAACATGGACCAAACTTGCGTGCTGAACAAATCCCCAAATCACGCGTTCGCGGCCCGCAAGAAAGGTGGATTCGAAGAGTGTAGTGTGCGGCTGATACAGGCTAAAAGTACAGTGAGTCTTGCGTTCGCAAGGGACTTTAGGGAAGTGACCAAGAAGAACAACTGAGGCCATATAGTACGATTACAAAGCTTTGGGTTGACGAGATGGAAAAAGAGGTGTTCAAGGATTGTGAGAATCGCAAAAGCATCAGCCTCTTCGCTGTCTACTCCTTCCGTGCCCCATCAGCGATTGCAGAAGCGTGTTGTTGGCTCGCACCAGCATACCTAGCAATGTCAAGATTGGGAAAGTCGACCTTACCAGCGGTAGAAAGGAGGTCTTCGCCGGCATACATGACTCTAAGTAGCTTCGGAAGCTTGGGCTCAGTGCCTTGCGATTGCGATGCAAGTATGGCAGCATTGAGTTCAGTCGCTGTCCTGAGCCTCTGGGAAGGGTGAAGTAGAGCACTAATGTGTTCAGGCGCGCCAAGCAGTTCCGGGCCAGGCAAAGTGGCCGGTAAGCCCGCTGAGAGAGGGACAGTCGTCCCTTGCGCTGGCGATTTGTCATGCCCGGCAAAGTTGACCGGCGTGAAGGCTAGCAGAGCCATGGTGCGCTCCAGCTCGGGCAACAGGTTGGGGTGCTCTTCGCCTCTGGGCGCAAGCTCCTCCGACGCAAAGAGAAGTGCCTCTTCAAGTGAGCCGGCTCGAATCAACTCGATGAGCCGTTGTTGCTGGAGGTGGAAAAACAGCACCGGGTGGGTGTCCAAAATCTGAGATCAGAGTAAGAGAACATCAGTCAGCTTCCACTCTGACCCTGCGCAGCACTTGCACCGTTCATCGACCCTCCTTTTCCCCTCTTTCCCGCCAACATGTCTCAGCCTGATTATGTTTTGGTGTGTAATAAATATCCGCAGTAGGCCGCGTACACAACACAGCCCTCAGCGTGGTGCATGAAAATTTGTCATCCTCGACGTTGCCCCTCGTAGCTAGCCCATCACATGCTCTAATTCACGGATCGGCGTCTTCTTCGTGCAGAAAACGATCGCGCGAGACATGCGGCTGCTCACCTCTGGATCTAGCTCGTTTACCCTGCCAATGGCGTCCTCTACATCTCCCCTCTGAATGGCAGCTCTGATCAGCATTCGATTCTCGATGCTATCGAGATCGACATTAGGCTCCAGATTAGCTTCGAGAGCCAGTCGAGCAGCTGCATCCTTATAGCCTTCTATGATGAGGTAGTCCAGCACCAGCCTGTTCATGTCACTGTTAGACATGTGATCGAGGAAAGCGAGTCAGCCAAGAGAAGCGAGTACCAATGTGCGACCCTCCCTCTCCTCAGCCCCGTCCTCGCGCTTCCCCATCCAATCAGTGAGCAAAAGTAATGTCGTGGTCTCTCATTCGTCTTTTATAACTTCGGAGAGATTCCCACCAATGCGTTAAGTCTCATCATCTAATCGTTCCCTCTCCAATAGAGCTTTTTGCTACATGCGCACAGCGCTCTGCGACTGCCTTAATGTCAGGGATCAGCACATTGGACTCACTCTTTGCTGACGTGCACTTCGTTCAGGCTCCTCTGCCACTCATCTAGCGGGAGGACGGTCCTCTTGGCCTGAGGCGTGCGTGCGTGCGTGCGTGCGTGCGTGCAACGGAGAACACTCGTGTCAGTAAGATCAGAGACAACGACGCGCTTCCTACGTTTGAGGGCGACGGCTCACCATTCTGTAAGAGCTCCGGTGCGATGCTGAAGCTTGTGAGAGGCTGCTCCGGCGCTTTCAAGCCATTCGGCCCGATTCGGAGCTCGTGTGCGAGCCAAGTAGCCGAAGGAGTACAGGGTCCGGAAAATCGATCGCCGCGATGCCTTGGCAGCGAGTTGAACAGAAGATCGGTGCCTGCTAGAGATGGCGAGGGTCATGAATGAGAGGGAGACGCCACACGCATCGATGCAGGTGGTTGAATCGCAGATTGCAAGCGACCCTTACGCTCGTCCGACTTTCATTTGATGATGCTGGTGGGTGACGGAGCCCGACACACTAGCGCGTCCACGTGGAGTCGGACTCGTGACCCTCAACTGCGCGAGTGCGTGCCGTGAACGCGGTGAGCAAACAAGCAGCGCGCGGGCCGATTCGTGATTCGCACCTCCGCACGCGCCCCGGACAGCCGCTGCTGCAGATGCTCGTGTAGGTATATATACTCACGACTCGCGACTCAAGCTTGCATACAGCATCGGACGGCCACGCTCGCACGCGCCAACAAGGATCAGCTCCACGCTTGCACGCTGAATGTTGCCATCTCACCGTCCGTCTTGTCACCACCACGTCCCTCCCCACCTTTCCGCACAAGCGAGTCTCACGTCGTAGATCAGGCCCGTCTCTTGTGCTGTCGTCGAGCTGTAGCGCAATACGCAAGACAAGACGTGAGCAGTACAACCGGCGCGCACAGCCAACTCTGAACCGTAGCGAGTAGGGTCTTCGGCCTGCAACACTCGATCGTACCGTCGTACAAAAGCTTCACCATGTCCGCATCCACACCAACCAAGTCGAAGCCGAAAACAAAAGCAGCCGATTCGGTCGAGGCGCTGCTATCTTCCTTGGATGTTGGCGGCGATGCTTCCATGGACGGGTCCAATGCAGCTGCAGGTGCCAAATCGAGCTCCGGATCAGGGGCTGCGGGCGCGGGTGGGGATGCGCAGAGCTTGTTGGATGAGATGGACGATTTGGTGCAGAGAAGAGGAGTTGGTAGTACCAGGAAGGCGTCTGCCCTGAGTGGAGGCGCTAGCACTGCTACAAGCTCCAACAACGCTAGCTCTCCTTTGGTAGCTCCGCCTGCTAGCGCACAGGCTGCTACACCAACATCGGCGGCCACGTCTTTGTCAGGGCAGGAGCCTATTCCTTCCACAGCTGCATCCTCAGAGCAGTCTGCGGCAACTCCGAGCGCGAACGCGGGCGGCGGCGGAGGATGGGGCTGGGGCAGCGTTTGGGGTCAAGCTACCAAGTTTGCGGATCAAGCTAGAGCAGAGCTGGAGAAGAGGTCAGCTACTGTAAGCGCCGTCCCTGGCTCCTCCGAGTCAACAGAAGGTGCGAAGGGTAGGGGTGGGCTAGCTCTACCTAGTCTGCCTCAGCTGCCTGCTGCGACTCAGGAAGCTGCAAGGGAATTGCAATCTAGAGGCTGGGGCATCGCTCAGGGTGTTAGAGGGTTTGTGAAGGATGCCGGGCTCGAGAAGCTTGGTGAGTTTGTGTCGGCTTGAGCGTCGGGCTATTTTGCTGTTGAGAATAGACAGCAAATGGCTGATCTGTTCTTCCCATCTGTACGTTTAGGCGAAGATCTCACTGCTGCTTCCAGGAAAGGCTGGCTCGAAATTATCAATGCTGTCGCCCCTCCCATTTCCGAGCATGAGGTCATTCAAGTGACCCTCAGCCATGGTAAGTGTCGCGCGAAGTCATTCGCTTGCCTGTTCTTATAGAGCTTGGAATGATCGTCGCTTAGTCTTCATGTATTGACGATCTTACCTCGCAGACATAATTGGTTACGATGGGATCGCAGACGTGGTGTTCAAGGTGCTGCAGAGCGTGATGGAAGCTCAAATGGACAGAGGGACAGAGCAACAACTTGTTGTGAACAAGGCTCCAGAGCCTCGACCATCAGGCGAAGCCAAAACGGTGGAGGAATCGTCTTCGCTCAAGCAAGCCACATCAGATTCGAATGAGAGGGACTTCAGAGCTGTGATTGGTTGGGACCAAGCGAGAGAAAAGGCTGAGGTGAGCTACGAATAAAGCCAGCCGGGCACCGCCATCTTCACGCCCTTGCTTAGCAACCTTCTCTTTTCGCTCGCTCGATCCGTGCAGAACGCACTAGCCAAGACGATCGCGTCACACTCCGCAGCTCCACCAGCCACATCCAGCTTGACAGTGCCCATCACGCACTGTCCAGTCTTTGTCCGCATTCAGCCCGTATTCGCACCTCTACCCATCTTTCCCTCAACGTCCAACGCGAGCATTTCCAAAGCCAAATCTGTGACGTCGAAGGAGAACGCGGAACCTGAAGAGCAGCTGTGGTTCTTGCTTCTGCTGCAGGATCCCGGAAATGGGTGCAGGCATACCACGGTGTCCCAGGCTGTACCAAGAAGCTGGCGTGAGTGCAGTCGGGCCTCTCACGACGGATTGAGCTGTCTCGCTAGGATATGCGTGCACATCTCATTGTACATTCATTACTCACGTTTCGCTCGCAGTCGATGTGCCGTTCGAGGAGAATGCGTGGGTCGAACAGTCGCTCGTCGACGTTCTTCAGAATGCGCTGAGCGTGATTGGGCAGGTGAGTCATGCGCCGCACGCGCTTCGAAGCGTTGTGCCTGACAGGTGTGGAGGTGGTGCTGGCGCTGAATCTCTCGTCGCTCGCGCCATCATCAGGCCTATGTTGTAGAGCGTCAGACTGGACGGTCAAGAACCGCTCAGGCTCTGCAAGGTGCGGAAGCCAAAACTCAAGCGGCCAGCAGCTGATCGACCTGTCAAGCGCAGCGTCGCTTCACTGCTCTTGGCAACTTTCTACGCACCGTCGCTGGCTATTGTTGTAGCCCAACGAGGCTGGGATCGCAATTTCTGATGTGCTGGTCACCTCGATGATTTCTTTATACCCATCAGGTGGTCCGCCACAAAATTACAAGCTCTTTCTTCTCGCTCCCATGGTCCCATATAATCTTTTGTACCTCGTTAGTCGACTCGACCAGTCCATCGCGGACGAAGCAGCACGCATGCGATCAACCTTGTCAACAAATTCATCGATCAATGTCTCATGCCCACGTGCGATTTTATGAGAACGAAGCTTTGCTTCTGGTTGCCATCAATCATTCATGCGAAGATTGCAGCGCCTGAATGGCCCATGGCGGGAAGCCTCAGCGCCATGAGCAGCGTGTGATTGGTTGTGTACAAGCGGACTTGCGCGTTGCGCACGGCCTTGAAGTGAGCATGGTTTTTTTTTGGGGAGGGCGTGTAAGGTGCAAGAGATCGTAATGTTGGAGATGACGTTGAACAAGCGAGACAGTGAAAGAGAAATCCTGAAGAAGCGGCTGCTCGACAGGCTTAGTTCATGCGTCGAATGAGCTTGTTGATGGCGTCCTCGCGGTCACCGGCGCTGCAGAGGAGTAAAGTGTACGGAAAGCCAGTCAGCGTATCGCGAAGACGGCAGGCCCGATCCATCAGGATTCGGCGGCGACCTGTTCCAGGACTCGGCCACTCACTCTCCACCTTGCACAACCGGAGTCAACTTGCGGTTGGCCCATCCACCGTTGGGGTTGGGGAGCTTGAAGGACCACAAGAAGGAGTTTGCCTGCTTGAAGTTCGGGCCGACTGTGTAGATCTCGTGAACAAGGTCCTCAATGGAGATGATACCGTATTGGCCGAGGTGCTTCTCGATGATGCTGTTGTCGGACAAAGGAATTCTTTGGCGGTCGATCTTAGCGTATCCACGCTTGTAGATGAGTTCCCTGACAGACTTGAGGTTGGGAGGGCCGTAAGTGACGTAAGGTTGAACCAATTGCAGCATTTGTGCGGTGGCCTTGGTCAGACGAAGGAAGACGCCATTGTTGATTTGCAAGAGACGCAGCAATTGCAAGATCTTGCGGGGCTTGGGCGCAATGTTGCAGATACCACGCAGACGGATGACGAACACGAGCTTGGGCTGAGCCTCGACGTAGAAATCGCCCGAAGCCTTGGCAGCCCTGCGAAGGCGGATCTGCTCGCGCTCCTGGTTCTTGTACTCGCGCGTGTACTGCTCGGCACGCTTGAAGATCTTGGCGCGCTTTTGCCAATTGGCCTGAGTCGATGCAATGGGTCGATGTCAGCACATGCTCAATCCCAGCTGCCATAGAACGACACAGCACCAAGCAACATCGAGCCCGCCCAGGTGATGCTGAACTGCCCGTACTTAGAGCTCCTCCGCCGGAGCTTTGACGACCCGCGTCAGACCCGAAAGATGGTTAATTTGCTGGCAGCATCGCATGGCTAGCCAAAACAGATGGTTGTTTTGCATCTTCGCGGATTCGAGCTCCACCTTTCCAGTTCTCTTTTTACTCCCAACCCCGGAGTCATCGCCGCTGCCTCCCACACCCTTCCCATCATCTGCCATGCGGTGGTCCGCCATGCCCGCGAATCGTGTGGCTCGCCATGCCCCTGGTTGTCCGAGCCCATGTGTTGACATTGCAGCAGTCGTGCACTCTGCTCGGCATGCGATGCTCACCTTGCGCTTCTCGACAGCGGCGGCCGCCTTCTCCTCGCGCGACTTGGCGTCAGACTTGCGCTTCTTGAGCAAAGTCTCGGGCAGGAGCACGTCCTGCTTGGAAGGAACGGTACTGCGATCGAAGAAATCCGCCACACAGCCAGTACAGGAAATGAGGCGAGTGACAGGCAGGTTCAGGGAGTAGCAGCGGGGGGG